ACCAGAATAAAGATTGGGACATATTATTCAGTTACAAGAAGAGTGGTATTGAGCCTTTAAGCAAACGAGGATTAGGAGTAATATCGTATTAAATTGTTACATTTTATATTTACCCTTGAACATACGTATCCTACTTATTTGTTATAGTCATTTCATAGTGACCTTGATTACCAGCTAATTCTGAGTACACATTTTAATTTTACAATTTTACATCTCAAATGTTTCTAAATTTAGAAAAAAAAAGGACATTTAAGAACTTTAGTTTTACCAAGTGAATGAAAGAAATATGAATTCATGTAGCCAAAATATTTTCAAGGAAAGTTTTGGGGGTCATTTACGTGTATAAATTTTACCATAACTGCCATTGTGTAGTATAAATGTACTTATTGTACAAATAATTTGAGTCTATAAAGTTTCATTTTTGTGATCATTGCAAATATGATAACATACTTTTAGATCAATTTGAGTCTATAATTTGACTTGGTGTGACCATTTCAAATATGATATCATACTTTCAGAGAATAAGTTTAGATGGTCAAACTATGACCTTGTTCTACACAAAGCAACATGTATTTAATTGAACTATGAAATTGATATCATACTTTCAGATGGATATAATTTTTAATTGGACTGAAAAATTGTTGTGTTTCCTGTTTAAAATTCCTTTAGAAAAAACAAGAATACTTGTCATTCTTTCACACACATTTATGACACGTGTTAGGGTTTACTTTTATCTGTTTTGACTTTAAAATACCTGAAAGTATATGTGACAAGAGTGATTGGGTTAGTGATATGAATGACACAATACCCTCCCATAGTATATTGTGCAATACATAATCAAAAAATGTTCAAATTTTTAACAATGCAACTTTATCTGCTTTTTATTTGATGTTGAGGTGTTAAGAGATTAATTCTAGCATGACATGGTTATTTACGTGGCATGTTAATCATAAAATATGGATTATTGACTCAGTTATTCTTAATAATTAATGGACTTGGCAATCCGATTGTGTGTAAATGAAATAAAATGGGGGTTTAACATCCTACTTTTCTGCATCGAGTGGGCTAATGAAGAGGGCATACGCCATGCAGTGAGCAGTGAGGGACATTTTGCCTGGACAGCTGCTCTATGGCCTCATAGAAAAATAGCATGTTTTATTTTTGGGAACAATTTTGTTTGGAAGTATTTTTAGCTGATGAAACAGAAAGTGTGGGTTATGCCATCCATTACTCAGCATTAGTCATTATGACATATTACATCCTGGAAAGGAAAATTAAGCATTGTTTCTTGAGAAATATTTTGTTAGTAAATTGTTGTCTTTATTTGTTCTATAAGAAGTATTTTTAAAGTGAAAGTGTTGGTTTTACCACTAGTAATTATAATAACATAATATTACATCTTAACATTGTTTCTAATTCTAGAATAAATTGTACTGTACTCTTGGTCCGTTCTGTAAGAAGTATTTTTAAAGCGAAAGTGTTGGTTGTACCTCTAGTCATTATAACATATTACATCTTAGCATTGTTTCTAATTCTTGAGTAAATTATAGTCTTTATCCATTCTGTAAGCTTACTTTATAAATAATTATAATTAATTAAACAAGGTGTAATCTATTGATAAGGTTATTACTCCTATACATGTATATAATCTATTTACAATAGGATTAGGCATTATTTATTGATAGAGATTACTAGATTTAGTGGAAAGTAATCAATACACTGGTCTTATACTTTAATAGAATTAGGTCAACCTTTAGACCTACATGTTCAGTTAACATATATTATGAATCATGAATATGTACCTATAATGCTTTGATTTGATTGTTATGCATGCTATGGATCAATTATTCTTGTTGATAAGAATTATATATGTGGCGGCTGTGGCCTAATTGTTGAAATCAATCGCCAGTATTAATAACTTAAATTTCCTTTATAAGCACTGGATAAATTTGTTTTAAAGAAGTATTCGAGTTCTGGATCTGTTTTCAAAAAGATAATTTGGAGACCTAGATCTGTTGGAGGGCTGGATATGTTGGTAAAAAAAATAGTCTTTGTTTTTTGCGTTATTTGAAATGAGATTGTATACAATAATCAACAAACACTTGTGTCAAAAATTAAGCTGGTCATTGCTACAATTTAATAATTTGGTAGAGTGTATGGTAATTTTGAGTATGGTATTATATCTATTTTCTTGGTGAGGATAAAAGCATTCTGTATGAGGAAGGTTATGTCTTGACATTTATTCCTTGTAATAAAATCTTTTTGTAGTATAGATGTCATGAAAATCGTCACCAGTTTTTTATCGCAACATATTTTTGAATGACAATTGCGAATTAAACATCCCCAACTTAATGAAATGGTGTGGATACTGTGTAGCAGTCCCAAATTCCACAAGAGGGTCAAATTAAAGGAATTAAATGCCAAAATATAAAGAAAAGGTTTCAGAAAATGTTGACTTCAAATATTGAGCTGTCTGAAAACATTCATCAAAATTGCTGAACCGAGTTACGTAACTCCCAGTCCTGATAGATAATCGTGTAATCTGATAAACTGGACCATCTCACTAGACCAACCTTTTGGAATTGGTTATCCAGACACTACATCTAGCTGGATAAACCTGTGTAATCACAAGTGAAACAGGTCCATTTGTATCCCTTAAAGAAGTATTCTAGAGTTTCATATAGTTTGAATGAAACTAGGATAAACATTTCATGAAAATACAAGTTTTATTCATAAAAATATATTTCTAAAACAGCTCCTTTAACGCATTGAAAAAAAATGTACGTGGATGTTACCTCCAAGCAGTCTTTTTACCTGAAGACGTAAATTATGATTCAGAGTATAACGGACATCAAAACATGTGGACAGTTGTCTAAAAGGATAGTGACTGTTTATCCTGAATACACAAATCATGTTGTTTTAAGAGTGAAAAATGTCAATTTGTACCAAGTTTAAACACTCCGCTAGTACAGGTACATGAACTTAAATTTTGTTTACGATTTGACTGTACAGAGTCTTCTAGCTTCTATGAGGATGCTTAGTATTGTTGTTTCTTAATAGCCATTGTAACATATTGCCAGTCCAGGTAAGACAAATAGCTTTACCTTGATAATTGTCTATCGCTCTGCAGAACCAGGAAATGATTTTGAAACTGCGTATTAGAATTTGTTTTATTTGACAAATAGCCAAAATACTTAATTGAGAATTTATTTAATCTACCTTTAAATTTATGCATGGAGAATATTTGTTTTTAAATACATAACTCAATTGGACTTTTGATTTAAAATTTGAAAGACAGACAAATAGATTCCCTTGAGAAATGAATTCTTTAAACATTATGATGAATATACCAATTGAAAAAGAAAGGAGTGACTATTATTTCTTTTGTTTTAGTAAAGGCAACTACTTCTAGTATGTCTTATCCACACATGCCTTTTAACTAGATTAATGGGTGGGTGTATTGGCTAGATATCACTATACAGTACAGAGACTATTCTACATACAACATGTATTGACATGATATTAAATAACTCCTGTCAGAAATTTTTCATTTCCTAGTGTGGGTTATGTCTGGTGACACTAGTGTTTCATGAAATGAAGTGCAGAGCCATACCTCAGTAATTTACCCATGTCCACAGAAGTGATTCATTATTACATGTGGAGCTCCTTGTTTAAGTCCAAATTTGGCTTGTCTGTGAGAAATTAATGAAATTGAAAGTGAAAAACAATGACTAGAGAGGAGATTATTGCTGACAGATATTTCTTGTGATTTTCTGGATTATTGTCTTTTTTAAATAACAGACATTTGTTTTTTTCTATTTGGATATAATGCGAATTTTAAAGGTATATTATTTATATTTTATATTTTAAGAAAGATTGAAATAAGATTTTATTTTGTCATGGATATATTTGTTTCATACTTACAAATACAGAATGGTTTTCGGAAAAAAGAATTGTTTTGTCTTTTTATCGTACAACATGAAAGTTGATGATCAATTGTTGATAAGTGAATTTAGGTTAATGTCACAGAAGCAGATGCTTTCATTATTTATCAATACAAGAGTTGGCATACCTGTGTAACAGAGTGTTACATGTAATTCTACTACCTGGTTTTTGAAGTACATAATGGATTTTAAAGTAGATGACGCACAAAGCGCATTCATGCAATTACAGCAGGAATATCTTATATTCACTGACATACATGTAGTGTGAAGATCAACAGATTATATGTTAAACAGATTGCTATTTATATGTGTGTAATAGGATCTTGTTGTTTGGACAATTATTTATGTTTCATTTCAATAATTCTCAATAATTTAAAAATTACTTTGTTTTATTAGGAATAATATGTGTTGATTATTTGTATTTTTATAGTAACGATATCTGTTAAATATTTGTATTATAGTAACAGTATCTGTTAAATATTTGTATTATTTTATTATGTATTATTTAGGAGTGAGATGTTTGGTATTATTGATTGGAATATTAGTCTTGAATATTCTTGTTTGAATTTAACCCCAAATGTTCAAAGAGTGTTCAGAGGATTAGATAGACTGCTCGAATGTTTGTGAACGCCTTTCCCACACTCTTCAACACCCTGCATGAACGAAAACAAATGTTTATAAATCTTAACTGAAATGCACAAATTAATTCAAGAAGCATCCAGGCAATTAGAAATAAATGAATAAAACTCAGGGATCAATTTTGTATTTAATGTGATATTGATATCTTTCATAAAAGCTTTTAGTCCATGTAAACAATTATGGTCTTTATATAATTATATTTGATTGAATTTCAATGTATGGTCAGGTATATTTATGAAAAGATAAAATAATCAATAATTATCTGAACCAGGAATTTACTAGGATAGACTGATCAGAATTTCAATCAAGAAAATTGAATTCTTTAATCCACTCACTGTATTTTTAGTAACAGGGTAATTGGTAGTATTCTTTGAGTCTAATTTACTTTCATGTATTCTATTTTTTGTCTATTTTTAGAGCACTGATAAAGGATCAAATGTCACCTCCCATATGGACAGAGTAAAACGATTAATTAGTCCTGGTACTAAGAGGAAATTGATTGGAAACACAGCAAACCGAACTTTTTGTGTATCTCTGGATGAGTTGGTTAAAAGAGCATCAGAAGGATGTCGTGTACCTATAATTGTAAAGAAAACTTGTGAATTCATTGACAAAAACGGTAAGGAAAACAAAATTATTAATAGCAGAACCAAAACACAACAGTGAACAGATGCAAATTGGAAGACCATGAGACAAACACACAGACACCTGTAAGACAAAACACTGACATTGCACTAGAGGGGAACCTACTTGACACTGAATCCATTTAATTTATATTCTCAAAGCAATGATAACAAGCATTTTCAGCTTATCAATCATTGCCACTCTTGATAGTACTTATGGGCCATTATTTACTGGATATAAAGGTGGTGTTCCTTGAGAAAATCTGTTTCCACATGTATCCTACTTTATCTGTAGGTGAAATGTAAAGACTGAACACATAGGAAGAAAACTAATCAGATAAACCACTTCACCATAGTAATGGTTAATAAGCTTTGGAATGCACACTTAATTTGAAACCTTCAACTATTTTGCTATAAATAGATTCTGCCAAATTTAAAAATCATTCAGTATGCACTTTAAAAGATTTTACCAGTCTGATTTAATCCTAATGATATTTCTAATGTTATTTTCAATTTTCCAATAGATAAATTATATGTTCTTGCCAAGAACAGCATCTTCTGAAAAGTAATTTCAATTATAGAATTCAATTTAGATTTTATTAGTTAAAACTTTATGAACTTAAAGCCCATCCTGTAGTAGGTCCTACATGTCTGTTGAATTTTGGCTGTCATTCAAATATTTTCTCCATAGTAAATATCAGAAATACCACTATCTTCATAACAATATTTTCATAACATTTTCAGTACTTTAGATGTGATATTTGACAAAACCTTGCTCTCTTTATCATTGTTATTGAATTGTACATTATGTAAATACGCAGTGTACCTAATGATGTGGGGAAAGCCTGTAGGTTAAAGATATTTTTAACCAGTATGGGTCATAAAACAGAATGTCAGCTTATTTACTCTTGAAATACCAACAAATCATGTTCTATTATTTACATATGTCCACGGTTTTGTTTTTCCGTCCCAAAAGCATTTTATATGTTAATGGTGTTCTGATGTTTCACACATGATTCTGCACCTTTTTTTATACCAGTGTTATTTGATTCGATGTAAACCTGTAATATTGAAATTAAATCAAATCACCCAATGTCATTTTTACAGGATAGAGGTAATTTTTATATTTATTTCCTGATATAATATCTGCATCTAGAACTTAATTTTTTCTAGTTGTCCCCTGCCTTTTGAGGAAAGTAGGGTACTATTAAAATGTGTCTGTCCGTCACACTTTTTGGGTCACAATAACCCTCCTTCTAATTGAACTAGAGTGTACAAACTTAATTTGGGTGTTTATTAGGTGATTGCCTTGAAGGAGTTCGAAGATGAGCATTTTCTGCTTAGGCTAAGCAGAGATAAACAATTTAATTGATAACGATAACTTTGGTTCTAATTGGTTGAAACTCAGAGTATAGATTCATTATATATCAATATCTTGACTAAGTTTGATGATTAGAATTTTCTGCTAAGGCTAAGTAGTGATAAATAATTTCATTGGTTAAGACTTTGGAACATAACAACTATGCTTTTAATTCATTGGTTAAGACTTTGGAACATAACAACTCTGCTTTTAACTAAAGTAGAATGGTTAAACTTGGTGTAGATGTTCAATCTGATTAAAATACAGATCTATATTTCATTTCGGTTTTTTTATACTTTCGATGGACTACACTACATGAAGATCTGACCGGTTGCAACGATAGGTCGCGTCAGAGGTCATACAAGCGGCTTTTGACCCTATGATGTCAGACATTTGATTAACCAATCAGCATTGATGTTACTAGTGGATTACCCACAGTTCCGTGCAAAACACGCCTAAAGCTCGCTGTAACAGATCGTTTCATTGGCTAAGCCCTCACAATATTCAGAACACGTCAATGATATCAACTCTTCCAGATCCTAGTGTAGTAAAGACAAGTAAAATGAAATTTTGAACTATAAAAATGAAACGGAATAGGATCTGTGTTTTAATCAGATTGTGTAGATGTTCATTAGGCGAATATCTTGACTAAGTTCAATGATTAACATTTTCCGCTAAAGCTATGCAAAGCTAAGCAATTTCATTGTTTGATGTATTGGGACAAGATAACTTTGGTTCCAACTTATGGAGAGTGATGAAACTTAGTCTATAGTTTCACTACCAAGTACTTCATAACCTTGACTGAGTTAGATTGTGAACATATTCTGCTTAGACTAATATAGATAATCAGTTTGATTGCTGGATACTTTTCAGAAAGATACATATGTGCTTTTAATTAATATCTGTCATCTATTTATTTCGGGATTGGGGCAGGGGACATCAGCCTCACTGTTGGCTTGTTTTTTTCTAAAAGCAAGTATATTATTTTGTAGGTTTGGATCAAGAAGGGATATTTCGAGTTAATGGCAGTGCTAGAATTGTAGATAAAATCAAATCATCATTTGATCAGACTGGAGATGCTGATCTGGAGGAAGATCATGATGTCATGGCAGTGGCTAGCACTCTTAAACTGTTTCTACGTGAAATGACCGACTCGACTATTCCCGAACGAATGACTAATCAATTTGTTGATATCTATGAAGGTAGGATTTCAAATTAATATCAATATCTATGCATTAATTTGGCTATCAGGAGTACTGTTTCAAATTGTATACAGTTTCATAAATGTCTGTCCAGTTGTATTGTAAAGAGGACCTTCAAAAGATTTTTTACCCAGCATGTAAGGTTGTGCTGGCTTATTTATATCTTTGTAAGTACTATATAGAATGGAACTATTTCTGGATTAATAGAAATTATAGAGATTCAACTTTCACAATATTGTACTGTGCAATTGATTTAAAATCCCGCAAATGACATTCAGCAGCATTGAGTCTCAAATTTGACAGTAACTGACCTGATATCCTGTTAATTAAATGATTAATTTGAAGTCATTAGTGAGTTCAGACATGTGATTTCCCTTTCAGCTAATCAAGTTGACAGTGTCAGATGTATTCAACAATTAAAGGTGGCATTGAAAGAACTACCACTCAATAATTATAACTTGTTGAAGTTTTTAGCTCAGTTTTTAGTCATAGTGGCTCATCATGAATATCTTAATAAAATGAACTCCATGGCTCTAGGAATTGTGTTTGGTCCTAATTTGTTCAGGTAAGCTAGTCCTTTTAATTTCTGGTTTCAGAAAAGAATGAATCGGTTTGTCCAAGATTTTCACGCATGCTTTTATATTTGGCCGATAATCTTTTGCCTTTTATAATCCAAAAACAGTAGTATTATAAACTATAGTTTGTATTGCTTGTGATATCACCTTGATGGAAGCGGTTGTTAAATAGGCCTATTTCACACTCACATTAAACAAAATGACTACTGCTATTAATAAGCTTGGCAAGATAGGAAACTTTTATATCAAATTGAAGTAGACAATTGATTTTGGTATTAATAGTTGCAGGACATGTATAGTCTTGGAACACTTCCAGTGAATTTTATCGTGCCGTCTCATTTTTATTCTATCTCTGTGATTATTATCAGTTAAACCTCGTCCACCTCTGCCATTTGGAATAAATCTTATATCGATTTGAACGTCTGCCATTTTGATTAAAGGAGAAGTCCCAGATATCACAAAGTATCCATTGATACAAGTGGGTTTAAAAGTATGCAAATCAAATTTTAAATATTACTAAGCTATAAAAGAATTCTGGCCCTTTGCCTATTTATACATATTAATTGAGTAATTTGATGACTTGCAAAATTATGCTAACTAAATATGCACTTTGACATTTAACATTTGATGTTTTTAATGTTATCCAAATTGAACCTTGTGTGTGTAATCTATTTTTAACTTGATAAATGTGATAGATTATAAAGAAACACCATGTTAATAATGACTTTTGGTTATATTGTGGACATTACGTGATGGTGTATTGTTAGTAATGAATAGCTCTATAAAGGTCATGAATGTTTGATTACTAGTTTACTCTACTACAGTATGTACTCTGCACCATTTCCTTGTCTCTAAATTATATATAACCTTAATCTGATGTTTTTACCATCTTGTCATCAGGTGACAAATAGCAGACGTGAGTAGCAGACACAATTGCTCAATAATAATGAATAATTCTTACTGACATGATCCTATTATGTATTACATTAATCAGCAGATTGATTTGTTGAGTAACCAGGATGTATGGCTACCTCTGTTTAAGTGCACAAACACCAAAACTGTTGAATAGCCAATCTATAGCTATTTTTAAGAAAATATTGGAAAGCTGTTTATTTTTAAAGGCTTTATAATGATCTACATTTACCTACATTTACTTCTTACTATGTTCTTGTATATTTCTTCTGTGTTGATTATTTATCTTTTATAATCATTTGTTTTAGTTTAGATACTTTTATCATTGAATGAGCAAATTAGATTGTTTTGAAATTTGAGATCAACATGTCAAGTTATTGCTGAGATGTAGCTGTTTTAACTTTCAATTTATATGAGCCATGCACATTCTTTAAAAGTTTAGTGTGCTCAGGTGCAACATACCTCCATAGTTGAACACTTTTTGGTAACTTTATTTTAAATTTATTTTCTTGGTGAGAAGAGTGATAATTCCTCTTTAATACTGAGTTCAGGGCAAAAAAACTCTAGAAGCCTAAAGTTTAGGACAGAGCCAGTTGTTTTTTGGTTGTCTACTGGAATATCAATATCCGTGGTAATCTGTTATATATAGGTAATCTTGTAAAATCCAATTTTAGATTATTACATGTTAATTGTCCCTGGTAGATAATAATAATACATATTTATATATCTATTTACTTATCCTTTAGATGTGGTCAAGGATTAGATGGATTAAAGGATCAAGGTGTTATTAATCAGATTACTGCCAAGTTTATTACAGATTATGATACATTATTTAAATTGGACTATGAAGACTCACCTTTAGTCCTATGGGTAAGAAAAAATTTCAGTAATTATATCTAAGCCTGTTACATTACCCAAAACTAGTATAATTGGATTAAGTAATTAGTTAGTTTGGTTGTATACATTAAAATAAAATGGGAAACCAATACAATTGGTGAATGATTTCTATTGTTTTTTGTTTGTTTTTTTTTTAGGAAAAACGCAGACAGAAAGTTGCCCCACCTCGGCCTCCACCTCCAAAGTTAAGTGTACATATTGAAGAAATGAGACCTGTTCCTTCTCCTAGAAAGGTAGAAAATATGATTATTTATATAGCTTTATTATGGGTATTAAATGAACGGTTGTTTTAATCATATGAAACCAGTTCCTTACCTGGGCTGTCTTAATAAGCCTGAATGAAGCGGAATAGTAGGAGGTTAAATAGGATTAATATGTAGCTTTAATGTAGGTTTTAAATGAAAAGTTTGTATTATTTGATATATTTGTTTAATAATCATATGTCAAAGTCAGATCTGATGACACACAACAGATGTCGCAATTTAATTTCCTAAAATAATTTAAAACTCTGTCTGATGCAATCAAAACCAGTCATTGAATATAGCCAGTGAGTTGAGCAACCTAATCTTGAATACTTTTGATCTTGTAACGGCAATTGACCTTTATTTATTATTGATAAATTTGACAATGTTGATTTCCATCTGTAACATTATGATATTGCATCAAAACTAAAAATGTTGTGATATGTGACATATAGTGATAACTGATTGTATTTTTCTACAGAATAAAATGAGAAATATGACTGGGTCAGCAAGTATTACATCACCTTGTGATTTGTGACATTGAATTTTACCACAAATAAGATGACAGTTTCAAAAGGCCATTGCATCAAGGTTAAATGCCTTGTGATTTGTAATAACTAATTGTATTTTGCTGCAGAATAAATTGAGAATTATGATAGGGTTAACAAGTATTACATCAAGGTTAGAAACCTTGTGATTTGTGACTTGTGGTTGATGATTGATTTTATTTTGCTACAGAATAAGATGAGAAATTATGAGAGTAACCAGTATCAAGATGACTGGGATACAAGTGATGACTCTATTGGTGCAGTACCTTCTATAAATAACATACCGGCCAGTCCCAGAACATTAGCTAGTGATGACGAGTTTGGTGGACGCGCGTCCCCCTTTGCTTTAGATAGGTTAGTCTTACTATTAGATAAATATAGGTGGATGAATGGATGTAAATAGATAGATGTTACATATTTTCATTACTATTTTAATTCTAGATTTTTTATTTTAAATTTCACTTTAGACCATGAAAAGACATCTTAAAAGTCAAGAACAATTATGTGGATACTCTGAAGTCTCATGAATTGAGATTATGAATTTTATTAAATGCGTTTTAATTAATTATTAGGTAATTGTGTTGTATATATAGTTATATTTTATATTGACAGTGAAGGATACAGTATGATTGAATCTCCTGTTGTTACAGCCAGAACTTCAAGGTATATCTATTATATACTATTACTATAGACATAGTTGTCTGTGGCATAGCATACATGTAAATTATTGAGCACAACTATGCAAATATTTAGTCTGCCTAATTATCAGCATGCTAGCACACCTTTGGATTTTGAAAAGGACAGTGCCCCGAACATGTTTTCTGGGCATTTCCATTTTTATACGTCTACATTATTTTTATCCATGTTTCTCAGAAATCTAACTGACTTTATATTTGATTTTAAAACAGAGCTGTAGAGAAAGCTATCAGTGATACTATTACTGGTTTAATGATGTTTGGTGATGATGATTTTAGTGTTAGTCCCGAGAAAGATAATTTATCATTTGCTACTGACTCAGGTATTTATTATTGTAATATTCAATAATATCATAAAATAAATTAGGTTAATATATACTGGCTTTTATTGATTAGTCAATACTTGATTGGAAAGCATGTGAATATATCGGTTTGCAGAACATACTAGGTTGGTCTAAATGTCAAGTGTGTGTGCTTTAGACCTTAAGGTCTGCCCTTCAGTAAAGTGTCATGGTTTCGATCCTTCAATTGGGCCTGCCTAACCTTGTGGGTTTCTTATGCATCCTGTAGTTTCCTCTCACTGCTGAAGACCCCAAATTGTTCAAATAAAAATCTAGCATTTGGTAGTCCCAAAATGACCTTGTTATGTTGAGTGGACATTATACCCCAGTTGTTACATTAAGCTATAAATAGTTTTATAGTTAAATAGATATTTATAATGATTTGACTAAATGATCTTAAATGATCAATCCCCAAGATTAAAATGCTGAATCGTGTCATAATAATTTACATCAATATGATTTCAGATGTTAATTCTCAAGGCCAGTCTTTCTATGAAAAGGATGATTGGTAAGTTTTAGGTTAATCATTCTCTGTGTTGATTTGACTACAAAGTTACATCAATGGAGTTACAAAGTTACATCAATGGAGTTCGAATGAAATGTTGTTGTTTGAAGATTTTTTTTTTTTGTCCCCCGCCTTTCGAAGAAAGCAGGGGACTATTAAAATGGGTTCGTCCGTCTGTCTGTCCGTCCGTCCGTCCGTCCGTCCGTCCGTCTGTCTGTCCGTCTGTCTGTCCGTCACACTTTTTGGGACACAATAACTCTCTTCCTAATTGAGCTAGAATGTTCAAACTTGGTATATGTGTTTATTAGGTCAATGCCTTGATGGAGTTCGAAGATGAGCATTTTCCGCTTAGGGTAAGCAGAGATAAGCAATTTGATTGGTTGATGCTTTGGGACACGATAACTCTCTTCCTAATTGGGCTAGAATGTTCAAACTTGGTGTATGTGTTGATTAGGTCAATGCCTTGATGGAGTTCGAAGATGAGCATTTTCCGCTTAGGGTAAGCAGAGATAAGCAATTTGATTGGTTGATGCTTTGGGACACGATAACTTTTAATTGAGCTAGAATGTTCAAACTTGGTGTATGTGTTTATTAGGTCAATGCCTTGTTTATTTTGATTCTATCTGATAGAGAGTGATGAAACTTAATGTATACTTAATAATCAGTTTGATTGCTGGATACTTTTGAAAAAGATAAACATGCAATTAATTAATATATGTCATCTATTTATTTCGGGATTTCAGCGGGGGACATCAGCCTCACTGTTGGCTTGTTTTGTTTTTTTTTTGCTGCCCTTGCTGCCCTGACTTAAATCAGCAGCACATGACTCATTATTATGGAAAATTCCACTGAAGATTTGATTTATGGTCCCATCGTTCAAGTCTTTGACAGAAGACAATGAAATGTTCAAATTAGTACAGTGTCATGAGATAACTTGTATTTCCATGGACTGGTGACCAGTTTACTAGACCCTATTTATTTGAAACGGATTTCAATTTTATTGTAGTATAATTTTGGACCAATGTTACAAAGATATATTACACATATTGTAATTGTTAACATGAATATTCATGACCTTTATATGAATAGTAATGAGTTACATTGCAAAGCAAGCAGTTGTCTTCTGTACATCCAATATGTTGTAATAGTGTATGGCTGTTGAAATAAATATGAATAGATATATAGCATTGTAATTATTATTTTTCTGTGACAGTGATGAAACATTAGGTCCAAGTATACAGATAACAGATTTAATTAATCAGTTTGAGAATCATGATGATACTTATGGTGTAGCAGACGTTACATTTGATAATAAAACCAAACAACGACCAACTTCTACAGCTTTTGAATTTTTTGAAAGTAAAGGTGTTGTAATAGTACAGGTAAATAGATTTTATTCTCTGTAAATTGATGTGAACTCATTTGAACTCTTAAATTCCTCACTCCATGTTAGTTCAACACTATTACTTCACAATCAAAATATTGTTTTAAGTTCATCAATATATGTATAAGGTTAATTGTTTTCCAGTTGGTATTTTTAAAGAAAGCAGTTTGTTTTTCAAATAAATATTTGTTACGACTTTTATTGTAATTGGGAAAAGATTGCTTCATTTAAGGATTTAACCATTTCAAATGTTAATGTCTAACTGCAGCCATGTAAAAAGTAACAAAATTTTAAAATCTTGTGCGATTACTTCAGACTAAAGACAGGGACCATAAGGTTATGTTTTTAGTTCCCTTAAGAGACCATTTCTTTTTCGACATACAGAATTGTGTGCTATATTATGATTACCTTGCTCTAAGAAATATAAAGTGTTTTATTCAGCGACACAAAGTTTGCACCTAGCAAGAGTGAGCTAAATGCTAGAGAACTAGGTAGCTTACCACTGTGTCATGTCATGGTATTTAGTGTGACCCTGAGTGATATATATATTTACATACTTGATATTTATAATGTAATATTTTTATGAAATAAATGTGCCTTGTGGGTATATGTTAGATATCTGCAAGTAATTTCCTGAAATTGCGTATATATTTAGATCTTCTTTACTAAGGAAGTCTCATAACTATTTCGTTATAAATGCAATATTTGGGGGGGGGGGGAATAAAAAATTTTGTTTACATATAAATGCTATAGAGTTTATAAGACAAGCCCAATAGAATTATCTGACTTGTTATAGACATGTGCACCTAGTACTTGGTGGAGAAGATATATCTGTAAAACATTGAATATTGGTAACATGCCATAATCACTATACATAAACCGGTATATAAACAATATTAAAACCATTAACATTGTTTTTGAACCTTTATCTACCAATCCTGTAAATATAAATCAAAAGAATTTTTTCATAGAGGTGAAATCTTTCTTATCTTGATGTTCCGTTCCTGAAACTGCATGTATATAATGTTGACTTAAAGGACAACATAAGCTGTCATTCTTGATCTCATTTGGAATTAGTTTCAACTATGCTGAATCTCAACTGTCAACCTTTTAAATATTTTAATTTTAATTAACACATTAATTAGTGGATGAGATATTATATCTCGAGCTGTTGTTGACCATTGATTTGCATGAGCTGCAAATTAACTTTAGAAGCCTTTGCAAAAGTCAGTGTTGTCCTTTAAGTTCTAGAAGTTGAGGATTGTTCATGTATAATATAGTCAAGTTATTGTTGTACTAGAATATGAAGAAAGTTGTTTGTTGCATTTTCAGGCACAGGATCCAATGTCTAAATCATTGACTGTCTCATCAAAAAATCCCAGGTAGGTACAAACATTATTTTATTGATCCTTGCTACGTAAGTTGTACCAGTGTACTTACAGGGTTTGTCCAAACGTCCCGCAGTTTTATTGGAAGAGTTTGAATACTTTGGTCATTTTGGGACAAACACATGCTTATTTTATATAATTCAACAACCAAGGGTTCTTCTATGTACACACGAATCTGTACATGCTTTTTATGTTTTGAAGTTTTCAACAAAACATCATTCACAAGACTTAATTATGGCTATTTATTTATTGAAACTGAAGGACTAAAAATTAATTAATGTTGGGGTGTTACTGTTTCAGTACTTATTAGTATATTAACTAGTGTATTATATCTGTATAATGTTTTATTGTAGTCCGTTTATAGATGAAGATGATGTGGATGTATTTGAAACAGTAAAACCAGATAATCTTCTACAAGGGGTAAGTTGACAGGCAGTCAATTTTGATGTATTTTGTTTACTAAAATTAGAAATCTATGAGTGGGGAGTAGCCGTCCCTGATTTCTCTCATGAAGTGACTAGTTTCGTTCAGTTCAAACTTATCAGACTTAAGTGAGATTGCGCAGATGTTTCCTTTATATGGTCATCGGGGACTCGTACTTAAGAATTTTCACAACGAATGGTTATACATTTTCATAAGATTGAGTCCTGAAGGGTCACCACATTCTTCGAATTTTGTTTACTACAGATTCGAAAAATATATATTTTGAAGTGTTTTACATATAAAAAACATTTAAAGATACATTATGGGAGATTAGATAAAGAGCTGGTAGTTCTCACTATAATAGTTAAAAACTAGATAATGTAAAGGGAATTTGCTGAAAATTTCAGTCAAATTGATCCACTCTGAACCAAGATTTTAGTGATTGAATTTTCGGCTTAGTCTCGATCATCATTACCAAAGTCAGTACGATAAAAAAACATAATCTCGATTATCCATTTCATGATTAAAGTATGAATGGAAGTTGAACAGCAAATCTGAACCTAATCCAATAAACATTGCAGGCTAGCAATGCCATCGAGAGTTGATTATGGTCTGGATAAGTTAGTTTAGATAACATTTCAGGCCTAAAGAAAGACCTGCAATAGGCAGATTTAGCTCTTGTTTAATTAAGTGTAATTATTGTGTTTTATGGTTAAATTCTAATTCTAGGTCATGTTATCTATAAGATTTTACCCATGTTCGTGGTGTTGGTTTGTTTAAATCATCTGTAGTGGATGCTAGCTGTTGCTTTCAGAGATTCAACTTTCATAAAAAAATTGGTTTGCAAAGGTTTCAAAATTTTTCAGCGACTTGAAATAAATATTGTGTGCTTGAACTAACACATTATATTGAAAACAAAAAGGTAAAAAAAATTTAATTGGAATATTATATGATTTGTTATTATACTTTTAGTTCAAGAAACCGAGTGGACCAGTAAGAAGAACACCAAGTCGTAAAGGTAGAAAAAGTTTAGAGAAAGAAGAGGAGGCATTAGATGATTTGTTAAAAGAAACCGAGATAGTTTCCAAAAATAACCCATCTAAACCAGACAGTTTAAGCAATCATAGTATTCGACCAGATATTGATTTCCTACTGCGAGAAGAGAAAGAGAATATAAAACAAGCTGCATCACCCGATCGCTCACCAGGAAACAGTAGAAAACCATTTATACCTCCACTAGATTTAACTATCCTACATGAACATGTTGATAGTTCAGGTAGGTGTTTACATTGTAATCAGTTTATCTATCAGTAACATCCAAATCCCTCCTAAAAAATGACATTGACTCCTTCCCATCCCTTGAAATTACTTTGGAAAAAAATGGCCATAACATCTTTCTTTTGACATACTCTCCACCTCATATCTCTTAAAAGTTACATTGTTAAGCTTTCCACTCCATCCCACTGAAACATGGCATTGAGTAAATACATTGATAAAATCTCATCCACACCCCCTTGAACCTATCTAGGAAAATTATGTCGCCACCTCATCCTTTTATATTATGTTGATGAATACTAGCCACTCGCAACCTGATTCCCCCAGAAATTATGTTAATGAGAACTCTCAACTCTTTCTCTAATCTTGCCTAATGCCTCTTTAAGAGTTCAGTAGGAGAACTCCCCATTTTATTTCCCAATCAATTGTTGATGTTATATATATTTGAATAATTTCAGACCCAATACCTGCTATGAAAGCCCAGTCTATGGGGTATATACCAGTACAGAATGAGTGTGATAAAGAGAATGAGGAAGAAACTGATCCTAGTGTTATTCTATCACCTAGAAGTAGTAAACTTAAAAAAAAGAATGGGTAGGTATTATTATTAGTATTATTTCATCCATTGTAGATTTCATGTAATTAGATTTTTGATTGCTTAGTTTTATATAATCTATTTTATAGAGATACAGTGCGGCCAAAACAATTTAATTTTTAGTTATTCATATTCTTGATAAATATATAGCCAAATTTCAACAGAAATCTTTTAAGAAGAGCAACAAAGTATTTTTTTTAAATCATTTTTTCCCCAAAGAAACAAGAAAAGTTTAATAGGCATTCTTGAAGAACAAAAATTCAATTGGTTTTGGCCTGATGCATGTTTTTCTAATAGTATATTATTTACTTTGGATATTGATATGTAGAACAAATTGGTTTCAAGTGTGATGTGTGCTCCTCCTTCTCCCTGTTTAGTTTGATAATTCATGTAGCTTAGATTACAAAATAGAAGGTCAGAAACACTGCACGTATTTATTTTAGACCTATGATTAAATGTTTTGGTGGAATTTGACAATAAAATCAGATTGATCTAAGTTGTTAATGTTTAAACTTAGTAGAAGCATGCAACATTATAGAAGCTAAGGGTGGTCTTATCTGGCAAAGGAACCGTACTCAAATATAAGGTCATCAAATGATGATTTTAGTATTCCAGTATTCTGCATTGAAATTTAAATAAAGTTTAGAAATTGATTCAATTTTTGGATTATTTTTGGTACATATTCAGATTTCTAAACACTGAATTTATCAAATCCGTAACAAAGCGCAACCATGTAAAATGAAGATAATCATGAAAGCTTCATAATGTTAACCACGAAAGCTTCATAATAACCATGATGGCTTCACAACCTTGGTACTTTCAAAGTAACCATAATGACTTCATAATAACCATGATAGTTTCAAAGTAACTATGATAGCTTCATAATAACCATGATAGCTTCAAAGTAACTATGATAGCTTCAAAGTAACCCTGCAGTAATCATGATAGCTTCAAAGTACCCATGATAGCTTCAAAGTAACCATGATAGCTTTCGTATAGTAACCATGGTAGTTTCAAAATAACCATGATAACTTCAAAGTAACCTGATAGCTTCAAAATACCATGATAGTTTCAAAATGACCTATATTGCCATATATACTGTTTTAAAGTGATGTTAGACCTGATGCCATTCTAATGTACACAAGAATGTCAATCCATAGTTTAGTGGGAATTTAACATATCAGGTAGATCATTAGCCATGCCTTTCTTTTATCTTAAGTATGAAAGTAAAGTATTTAATATATGTTATTTTTAAAGAGTAAAACATAAGAATAAAATTTGTACTTATTAGTCTATACTATATATATAGTTATAGCTGGCTGTACGAAGATATTGAAATAGATGTAGAGGAGGCACCACTTTCTCCTGCAGCTTTTTATATGCGAGGTTTTAACAGGTGATATAATATACACCTAATACTATATTATATATAGTTATAGTACCTATATAAATAGATTATACGTGCAACTTATCGGATTTATAGGGTATATTTATATACATTACTAACCATAGTTTTGGTTTATCGAATAAACAGACATTGTCAGAATCGTGTATTTTGTTATTACGGAACAAGGATTCGAACAGGTATTTTTCGTTATTGAGAACTGTATATGAATACGTCATATACTTTATCGAAACTATTGTAATTACAGAACCGGAATCTGTGTCATGGTCTGAAATGATATGCACTGGGCTTATTCCTCAAAACAACCAGCGTATATCATCTTTTTCTTACTGGTATTAGAGCAATAGAGAGCTAGGACTATTATGTTTTAAAAGTAATTTATGCTTTTGGTCTTGGTGGTATATTCTAGATTTGGTGATCTATATTTACATACATCTATGTACTTAGAGCTAGAAATCATATTTTGAAATATTTTTTATTCATGAAATTAAAAAGTAACTAAATAATTGTTTAGCAGTATTTCTATATTTCACAAACATAGAAATTTATTGTTTATTTGTAAAGATATACAGATTTTAATAAACCATAATCATTGTTATGATTTTTTGTGCAGTCATAATTAATGATAAAGTAGAGCTATTTTGTAATAAAAGTAGAGCTATTAGATATTATTATAAACTGTATGTTTTTAGTTGGCTACCTTACAATGGAGATGTAGAAGAAGCACCTATGTCACCCAGTGCTAAAACATTCTCCGAGCAAACCAGGTGATTTTATTATCAATAACATATAACAAACAAATATCACTGGCCTGGCACATATCAACACCTATTTTTTTTTTTTTAACAGAAATCTTAATTTTTTTTTTGTTTTAATTTCTGTAAAGCAGACGATGTCTGTTCTTGTCTGACTTCTAGTCTGTTTATTCTTAAAATGGTTTGGGTGTGTGTTTTGTAAATAGCCTTTTTTGTGTTGGTGAATTATTTTATTGTATCGTCAAGTACAGAGAGTGATTGTCTGGGAATCTGGGTGAGGTAAATTTGTTTATAGTGGTGAATAAATTTCTGTTTTATGTGGGCAGTGGCTTTTTTTTTCTTTTTTTTGGGGAATATAAAACTATGTTCTTAGATAAGATAAATTAAATAAGACACTTTACAGATGCGTATATATATTTAGATTTGGAACACAAGTGCAGGAGCAATTATTCGAATCAAATAATTTTGATTGTAATAGCACTGTACTCGGACTAGAATGTCCTAGTTTCAAGATAGGTAAATGCGTGCAGGATTGACCAGTATTTCGGAGGTTATGAGAAATTAAGGAATTTGATGAAGCGTAGGCGAAAATGCTGTAATCCTTCCAAATTTCTCCTCCCTAGAATTGTTTAAGTGAATATAGGGAAAAAAACAACTGTATTTTAGTACCAAAATTATTGTGTTGAGATGCAAACTCCATACAAAATTTAATGTCATTCTTAATATGCATTCTTAAATATACATATACATGAAATTAATTATATATCTATAGAGTTCCAGTGATTTTAAAATAAACTAGAAATGTATTGTAACCTTTATGAATTTTAGATCAAATGAATCTTGTTCACATAAGGAAGCTCCTCCATCACCCAGTGCTAATTTAATGATCAATCAATCATTTACAAGGTGATTTTTAAATAGTATCTAAGATTATGATTTACTTACAATAGCATTTCTAATCTTAATTAAACACAGATTTTTTTAACACTTTAGATTTTCCATTTAATACCTTTTATCTTCAAACAAATACTTTGAGCATGGTAAACAAGATAAAAGTTGACTACCATACATTCCTCGATCTGTTTGATTTTAATGCATCTATTAGGCATGGTGAATGACATCGACAGTCTTTTCTTACAAGAAATATTTGTTTTCTCAGTGCATTAGAGCTCTTTAAATTAACAAATTGGTTATAGTTATTCCATGAATATTCAGCATTTTTATTTATTGTATGTAAATGTATGCATTGTATTTCAGAAATATTGTATAGTATTATTTTCAACGAGTTTCGCTCAGTGAAATATGGCATGTATGTGAAATTTCTTTTTGAACTTATTTCACAGCAGTCTTTTGTAATTTCTAAATGAATGGACAAATGTAATTACATTTATTTATTGTAATGTTGCAATTAACCTGTCCCTGATGTCAATCAGTATGATGTATAAACACAACATTAACTAAACAGATAATCTCATAAATACACAACTTTCTCTGACAATCTAACAATTCAATAAATTATCAATTTCATGTTTTGTGTGATTAAGATATTTCTCTCCTGGTAGATGAATATGTAAGCTTTCTGTAAAATCTGCAATTTTCAGTGACCTGGGAAAAGTTTTCATACATAAACTTCAGAAAATGTAGATAGTCTAAGAAAGATGCTGAGATTAATTATTTTTATGAAAATGTACACTTGGTGACTTCAATAAGAAAATACTCTTTACATGTAGTTTAAACTATAAAAAGTAGTCCAGTTTTGAAATGAATATATTTAATTGGAAATTGATACATGTATTCTTATAATATTTTGTGAATGTTTTGTATTTGTTCTGCTTTTTATTGTGTAGTTAGTGAGCCAGCTAATTAACAATGGCATTATATTTTAGTTTAGTGCTAGTTTATTTTTTATATAGTTAATCTCCATTATTTCAGCTATTTTCCCTGTGATTATTTACATATAAGGTTTAGACTTGTTTTATTTAATGAACTGATATACATTGACCAGATTCTTCATGAATTATTTTCATTTTCATCCAGAGGAGATAAAACGAAGAAAGAGTTTCCTTTTTATAAAGGATTAAAATATTGAAACCTATACATATTTAGTTAAAGAGAAAAGAGGGAAATAAAGAGCTTGATTATTTTATATTGATTATATTTTTTTTTTTGGTTTATTTGTAGTGTGGCATTGAATACAGATATACCACCATCACCACCTGTTGATCAAGATAGATACCAAAAACACGGGTTAGTTTATCAATCACTCATATAAAATATTTAATAGTTTATATTTAAAGCCACTGATCTTTATATTATGAGGGATAATGAATCCCTTGCAAAATGTTCTATTCAATATTTACAAAGATTTCACAGATGATTTAAACTAACCCGTGTCACCACTTGATGGGCCTCTTTACTATCCGCTCGAATCCAAGCCAGGAGATTATCTACCGTTGCTATTTTTTTTCTTAATTAATTGTTTAAAATAATCAATTTGAGAAGTTTTTAGAGTGGATTAAGTAATGACAAACTAGATATTGGTGCAAATGACGCACAAATTCAATTTAATGTGAAAAATATTGTGTGATTAACTGACCAACCAAAAATGGTGTGATTCTATTATCCGTCGTAAAAGAGTATATGGAATTCATGGATTTATCAGAAAGACTATGTAATGTTAGATGTTTTTAAAATATATGTTTTTTTTTCTATTCAGCTCTGCACCAGATGATGAAATAAGTCAAAAACTAAGACAGTTAACAAAGAAAATTCAAGGTAGTTATGGGTCATACATTATTTTGATTATCTCCTCTTTTTTTTTCTTCTTTTTTTTAAATTTTGATATTGTTAATAATTTCAAAGTTCACTCCTGGTTCTCACTTGTCACAGACCATGTCTGCTGATATGACATTGGTAAGAGTCCATTCTGATTGGTTGGGGTGTGATGGCCGAATAGTTTATCGCCTTTCACCATGAGGTCTGTCATTGAGTCAAGCAGTGTCCATCCTTGTGGGTTTTCCACAGGTTCTCCGGTTTCCTCCACAGCTAAAGACTGCTATGTGCATGCAAATTATTAAAATAAAATTAAACTTTTAAGTTAGTTCTGAAATGACCTAGTTTCTCTCTCTCTCCATCCATCCATTCAAGGAGGGTTTGACCATGTACACATTAATAGTAATTATAAAAGACCACTTGTGCGTTGGAATTTGAAGAAGGTACACTATCTAGGCAAAGTCTACTTCTTTGGTATACATGCATAAAAATGAAATAGCTGTTAGTGTCAGTTACTAGAATGGCGGCCATAGTAATTCTGGTTTATTGATGTGAACATGATCATAGTAAAGCTGAAATTATGGTGTATTGAGTAAAAATTAGAGCTGTATTCTACCACTAAAAAATCTGCATTGTTTGAATTTCCAAAGTTAAACTCTTGTTAGCCAAATTTCAATGTTTAAGAATATTAGGATTACTTTAACCAATTTTTCATTGATTATCTTTATTCTTGATCATAATTATTAGATAAAAATGTAATATTTAGTGTCAAATTAGCATCTTCTTTGTACATAGTTCACATTTTTGGATGTTATTTAATTTTTTCAATAAAATGATTTATTTTTCAGTGTTTAAAAAGAAAATTAAGAACTTTGAGGAAAGTTTTGAAAGAGATCACGGCTACAGAGTAAGTTTGTTTTATTTATTACTTAAAAGATAAAGTTAATGTTTGATTTGAGCTTTAATTTTATTGAAAGGATTATATGAATGTTATGTTAATTTATTTTCAGCCCTCACAGAGTGAAAAGGCTAGTCGACCAGAAATAAAGAAAAATATGCATGAACTATCAAAAGCTAGAAAAGATTTAAAAAGTAAGTATCTGTAAATAGATTTATTTCATCACTCCTAAGCATTTTATCTAGCCCCGAGTTCCCAAAGCATTCTTAGACTTAAGTTAAGAATTTACTCAAAATCTTTAGCCTTATATTCTGAGAATGCATTGTGAACTCAGGGCCAAAGCTCTTTATTCACTCATATCTGCTCGTTTTGACTGACTGACAGTGAAATTAATTGACTAGAGAACCTACCTGCCAGTCAATTCATATGCCATCTATTTAGAATTTCTAAGAATTTAACCTTAAAACACAATAAATGCAGTTAGAATTGTAGTTTATATTATATATATTATATATATAAAAAGCTGTCATATTCTTCAGGAAAAACATCTTGCTAATCAGAGGTAAAAAAATACGCCAAAAACTGACATAGCACAACATTTGATAATGAAAAAATGTATTTAAGATGGAACAGCCAATTTGTTCTTTAGTCTATTTTAGCTGTTGTCATTGAGATTTTAGATTATTGTCATGGCTTGTTTATTATATTTAGAATTGAAAGAAGAGGCTGAAATGGGTAGTCGTAGTCGTCATGGTAGTGGAGCTTCATCATCTGGTGAAAGAAGTGATCCACCAGCTAGTATTTTATCATCATCTATACAACAAACATTAGAAATGTTATTAAAAAGATTGGAAGAAAAAAGAGCTGAAGCAAAAAGACCAAATGATATATCAGTAAGAATGTTGTTACTTACCTCTATAGATATAAATATTTACCATAGTTTTCTGCAAGAAAGGAATGATGAATTAGAAGTCGGTCACTTAAACATTTAGGACTGGTTTCTTAAATACTCACTGAGCCACTGTTGCTCAGTGAGTAAGGATGGCACTGGCTCTTTAAACAAAACAGTAGGTCCCGGGTTTGATCCTGCTGATGGCTGAGAAAGTTCTTTACCATTTTCGTTCAGATGAAATGAAAAACCTGAGGTCAACACCTTGGCACATAAGCAAAAGATCTCTGACATAATAGTGGGTGCAAAAACCACTGTCTTGGCAAAATTATCCCTCTGGTCTCAAAATGGCAGTTGTGATGAGACATTAAACCCTGTTTCATTCCATTTATTCTAAATTCAAATTTTCCAGGCTCATAATCACACATATTATGATCAGATATATCCTATTTATCCCGAGTCTATGACATAATTCAAGTTCCAATGTAATGTTGTAATGTTATTTTTTAGATGATGATAAGAGAACAGGTACAAGAAGAAAAGCTGGCTATACAAAAATCACTTCTACATTTTGAGAATCTTTTTGGCCGCCCGGTAAGTAATCCAGGAAACTTTAAATTCTTCGCTACTTAAATATGCACGAAAAACTTTATCGCTGTACCCCAGTGGAATTACATTTGAGTTCACTTTTGAAAGTTTCCATCCAAATTCTTTGCTCTAATATATAAGATCATATTGTTGTATAATATATGTGTGTGTGTTTATATGTGATCAAATTTTTGTCTAATCACAAATGTGTGCTCCTATGGATGATACTAGTTACACCTTTTATTATTAATATATATTCTAGACCAGCTTCGCTATATAGATCAGAATTCTTACTTGGTCTGTTTTACGGATGTATAAATTGTAAAGGTGTTTGGGACGAAACAGCTGATGAAATATGTATGCGATCACACATTTTTATACGCCCACATTTTCATGTGAACGTATATTGTCATCACTCCTGTCCGTCCGTTCGTGTGTCCAGTCACATTTTGTTTGTGGACACTCTGCTAGATACAATTTTTATCCGATTTTAACGAAACTTGAAATATAGGTGTATTTGTGTGTACCGGACCATAACTTCATGGATTATGGCCCCTGATTGTATGAAAAATCACGTTTTTAGCTTGTGGACACTCTAGAGGTCACATTTTCATCCGATTTTGATGAGACTTGAAAAGTATCTTTTTAGCCCAAAGATTCTGGTTCCTTTCGATTTTCACACATATAGGACTGTAACTTCCTGGATTATGGCCCCCGATTGTACGAAATATATCATTTTTACCTTTGGTAAATGTAGACCTCACAATTTATATACGATTTAAAAAAAACATTTAAATATATCACCATTACACCATAATGAGGGTTGTGTTCGAATTTCGACAAAATCAGACAGAAACTGCCGGACAAAATGGCCACTCCTTGAACGTAAATAGTGAAAAAGTATGTCATATCAAGGTTCTTCATCCTTTAGAGGTGACAATTTTGATCCGATTTTGATTAAACTTTAAATTTGTGTTTATATCACAAATATCTTAGTTCCTTTCGATAATCATTTATATCGGAATGTAACTTCCTGGATAATGGCCCCTGGTTGTTTTTAGCTTGTGGTCCGCCCAGAGGTCACAATTTTTATCTGATTTAAAAAAAAACATTCAAATTATTCACCATTACACCATAATGATGATTGAGTTCGTATTACATGAAAATTGTACCGAAACTGCCAGACAAAATGGCCACTCTATATATACAAATAGTGTTAAAGTATGTAATATCAAGGTTATGGATCCTCTAGAGGTCACAATTTTGATCAGATTTTGATGAAAACATGTGTTTATATACCAAAGATCTCCTTATGGCCCCTGATTGTACAAAAAAATTTGTAGACCCTCTATAGGTTACAATTTTTATCTGATTTTAAAAATCATTTAAATTTTTCAATTTCAATGAAGATTGAGTTCGAATTTCGTGAAAATCAGACCGAAACTATCCAACAAAATGGCCGCTTCTTTGTACACAAATAGTGTAACAGTATGTAATTCCAAGGTTGTGGACCCTCTAGAGGTCAGAGTTTTTATCTGATTTTGATGAAACTTAAAATATATGTTTATACCCCAGAGATTTCGATTCCTTTTGATATGCACGCATATCGGAGCATAACTTCCTGGATTATGTCGCCTATTTTTTTAGTTTGTTTTCTGTCCATCTCCTGCAAAATGTGGGCGCATCTTGCATGACAACAGCTTGTTATCTTCAATCCAAATAGTGACCGTGTGCGATAGACATATTATTATATTCTGTGTTGTTTTTTAGACAAATAAAATGGAGAAAGATTTAATGAGACCACTGTATGATAGATATAGATCTGTTAAACGAATTCTCGCAAAACCCACATCTGTAAGTAATTTATTATTTCATTATTTTCTTAATATTTCAACCTTCTGATGCCCTGATTTCACAGAGTTACAAATTCAGAAGTATTCGAACCCTCATTTGATGTTTTCTAGATGTTTGTTGTAGAATGTCAATTTACTATCTGCCAGCTTATATATCGATAAAGTAATTGACAAAAATGTCAGATTTTGTCAATCTGGCAAAATATTGAAGTTAAAGCTGTGATTTATTCTCTTGAAAATGTAAGACATTTGATCAAAAATTGTTCTTTGTCCCGGACTGGAATCTTGGGATGTATATATAGCATATTGGTATGTAATAAATCCATCTATTTAAGAACTGTCGACATTTATCATTATTAAAGTTATAATTTTGTTTTTATATTAAAGCCAAGAGATACAGTTGAATTAGAGACTGTACCAGAAGACCAGCCTATAGAAATAATGTCAGCTACACCCTCAAGTTCTTTTGTAAGTTTTTACTCACTTACTTCTTTATATAGTTTTGATCATTTTGAGAGATTTTAAAGGCTATGCAAACTCCAATATTGTTAAAGTTGAATCTCTACAAGGACTATCAGTTCAAAAATGGGATAATTCTGTTACTTGTTTACAAAGATGTGATGAATTTCAGAACTTCTAAAACAGTTTGCTAGCTTATCAAAAGCACACAATACTGAAATTGACTTACCCATTGTGCTATGAGAAATATGAGATTTTCTTAAACAGGCATTATTCAAGAGCTAAATCGGTCTATGGCAGGTCTTTACTTTGGCATGAAATGTTATCTAAACTATTAATTAGACATTTATTAACATAATAAGACCATAATCAAGTCTTGATGCCATCAGATAGGTGTGTTTTTAAGTAGATTAGAACGGTGTGGCCATTTAATGATTTAATCTTAAAATGGTGAAGCAAGGCTAAGCCTCAAACAACCAGGACAGTGGTTACAATCATTGCACACATCTTGTCAAACCTTCAAAGGTTAATATCTTTGCTCAGAATAAAGTAATTTTAGTGAAATTTTCAATATATTCATTGTGCATTATTTATTTTTGAACTGTTATAGCAAGAACATTAATAATAATAGAGACCTGTTCTGTTTTTAGCATTCTCCGTTAAGAATTCCTACAGCAGAAGAAGAGGAAGAAGAAGCAGATGAATTAGGTAGTTTACAGTTTGCTGTTACTAGAGATTTTAATGTATTAAAAGATACTGTAAACCCTGCTGATAGTAAAGAAACAATATCACCAAAAGTTAAAAAGAAAAATGTACAGTTAGCTAATACAACAGAATGGAAATCTACCGAATCGAATCTACATGAACTTGATGTGTAAGTATCATTAGTTATACTATGGTATATTATTGCTAGTTAATCTCTGAGTGGCATTTAAAATGTCAGGCAAATAAATCTATCATATAATTTACCTGTCAGGGAATTCAAATATTTAATCATAAACAGCAAAATATGCAGTCTAAATTTGTAGTCTTGTATATGTATATATATATATATTTTGAAAATAGTTACATTTCTGGAATTATTAAGTAATGAAATTTATAAAAGAACATTGTTCACATCAGAATACCATTAAACAGAAATTCAAATTGGTATCAATCTACAAAAGATTTTTTGCTTGGAAGTTTCATGTATTCTCTCTGTCTAGTGGAGACTTCAGGGTTGTACATTACGTAGTCTTAATTTCCATCATTATGGTATTATGTGTCAATATCACACTTCATTTGGCATGCATGTCAATATGAAATTCAGTCTCCATATATTCGTTAAGACAAAGTTATTCCATTTTCACAAAGTCATCAACTTTGACTTCACTTCAAGGAACTGCACTTCAGTCACATTTTATACATTCATAACACAATATTGTAATTATTTTCTAGACATGAATTACATGATGAACTACACAGAACTAAAGCAGATAAAAGAAAAATGAGAAAACAATTACGAGAATTTGAAGATGTATTCTTTCAGGAACATGGAAGGTAAGGATTTTTACTTTCTATGATTTTTTTTACTCCCGCAGGGAAATTTGGTTGTATATTTAAATATTTGATTAGTGAGAATCTGAAAAGAGAAAACAACATATCCAAATAATAATATTGATAGGGAGTTACACACTTCTACAGTTTATATCCTTGTGATAAATGCTACTTTGTAACTCTTCCGATAAAATAAAAAAATAACAATCAGAATATAGTATTGAATTAGAAAGGTTTAGTAAAAGGTAAGTATTTTCTGTGCTAGCAGTTATTTTGATAAATTTAGATAATCCTTATCTTGATAGATTAAGATATATAATCCTAATTTAAATACAGTAGGAAGTATAACTGAAGTTTATTTATTTCAGAAAAGTTCAGAAAGAAGACAGAACACCATTACAAGAAGAATATAATAGTTATAAGGTAAATTAGAAACAAATTATAAACAGTATTTATTAAACAATCAGCCACAGATAATAAGTACCATAATAGCAAAGTAATACCCTGGAGTAAATCAACTGAAGCATTAATAGCTTGAAAATATATTCTACTTAAAATCTGTACTTTCCGTCAGGGTTATAGCCTTAGATATCTTAGAAAAATCTTGTGGTGGCACTCAGACGAAAGTTATCATTTGATTGACTTGAAATTAATGCATATCTTTCTTTTAAATTTCAACAATATCAGCTAAAGTTATCCTCTGATTACTGCTACAAATATTTTGTTTATGTATAGTGTTTAGAAGAACTAGAACCTTATATATTTATCAAATTTTAATTATTTTTAATAATTACATCTTGCGTTGTTGCTGTTGATCGTTTTTTGTACATGCTCCCTTTAAAAATGTGACAACTTTTACGGACCGCTTGCATGATTTAGCTGCTGTGGGCATATGTTATGTTTTCTAACAACATATCTTTTTAAAAATCAAGTAATATTTCTAAATGTATCTGATTTATATATTTCAGCAAGTAAAAGCGAGATTAAGGCTATTGGAAGCTTTAATTGCCAAAAACAACTCCTCGGAAGCTTAAAGAGATACAGATATTGTTGATGAAGTTATATATTAAAGAAATAATTGCATCTGTGTATTCAACTAGACTGTGGTTTATAAAACAGATATTAAGTGTTGTGTATATATGCAAATGAGACTTGTATTATAATATATAAACATATCTACATGTATTTAAAGCAATATAAATGTAGAGCTATATTATATTTGTGTATTGTTTTTAAAGGACATGTTGAAGTAACTGTGATATGAATTGTGATATGAGATTGTTATATATAGTTAAGTCAAATTCATGCCTAATCCAGATCCCACCCCACCCCTTCCTCTATATTCGGCCAGTCATCAGTGCTATATGTATGTGTTATATAAAAGTCTATTACTAACAGCATTGTTATTAATTAACATAGAGCATTAAAGGATATAGTACATATCGTAAATATAAAATGAATGGTACATTATATTTCCGATTTCCACAGTATAACTATGATTAAATACTTACCAGTGTTCAGATGGATGCTAATTTTTAAATTATGGAAAATTGAGCCTTTTAAGTTTAAAATAATTATTGGTTTTAGTTTTTTGGGGGGTTTTTTTAGGCCAAAAGAAAAATATACAGTGCCTCCCATTTACATGAGTAATCCTAATTTATCAGTTCAATCATAAAATAGATTTAATCACCAGATCTTATCATCAATTAAAGATCTGATATATTTTCTGTTTAGTTATTTTGATTCCGCTATTTGTCATGCATTTCAAGTTCAGGCACCAAGATAGTGAAAATAAGTAATACTTTGATAAAATAAAAAACGCATTCTACCTACCCGATTTTATTCAACCACTGCAACTGGAACCAAGCTGTTTATTTTATTTGGCCCGAGAAATCAGATACAAAATTTGATCACAAATTGCTGCAAATAATATGTTTTTGTAAAGAAATGTGTTAAATTGCATGTCGATTTTCATAAAAAATACATGTAAATGTAACGGGAATAACTTGATTGACTATTGTTGAGCTATTACTATGTTCCAATCATATCGTAATTATGGTAAGTAATACAGTTTCTAAATTAAAGATAGTTATGTGTCCAAATGTTCAATCAATACCACATCTGTATGCGACAAGACATAGAGTCACCAGCATAATTTATGAGGGTTTTCTCTAAGTACTCCGGTCTTCTTCCACAATGTTATTGAAAAATAAAAAATATGTTTGTCCCAAAAAAGATCTGCAGTACTGATGTGGGGACGTTAAACCCATTTATTTATCTCTCTCTCTTTAACTTGAAAACAGTTTTCAAATCATGGTTTTCTACTTGTCAGCTGAAACATGACTTTTATATCACTGTTTTCTAGTAAGAGACTTATAATTACCATAAATAGGATGATTGGAACACAGCCTAGGATACAATGTACACAGTATTCATCTCTCTATCAGGGTATAGAAGATAAACTGCATAATTTATATATACAATAGTTTATCATGTTTAATGATTTCTTTTACAAAAACTAGCATAATTATCATTATTATTATTTTACAGGAAATTTACAATCCATATACTTATTACATGTAAATACTGTTCATTCATGTTACTTTTCTTTTTAATACCTACATTATTAAACTATTTTATTAATATTATAATTATCCTCAGGAATTAATTTTCATTACTTTTTTTGACACTTCTAAATTAGTCTGAAATTTAAAGTGTAGATATTTAGTATATTATACCCGGTGCAGCATTCTCAGATGACTGGTAGACTAACATGGTTAGCACTCCTAATTAATAATACTGCATCAGTCCATATCTTTAACTAACATAAGAAAAATCACTTTCCAACAGTTTAATACATGTTAATCTGAAGAATATGTATTTGATGTAATTTTTTGAATTTGAAATAATGAAAGTGTATTCGTAGTCCATTTCAGCTGTAAATAGAATAAATATGATAATACCCTATGTAACTTTGAATACAGAGTTTAAATGACTGTTATAATTGTTTATTTAATCCAATTCTTGTGTTAGCTAAAACTTAGAAGTAAAGATATATAATATATTTCTCTTAAGAATATCTTGTGCCATATTCAAGTTCATCAGTTTTATTCTCTTTCATGAGAAGTATTCTTCTAATTTGTATAAAAGTTGTATTAATTATATAAGTTCTGAAAAGAAATTAAAATAATTTGATTTGATTGATGCTTGATTCCAAGTAGTTTGTGTCTTTAGTGAAAGTGATTTGAGTTGAGTATTAGAAATAAGTTGAAACTAGCCAAGTGGTTTTGTTATTACAGTTAGACAGCTTTAAAAAGCTTGTTACTTGTTTTTATGGGAACATAAAAGTTTTATTAGTAGGGTTGTGAAGTGTATATAATAGTATTTTTATGTTTTATATATTTGTTATGTATGTATGTAGTGTTTGTAAACCATCTACTTACATTCTAGTGCCATCACTATACAGAAATGTCTTATATTCCTTTGTTATGTTCTCACCATATTTATTTTGTGTAATTGATGGAGTAAGCAATAGTTTGAATCATTGATTTGCGAGGAAAGATATTTTTTCCATTTGTCAGGCCATTTTTCATTTATACGAAGCAAGATTTGTTTGGAGATTAAATCATAATTTGATGATCATCTTATTCTAAAAAAAAAAAAGACTATTATTTCCTTATTTTTAGATATTCAACAGAATATTGTTGGTAAATAGCTATTGGGGTTTAATTTTTCTCGTTTATTTGGGTACATAACAATTTTTGTTTACTTCAAGAAACACTAATTTACATCAGAAGCCATATATATTTGTCTTCCATTCATTTAGACATCAAATTCTCTAACCTGAAGTATTTTCTTTAATTTGAAGTAAAATCATTGATTTCATTGTATATATGTTTAGACAACATGTATAGGCTTTATTATTAACCAACTTTATATTGTGTATTGAAATCATTCACAAAGATGTACATGTATTTAGAATACTGTTCACAAACTAGGTACAAAGAAAGAAATTCAGCACCCCCTTGAATTTTACAAGGACTCTTTTTGCGAGCTTTGGCAGTTTCAGTCCAAACATGACATAAATCGTATGCCTACCAAGGCATTTTTAAAAATAAGGGGGTGCTAATTTTTTTTTCCCCTTTGTGTACCTATATATATATGTAAATGCTATTGTTAAATAGTTAATGTAAATATAAAGTGCTATTAAAATTTAATATTTTATAGGGGGGGGTAGCATTGCTTTTATTATAACCATCACCAGTTTGAAACGTACATACATATAATTTGTTATAAATAGTTTTCTTAAAACCAAATCATCAATAATTTCACACCATCAAGCAATTTAGTTTAATTAGTATTCAAACCAACAATATTTGTTTTGTTTTTATTGTATTTTGTATTGTTTGATATAATTTATACTGGTTTTTATTTACTATTATACCTACAAACAATAATCATTCATTAATAATATATTATGTAGTTAATGTTGACAAAGGTTTCACCCAGCTTTTTATTTATGTTTAGCACATTATATTGAATTTATTTATAGTTTAAAGATGTCTCAAATAATTATTCAAAAAATTGTCCCTTTAAACACAATTGGGAAATCCTTTTTACTTTTTTTTCATTAGACAATGTTTTGAATTCATTTTCTTTTAAATATCTATTTTGAAAATAATAGAAAGTTAGAATTTGTGATGTTATTGGTTTGTTTGGTTTTGCATTAAAGTAATGTTTCTATTTTTTTAAAATTTAATACAAACAAGAATTGTTTTAAAGAATATTTTAGAGTTAGTAGGTCGTAGATCTGTAAATAAAAATTATTTTCCTAAAGATGTCAAGGAATAATGTAATTGTTGAATTTGGTTTATCATTTGAACATAAAATTATTGATATGTTAATTAAAACTTGTCTTATTTCTTTAGTTCATTTATCCAGAGAATGTGTGACTTATGATAGGAAAACATCCTAAACTGGAGTTGGAATATTTCACATCCAGGTGTCTTGATAAGTGGCGGATGAAACCAAAGAGTATGGTAGGATAAATGTGAAATCAAACTAAGCACCATAGATTGAATATCTACAGTTGAACTCTGTAGACAACCAAGTCAGTCCATATCCCTTCACAAACAATAAATAATTGCGGAAACACTTTCTAAGATTTTTTATTCTATTAAACCACAATATGAAGCTTTGTTCAGACTAGCCATTGTAATACTATAAGTTAGTGGGTTACAGAGGTCTCTTGGAAATGATTCAATTATAAATATAGGTCAGACATAGAGTCCACCCCTCAATATAACATCAAGCTTATTCTTAGAAAATGCTTCTATTTGGGGTAAACCCTCACTAAAAGTTGCTGACTCATCCAGTTATTGGTGTGGTTCCTGGCTTTAAATTTAGCAGAGAGAGAGAAATGGGGTCTAACGTCCACTCGACACAAACTAGGTAATTTCGGGACTAACATATGGTTCAAATGGGAGGAAACCAGAAAAAACCCACGAGGTTGGACAGGCGACCCTACTCCTTGTTTCGTAAAACCGGCGAATCGAAACCACACCAGTTGACTCAATGATAGACCTTATGATACAGCATGCAGGTGCTAATCATTTGGCCATCCAACCCCCCTAAATTTAGAAGAGCACTAAAGCAAACATGAAGAGATCTTAAAAGTTGATTCAGCTGCCAAAAATAAACTATTCAAATGGAATAAAATATTTGAAAAATTACTTCTAAAATTTGCCCAAAAGATTCAAGTAATTCATCCTGCAACATATACCCACAAAAAAAGTATATTGTTGTTCAATTTGTTTATCTCATTTAACAATAGAAATCAATGCTCTGCATTATATAACAATAATTCATTGTGTATAAAAATACATGTATCAGTTTTTGCGTTCATAAATATATTCAGCTTATATGCTTTTTAAAAATAAATAAAAATATTGGACATAATTATCCAGTCATATCTCCTTTTTCCAATTCTTCAGCAAAAAACATAAGTTCATTATCAGACAGATCATCGGTTTGTGTTTTATTTTGTAAATTATCTTCAGCTTGTTCTACTGCCATAAGAAAATCGTCTTCATCCGAATCAAATAAATCGTCTAAATAATAAGATGGTAAAATTTCTTGTGGAATATATTCATCTGCAAAAAATAACATCTCTAGTTAGATGCTGATTAGTATCATGTACAAGGCAGAATATAGACAATATTACTAAGCCCCCACAAGGGAGGCAACAAGGACTTACTTGGATGTTGATAAGGCCACTACCACTGTCTCCAAAAATCTCAGTGAACAAGATTTTTTTAATAGGAGAAATAAACTACATGTATAAAATTGCAGCACACCTCTAAATTTTGGTAAGGTTTCTCATTATGACTATGACCATATTTCTGAAGCAATGGCCTGAGAAATCCCTCTCTGGCCATTGCTGGATTGGCTTCTGATACTTGAGCCTTTGAGGGAGTGTATCTATTCTTCCCGTTCAATCAAATCTATCCCAAGTACAGCAACATGACAGCCCTTCATTTAATCTGGGGGTCTTCCCTAAAACTTTGGAAAGTGATTTCAGGTATTAAAAACGGTGAAAGTACTTTTCGTAACCAAACAGTATTGTTAACACTGTATCCATGTTGATAGTCTCGTTTGTCACGCAATTGGTTTTTCTGCAATATTCTTCTATGCACAGGTTAATTGGGCATAATAAAATCGTGAGTCATGACATAACGTTATGTAAACATATTTGGTCCAAATTGGAGCTCTGTTTAAAGCGTAATGATATTGTTACGCAGTTAGCTATTGGTTGTTAATCGGACTATTGACCAGTCATAATTTGAAACAGAAATTTGCTTCCTTTACAGCAGTGTTAAGTGGGATTAGCTCTAATCAAACGAAACACTGCGATATAAAAAGGATATGGTTTTGGTGAGACCGGCAATAACTTCGTAAAATTGATGCATGGCTATAAAATCTAAACAGAAGTTTGTGAAGTTTGCATATCTTTAATGTGTATATTACTCCATTACCTTTTGATTTAAAACCTTGTAGTTTACAGTCTGGATCGTGACATTTCTGATAATAAACACCTTTCTTTAAATCAACCACAAACCTGAAATATAGAAAATACTTCAAAATAAACCAAACAAAAATTAGACTATATTCAACCAAGCAAAAATACTTCATATTAGACTAAAATCAATTAAAAGTAAGGAGATCCAAATGAATTTAAAGTGGCATTATGGAAGATTATATTAAGAGCTGACAGTTCTCAATAATAGTTAAAAAAAAGATAATGTAATGGGAATATGCTGAAGATTTCAGTCAAATTACTTCACTCTGAGCGGAGAAATCCTCATTTTAATAACACTGTAGCCTCGATTGTTACGATAATAAACAAAGTCTTGATTTTCCATTTTTACGGTTATTCATCAATGACTGTTGAACCGCAGATCGGATTAAAATCTGTTGAAAATCGGACCCATCATGTGGCATCGAGAGTTTATTATAGTCTTGTCATGTTAATAAATGTCTAATTATATAGTTTATATAACATTTAAGGCCCAAAGAAAGACCTGCAATGGGCAGATTTACCTCTTGCATAATGTATGTTTAAACCCCGGAGAGAATATATGAATATTCACATATTTTAATCTTTTTAAATTAAAATCTAAATATTGGTCTTTCTTTCTTATTTTAAATGGAACCAAAAAAAAAAACATGTAATTTTACTGATTTACTTACATAATGTTGTTACTTTTATGTTGTCTACCAATATTATAACACCATCTATATCTACCTATATCATATATCAACAATTCACCAGCAGTAAAATATGTCCAGTGTCTTATAAAACCTTTCTTCTTATCACCATTCACCAGTTGAAATATAAACATATCTATCTCGGGATATGGGGAACGCTCATTTCCTTCTATAGTCTCTGAAAACAAAATCATTGAATGGCATTAATTGTAATGGTAAGCACATGAGGACTGCACCAAGCACTGACAGAAACCAATAAGACAAACGAGCGGTCACACAACAAACGGATATTTCAATTGACAAAAACCAAAAACATATTTCAAATCGAGTGAATGGATCAGATACGTTAGATTACAAAACAAATGAACATTTCACACTGAAGAAGCTTGTTTACTTTAAGGTTCAACAGATGATATATAATGCATACCTGCAATATTTTTGTCTGTGTTACTTCTTAAATTGAACATCTTGTCAACTGGTTCTCTTTGGTCAAAAGACAAAATTCGTAAACTATCTGTATGGCTGTTACAAATACCAAATTAATTACAAATTGTATAACTTATAAACTGTTAAAATACAACGTTGTCAGGCAAACTGTTTATGACCACCACCAGCATTTTGAAAGTGGATTTTAAGTTTAAGTTGTCAGAGACAATAACTATGCATAAACATACAGAAGGTCTTTTCAGGCCCCATAATACAACCACCACCACCAGCAAAGTCATGAGTTCTTGATCTAAAATCAATGTTAATTTAACAAATCCCACTGGACAAATTTAAAATAAGAAAAAATTTTAAGTTTTATAGTCAAAACATGAACAGTGAGATACCTCTATAAAACACATTTGTAATTTATCAAACGAAAATTAAGAAAATCGATAGGGGTCATCATTATAACCCAATGAACAATCCCTGATTATCTGAACTCTTGATTTTTCTTTTGGTCCTGTACCTACATGCAAGCTAAATATCAACTATATGTTATTTCAAATATAATAAATTTCTCTCTTGTGGTTGTTTAAAAGAATTGTGGACGGACAGGGGTATGAAATGAAATGAGATGGGGTTTAACGTCCTACTGTTCTGCTTCGAACTGGGCTAATGAAGACAGGCATATGGCATACAGCGTGTCATGACGGAAATTTTGTCCGGACAGCGGCACTACGGCCTACTCTTATATCGAATTCAACTGTCAAGGGATCTTTTACGTGCACGCCAATGTGTACACGGGACCTCGGTTTTTCGTACCATTCGAACAACTAGACAGCTGTCCTTTCAGGCCCTCCATCCTGCATCACTGACAAGGGGGAACCACGCCAGAAAATCTGGATGGATTTTCTCGGCCAATACACGGATTGAAGACAGGGGTATGACAATGTGAGTATAAAATATAACATATTATATCATATATACCTGACATTAGATATAAGAGAATCTATAAACAAGAGTTCATCTATTTCTATATTACCAATATTTCTAGCTTTATATTTGTTATCTTTAGCAAGAAGGAGAGGATTTCTCTTTCCCAGTTTATTAGATAAATACAGACGAAAATTTCGATTCTTTGTGTAAACACCTGAAAGAGAAAATAAAATAAGTTGAGGAAAAACAAACCATCACAAAACCAAACATTTGCTACCACCATTTGCTCTAATCAGAATTGGGACATATTATATTTTTAATTCTCAAATGTAAAATCAATCAAAAAATATCTCAATTCCATTTTTTTTCTTAAATGTACTACTTTTAGTGTCATTTTTGAACTCAACTAAAATACTGTTCCAAATGAATTTAAATGAAACAAAATTTGGCTTCTTTCATATTACTAAACATGGAAATATCTGACTCAAAATATTATCTGGAGAACTGAAAAAGTAAATCGACATATTTTATCCTGTATTATGGACCAGGAACCAACATCATCTTGTAATTGTGTCGTCATATCCAAAATGGAACAAGCATGCCAAATTTCATGTCAATCATATTTGAATTGGCAGAGCCATGAACTTTTTTCAAAGAGTGTTGCCCCTAAGAGAAAGATGAAAAGCTATTGTGATCCAGTTCCTGGTCCAAAGATCATGTTAGTTTTGACCAACCTGTATCACAAACAAATGTAACATCACCATCACATGATCTATACACTAACAATGATTTCAAATCATCAACATTAAATTCCTCCTTTAAGTCAGCTTGTATTTGAATATTTTCATGTAATGTATCAGTAGATGTGGCACTGTTACATGTAGTTGACTCCAGTTTATTAGCCTCAGGCAAATTCTCTACATCTTTTGAAACAGATTTTATTGATGATAAAGCATTAGATTCCTGGTCGACAAACATCTGTTTTTCTCTTGTTTCCACAGCATTTTCATCTTCTTCTATATCTAAAGAAAGATCTATACCAGAATCAGATATATTACGACCTGTCTCACATGGTTTTACCACTTCTTGTAATCTTTTCATAATAAAACTTACAAAATAACCTGAAAAATACAAAATTAATCCATTGAGTAGTGTTACTTGCTGGTATTCTGTGCCTAGTCCTACATTTGTTTTTGCACAGTTACTAGCTCTGCTACCAAAATCTTAAACACTCAAAAGGTCAGGGTTTTTAACAAAATTGCAAGAAATGTTTGGTTAGAGGATTTTAGAATTTAATTGTTTTACATTTTAGTAAACAATAAATAAAAGTAATGTTCATAAAACCTTGCACATTAAAGACCCAATGCGTTATTTAGCGCTATAGGAATCCCTGTGAAAGTTGAATCTCTAAAAGGAATATCACTCCAAAAAATGGTACAAAGTTATGATCAATTGAAATTTTTTAGATTTATGCTGCTCGAGTGTAACCCAAATGGTTAACGCGTGTGCGTTGGATCAGAAGGTCTGTCATTGCGTCAAGTGGTGTGGTTTCGATTCCCATCTTGTATTTGACAAGGAGTAGGGTCGCCTGTCCTACCTCGTGGGTTTTCTTCCGGTCCTTTGGTTTCCTCCCACTGCTAAAGACTCCTACGCGCAAGTGAATTATTGAAATAAGCCATGAAAAATTTTACATTTTATTATAATAGTAAAAATTCAAATGGCACATCAGACTTTAAGATATACATGTATTAAGAGTATTATTATTACGTAAGTTAAATGCAGACCTGGCTTACTGGAACTTTAACCGTACTAAAACTTTAAAATAAGTTTAATACCTACCAGCTTCTATGTTGTTTCTGAAGGCCACATCATTTAATTGGAAAATAAGATGGCGGCTGAATTTTCTATCAGTGCTGAAACAGGATATGATAAGCAATTAATTTTTTACACTTACAAAATTTCAAGGAAATATGAAAGAAAGTTCAAGCTAAATAATTTAAAGATCCAATACAACTTGTTACTGGAGTCGAGCGTTGTGATGGATTTACTGTAACAGTTTAGACTATCTCATGATACTTTACTAATCTGATTGGTTTTCATATTTTGTTTTCATGGACTGGACCGAGGGAACAGAAATCAAATCATAGGCCAAATTTTTTATGATGACGGTCATTTATTGATGTGACAATGGCATAATTTAGACCAGATCTGAACCTTAAGAGGTACAGTCCTTAAAGTGGTATGATGAAGTGAGAACATAAAATGGAACGAAAATAAAATAAAAGGAAACAAAGTATTAATATAATTAAGGGCCGTATACAGTATGTCAATATGTATATATTTTAGTGATTACACTATGTTTATTAATACAAGTAATGTTGTATATAAGTAATAATAATACCTAGCATCTAGATCTAGTACATTACATCTATTACACTCTATATTATACATTCTCTTTAACCAGTAACAAATATACTGAAACACACAAAAATTATAGTTAGTTGACTGTTCAAAGAATGTACTACACAGTTTTATATCGTGCAATCATGACTTTGATTTTTTTAATCAACAATAGCGTCAGTAACTAACTCGAGATCAAAAGCTTGATGCTTTAAGCCATTCTGCCCTAAATCAATCTATAAAAGAAAAGTCACCTTAATAAATATTTCAACTGTTTCGTCTCCATTATGACTTGGATTAAATTCAATCAAATATTCTAAGTCAAAGTACAGCTTACATACACTACCTACAATAAACAACATAGTTTACATTATCTAATGATTTGCATTCTTAGGACTAAATCTATTTTTTCACAACTTAATCCACACCAATATGTACTCATTGATCATTTAACATTTAACCCAAATTTCAGCAGTTTATTCTCCCCCGACTTGGATTCAAAATTCCAACAGATTAACAAAAGATCATTGTGCACACAGGCTGTTGAATGTTGGCAAAAATTTAAATTCATCATAGTGCACTTTTGGACTGATATTCCTTTTAGAGATTCAACTTTCACAATATTGCAGGGTGGAATGAATTTAAAATCCCTCAAATGATGATCAGCAGCTTTTATTTTAATTATTTTCAGAACTGTCGGAAAATTAATAGATTCCATTTGAAAAGTTAATAACGATGGAAATAATATAACACACTCATCTTAACTTAACCACTCACTGTGTGTAGGGCGTAATATAACACCTTGGAGGTATTTTTCCCAACCTATTCTTAGAACATAGTTTGTCACTTGGGGGAATCCCTTGGGAATTCCCCCACGATTGCATGTGTAGGACATTATATTATGTCCTGGACAACTGCCACTCACTGTGTGTAGGGCGTAATATAACGCCTTGGAGGTATTTTTCCCCAACCTATTCTTAGAACATAGTACATAGTTCTTCATCACTTCGTCAAATTAATTACACAATAGGGGGTAGTTAACCTTTTAAAAAGTCACGCTTAACAGGTTAAATAAAAGATTTTAAGGGTTGTAACATGATTACACTTTTGATTGATAGATAATAAATATTTACCTTCAGGAATAATTTCATAATGAAGTCTTTTGTCACATGGAAGTTGTCTGAAGTAAATAGCGAAATTATTATAGAAAGAGTGAGAAAAATGGAGTTTATTGTCCACTCGATACAAACTAGGTCATTTCGGGACTAGCATATGGTTCAATTTTATTTCAATAATTCGCTTGCACGTAAGAGTCTTTAGCAGTGGGAGGAAACCAGAGAACCTGGAGAAAACCCACGAGGTTGGACAGGTGACCCTACTCCTTGTGGAAATTATTATAACTTATAAACTAAATACCTCCTTCACCAACTTAAAGATACATTCCTGCGTACAAACTGGGTAATTTGATGATATATTTGGACTAAAAACATATTCAAACTAATTAATTTATCATAATTTTGCTTCAAATCCTTCTCAAAACATTATAATTGCCAAGGAATACCCTGCTATAAAAATCGATCAAAAGAGGTCATGTTTGTGTCACTTACCTCTCTCGGTACCTATAGCAACGGGGGCGAAGTCAGAGGAGAATTCATTGTATACACAAGACGATGGTGTCTTTAATCGCTGACTATTTATTACAAATATCAAATCCTAATTAAATTCTCGGATTATCCACTGCCCGCGTCTTTTTCCGTGATTTTTATCTCAGAAAGTGTTGTACGTTTAACTCTTCATAAAGTTTATCAACATGTACACCAAGCGCTCAACCTTTGTGTGCAACCTTTGACGTCACGCGTGCAGGTATTCCTAATAGTTGGGCTGTCGATTAGGAGAACCCTTACATTTTTGTCCTGTATACGATCCATGAGTGTTTTTCAGGGAATCCAGTATTTTTCTAGTAAGATTGGATATCTCTACTTTCCATATATACCAAAATTGCCATATTTTTATTGGAAATAACCACCCGATAAATATTTTTCTGGGAATCTATCTTTAAGGTTCTATTTTTTTATATTTTGCAAGAATTTTAAATGAATATCCTATGCTTTTATGAAATATGAAATAAATCAATAAATCAATCATAGATCTTATTTCAAATTAAAACTTAAAACATTAAAACAGCAATAGACATGTTTAAATATACATCCATTCTAAACAGATCAGTTTAATACTGTGGGAACAATCTAGTAAAATATAACACAAGATTATCGATCATGGTTTTTATTTACACTCAGGCATAACTTGATAAACCAAGTTCAACTTCACTTTTGTGGCTCCCAGCGAGCTATGTCGACGGCTGATTCCTGTCACAAATGAACTGTCCATAAGAAGAGTAGGAATGAGAATGCGAGCAGACTCCATACCAAGCTAGCCCCATTGGGTAAAAATCAACCTAGTGTAACACTCATTTCATTTATACTACCATGCCTGCATTTCTCATACCTATAATATCAATGCCAGTATTTCACATACCTATAATAATGCCAGAAAACAGGATAACTTGTAACTAAATACATTCTTTGTCCTTTCTCTTCACCAACCACTTGTTTTTCAAAAGCAAATACATGAAGGTCCTGAAATAACAAATCTCAACATGTGCATCTATTAAATATTATCTTGTATTCAATTTGGTCTAAATTATTATTCAAACCAGTGCATTCATGAATACAAGATTATATAAATTGGGTTAATAATGGTCTGTCTCAAGTATAACCTTTTACAGCTGGAGTCTTGTTATTAAATTAAAATGGAATTCTTAAAAATATAGTGACTTGACAGTCACCTTTACTGAATTATTTCTGGATTCCAGTATGGCCAAGGATTAGTAAGAGGCAGTCTTTTTATATCAATAATTACCACTGTCAAGTTGCTTTAATTATTCATTTGACTCTTTGTATTTTTTCTGTCTGTGTATAAATACTAACATTCACTTCTAAAACAATATTGGATTTGTAGAGAGGAGATATCAACTTACTGCCTCTGCTGTTTTTCGACAGAAATCAAAAGCATCATTCTGTTTGAAGAATGTTTTCCAGCTTGAAGATGGACCTCCCAATCTATAAACAGTAAAATATTCACCTGATATAAGCTAATAATATCATGCATCTAGATATAGACTGCTTGTCACCAATAACATTCCTGGAAGATTGGCACTTAACATTAAAATGAAATGGAAAGGTGTTTAACCTAGGACATTCTAGTTGAGAGTTAAGTGCCGTACCACTGTCCACTTTAATGTCAGAAGGCGTAATACAGCACATCAATAAATAATCAATCAAACTTGAATAAATCAATTTCTAAAAGGATAATCAATTTCCCGTAGGTTACCTTGGTTTATAATCCTGTGGCAGGTGAAGTTTGGTATGTCTTTTTAATCTTTTTTCAATCTGTGACTTAATTTCATACCTTCTCCTGTAAATATTGAAAGACAAATCAATCTAGATTAAAGAGTAAGCTGTTGGGGAATTGTCTACGATATCACCTTTGGTGGAAGTGGACATAAAATTCCAGGAACAAACTAACTGTTGGGGAGTTAATAATATAGAATTTGTAGTAGGTGACCTCTTCTTAGGACTTACTTTCTGCTTTTGACACCATAAAATAATGATGATTTTAATGTTGCCGATGACTCATCCATTCCTCCTTGATGAATGCATTGAATTTAGTTTGAAAAGAAAATGTAATTATAGTCTATTTGATAAGGCCTGCGGACTTAATTAAATTAGGATACATGACTAAACTTAAATATTGGACTGATTTTGATATTTGTAAACAGCGCCAAACCCCAAACCAAAACAAGGAAATAGACTGAATTTACCAGCCAAGTGGATATTACAGAAAATTTTACTTAGTATTGCTTATCTAAAACGAAACAGTATATTTAGAAAATGAATTTTTAAGTTTAACCGACAAATAATTATAATCATTTATTTAACTAACATATGTCTATGTATTTAGTATATATTAGGATCGTGCAATATATTTCTGAAATATTTTATTTTACTACATGACTATATTTTCGTTTCAGAAGAAAGCCGATTGTACATATGAAAGACAGGAAGTAGATTTACATATCAGGACCAATGGGAAAACCCACATTGAACCATTGAACTGAATCGGAAAATTGTGTTGCGACGTCCGAGTTATTTGTGAAAATGGAATATATAAAAGGGACGGTCGTTGAGAAATTAAAACCTCTATTACCCGATAATCTAATTCCTGGAGTGACAAATGCAGTAGCAGAACCTATAGTACACCAGACAAGCCGAGGGATGACAAGATCAGAAGTTTTCGCAAAGCTCCTTTCTACCATGCTTGGCCTTTCGGTTTCATTTGCTATCACTTATTTTGGTGTGAAATGGCTTGTAAATGCTATGGACCCTACAAGAAAAGATAAATCATCTTCTCAGAAACGGGTACTGCTCTTTAATTGAGATCGAAGCATAGGACCTTTTATACATGTAGATCTGAAATTTGATTAATGATTAACAAAGCCAAAGTCATCAAAAATGATAATATTAGGCTTATGCAATACTTTAGATTAGGCCTATAAATGTAGGTCTTTATCAATATAGATCTTAATGTTGTCAGCTGTTAATTTTAACCAATGTTATTTGACTATTGTCCATCAAAACTTGCTCATCCTTAACAATGATTGTGACAGTAGTCCAAGAAATCGACTCTATCCATAGAAAGTTAATTTATTCCTGAATATTCCTGGCGTGACCTTCATGGGATGATGAAATGACCAATGTAAATTTGGGATGAAACAGCCCGAGGTGAAATGGTTGTGGGATGAGAACTGACCTGCCAAAAATTTATTGGGGTCATAGGGAGTTGAAGCCCGCCCCACAACCCTCCACCTCCCCCTTCTACAATGATATAAATATGGGATTTTGTGTTTGCCACAGGTAGTCACGTCACCTCTATATTGGTCTGGCCCGAGACAATAGTGTACAGTTTCAAATTCTTTGTCTTTATTTGTTCTGATAGAAAAAAAATGGGATGTAATGTGAAATGAACTATATCAAGACATAATTTCATACAGATCATTGCAATTGATATTATTTTATCAAGACTGATATTTGTTGTAGTAGACGTATCCTGTTCATCACTTTCATTCCCAGTGTATTAATAACATTTATTGTCAAATTTTAACAGTAGTTTGTGTAAATTTTGGGGTATTTTTTTCAGGCTAGAGAAATGCTGAAGCAACTTGGTGTGAAAAATGTAGAAGAGGTAACTGAATATAATCCTTAAGTGGCATTTAGCGATTGAACACATTAAAAACACAACACAGTTTATATGGAAATACAATCACATTGTATTTCCATATAAACTGTGTTGTGTTTTTAAGGTAACTGAATGTTTATAAGATTAAACTGGAAAGAAAATCTGTGATTTGGCTTTATTTTTAGTTTTTAGATCATCATTAGACCTGATAATAAAGGAAAACTACTGTTGAAATAAATTCAGCTATGCACAACCCAAAGTGCAAATAGTTTCGCCTTACTTAAAAAATGAACACATGTATTCTGATATTATGAGAGGAACTGTCAGCCAATGTAAATAAACAAAAAAGCAACATGTCTTTGATCCAACACATTTCTTATATTATTGTGTAGGTCTAGAATTCACTATTATACATTGGTGCATGTGTACTGTAGTTTTCTTGTTTATTTACAGTGACTAACAGTTCTTTTTATAACAGCACAATAGGTGTGTTGTTTTTTGGGGGGGATTAAAGGCAAAACTTAAGCTTGCATACAAATTCCAAATTGAATAAAATTTGTTGAATAGTGAAAAAAAAGCAGTATTGTTCGTATGACAATTTTAATGGAGTAATATTTTATGGTATTAAAGTAGCTAAGTCTCTTAACTCAATATCATCCAAAGTCTTCGACATGGAAAACAAGAATTATTTGTCAGTTTAAATCAACATTAATGTTGTGACCTTACTGGGAAAAGATGGGGTTCTCATATCTAATATTTAAGACAAAATAAACATTTTACCATTGGTACACCAATTGTAATGCGTTTCAGCGCCATTTGTTACAAGGGACTTGAAGAACAAGGCTAGACATATTCCACAAGTCATGTCAAATAGTAATGCCATATCCTTATCTGGAGAGCATGCACAATAAATACTATCACTGTAGACGGGAATAACCAGACGCTAGAGATTGCCATTCGATTGAGACTTATGGCTCATTTCACCGAACATAACTGATTAGAAATTACTGTAAAAACAGAAACAATTGAATATAAATCAGTTTATATACATTCATATTACATTATTATTTGCATTGCGATCCATTTGTGTCAATTTCTAGGTCCAAAGTATTAGTGATTTAGCTCCTTAGAGGAATGAAAATAGACAATTTTTTCAGTTTTTTTTGCATTCTATATATATATTTAAAGAACAATAGGAATAAAAATTCATTGCATTTGCTCTTTTCCAGCTTACTGAGTATGAACTGTGCATGGCAGCTAATTTGGTTGACCCGTTGTCCATAGATGTTGAATGGGTTGATATCGGAGGATTAGATGATGTTATCCAAAATATTAATGAAACAGTAATACTACCATTTAAGCGTCAGGATTTATTTAGAAATTCTTCTTTATTACAGCCTCCAAAAGGTATGGTACTTCAAATTATTCTGTTTGCTTTAAGGTATATATTATGAGAATGATCGACCATCTAATCACAATACACTTACTAGGACAAACATCCCTAAACAAACGCAATGAACTATTAACCCCTAGGATAAATGCCCCCAGACAAAATTCTGCCTCCCTTTTAATACAGATACAGAAATGACAAAATGGGGGCAGGGATGCATGTTTGTCCTGCTTCCAACTTCAACGTAATTATTGTTCACAGTTCACATTAGGTGCTGTACATAGAAAATTCTTACATAAAGTATTACTACTATAGAAGGCTATTTTTGTATTATTCACTTTTGTATGGTATGGTATTCAAATGGAGATCTTTTACCTTTATTGAAATATTACTTGACTTTGTTTTCAGGGGTATTATTATATGGCCCACCTGGTTGTGGTAAAACTATGATTGCTAAAGCTACAGCAAAGGCTGCAGGTAGATTTTTTTTCAACCATCTGATGGGGTTTGGGCATTACCTTTAAACAATCATTTGTTTGATCAGAATTTTTAATTAAATGATCAGTTGGGCATTTTGTGAAAACAATATATAATAACAGGTGGCTTTATGGATAATATTCACTAGGTTTACGAACTGCAACTTTTCAGTGAGTGCACTCTCACCGTTATCAAGATCAGTCAGTTAATAATCATGGATTGTGTCATTGCATATTGTACTACTAAGAAGGTTTGGTTTCTATCCATTGTTATTCTTGAGAAGCTCAGATTTTTCTATTGAAGTCATTCATTTTATTCTAGGTGCCAGATTTATCAATCTTCAAGTTTCATCTTTAGTAGATAAATGGTATGGTGAATCACAGAAACGTGCAGAAGCTGTTTTCTCTTTGGTAAACTTTAAATCTCTTTGTGATTTATCCACAAATAAATACACAGACTGCTAGGACGACTTAGCTCATTTGTGACATGTTTTATTGCCTGGCAACCTATCTTTCTAATAGTTTCAGATACTTATGTAAGACTTTTACTTATTGTATCTTTACTTTCAGGCTATGAAATTACAACCTTCTATTATATTTATTGATGAAATAGGTAAGTTATAATCTAATGACTTGACTTTAATTGTACTTGTAGTATAAATCAGTTACTTCCATTACTGTATACCACATTGTTTTTAAAATGATTTTGAAATTTAACCGGCAAGACAAGAGTAAAGTTTTGTTCTGTAATAACATATTTGGGGTACATGATGTCTCTTGTTGTGATATTCTTTAAAATCACCAATCCAAAATGTAATTTTTTCGTCAATATCTAAATCTTAAATGCTTATTTTGCATTAAAATGGGCTTAGTAGATAATCTCATGGCTTGGATTCAATCAGATTAAAAACTTAGGCTTGATCAGATTAAAAAAACATTTTTGCTCACATAGGTGAAGCCGGCTTGTGTGCATAAGATGCTGAATTTGGACAGATCATCCTTTTAGAGCTTCAATTTTCACAATATTGTACAGTGCAAGTCAAGAGATTCCGTATTCTATTTTAATATTTCTCACAGCTGCTAATTTGTTATTCCTTTTTTACAGATTCGTTTTTACGGTCTCGTACATCAACTGATCATGAAGCAACAGTGATGATTAAAACACAGTTCATGAGTTTCTGGGATGGTTTAATAACTAATCATGAATGTCAAGTAATGGTGATGGGGGCCACAAACAGACCTCAAGATGTTGATGCAGCTATATTAAGAAGGATGCCCAGCATGTTCCATGTGGGATTACCGGTATTAGTCAATTAACTTGTTAAGCAAAAGTTTTCAATTTTATCATTAAATACCAATATGTCCAATTGAAAAAATTATCTTTGACATACACTAATACTAGCAATAGGTTACCATTTACTCTTTGTTGATTAATGTGTGAATCAAACTTCTCTTTTTATTTTGTCTCATTCAAACGATTTCACATTCTTCCTTGCCAGGCCCAAGGAATAATCTCAGTTAACACATGGGACATCCAGGTTAATGAGCCAGTGCTTTACTCATTGAGCCACCGTGGCTGTCAATAGTAAACAATAAATACTCATTGATAAAACATTCACAAGTAATTTTATTATATTGATGATGTATTTTTTAAATGTAAATTTTATCATGCTTTAATTCCTTATGTAATATTTTAGGGTAAAAAACAACGAGAGCATATCCTAAAATTAATTCTTGAAAATGAAAATGTAAGTTATACTTTTTAGCTATACATGTATGAAGCAACAATTACTTTGAAACCTTTTGAATTTTTGACTTGCTTTCGTGCAGTGTTGGAGAACATTTCTTGAAAACTATAGAATGGTTTATTGTTCCCTGCCTTTCAAAGGGGGCTGTTATAATGTTCATACTTGGGGTGATGTTCATTAGGTGATTGTCTTGACGATGATGAGCATTTTCTGCTTAGGCAAAAAAGAGATAATGAATTTGATTAGTTGATGCTTTGGGGATCAATAAATACATGTATATGGGGGAGTTGTCTGTTTGAATGGTCTAACATCTGTGCTTTTGATCAAAAGGTCTGTCAATAAGTCATTTAGTGTGGTTTCAATTCCCAGCTTGTACGTGACAAGGAGTAGGGTCACTTGTCCAACTTTGTGGGTTTTCTTCAGGCCCTCCAGTTTCCATCCACTACAAAAGATCCCAATGGGCAAGTGGATTATTGAAATAAAATTGAAGCATGTTAGTCCCAAAATGACCAAGTTTGTGTCAAGAGGACATTAAACACCATTTCTGACTCTCTCTTATGTTATTTTCTACCAGGTTGATGATAATGTAGAGTATGTTCGACTATCTGCTATAACAGAAGGGTTTTCTGGTAGTGATTTAAGAGAAGTATGTAGAGCCGCAGCTGTTAGTGTAGTACATGAGTTTGTACAGGCTACCAGATATGATGCGTAAGTAAACAGATTTTACAATTCATATATTAGCTACGATTTCTAAAATCCTCAACATGTATATTGAATTAAGCCAAGTAAAAATTCAATGTGTGGGGTGACTATAATGTGGCCTCAATTACCCAGTTGTGCAATGACTAGAGATGACAGTATCCTTTATTTTATTTTTTTTGTCCCCCCACCTTTCAAAGGAAGCAGGGGACTATTAAAATGGATCTGTACATCTGTCTGACTTTGGAACATAATAACTCTGCTTTTAATTGAGGTAGAATGTTTAAACTTTAGGTGGATTTCTTGATTGACTTTAATGATTAACATTTTCTGCTAGAGCTAAGCAGAGCTAAGCAACTTCATTCGTCAATTCTTTTGTACAAGATAACTTTAATTCTAACTTATGGAGAGTGATGAAACTTAGTGTAGAGCTTCACTTCCAGGTACTGCAAAACCTTGACTGAGTTCGATCTTGAACATTTTCTGCTTAGACTAAGTATTGATAATCAATTTGATTGCTCGATACTTTTCAAAAAGATAAACGTGCAATTAATTAATGTTTCATCAATTTAATTTGGGATGGCGGCAGGGGACATCAGCCTCATTGTTTTTTTGCAATGTATCTTTTCTGGGAAGTTTGTATTCAGAGAGTTCCGTTAATTATGGTGTGATTCTCCTGCACTTAATACTTATATCAAGATGTTACATTCCTAATTAGGAAATGATGATAGGTTTGATTATAATTGCTGAATTCTGTTATCTTTCAGATCTAATAGTGAAGGATTTCGTAGTATAGCTATGTCAGATCTAGAAGAGGCCACCAGTAAAGTTCGCCTCACAAAATCAGTGTCATTAGGTTTACCACAGAGAGTTGAATTAGATTAATAGTATTAAGACTATGTGTTATTGATTTTGTGATTTTTTATATGTATATAGAAGACATTAAATCTGTCGACAATAAATAATATACTGTTGATTATGGCTTGCATATAGTTGACATTCCAATCAATGGATGTAAAATATGTGAACAAAGTTTAATATGAATTGTGTAGGATTTAATTATTTGCTGTGTTAACAGATAATATTGGACAATTTAAAGTTTCTTGAATGTTTATTGTGACTGTGTATAGGCAGAAAGACCATTATGCGTATTGAAATTGGGTTAATTCAAGTTCAGTGTTAAGTTTGGGATATAGTTGTGTTATGACTGTGTTTAACTTGTTATATTAATATGTATGTATACCTAACTGGGCTTAACAAACACATAAATGGCCATTTAAAAATGTTATATACCGGTACTTGAAGCCAGTGTTTACTACACACTTGACACCAATTTCACACCACTGTGATTTAAATTATTCATTATATAATATGACCATTATTAAGGCCATACAAGTGATGGGATCTTGCCTGTATATTCCGGATATGTCCGACGCTATTTTCAAAACGTCCTAAATTGTCTAACCAGGAAAATGCCCAATCGGACATCAAAACATGGTGAATAATAGTGTACTGGCCACCATACCCAAAAATATTCTTGTTCTCAGACAATTTTTACCAAAAATCTGAGGGAGTTTTTATTTTGTCAAAGGATCACTTCAGAGCTAAATGACTTCTTATATTCATCATATTCAAGGCATTACATTTATCTCATCATGTTGTTTATAGGAATGTATGATTATCTAGCATCATTTATGATTGACTCATTCATCAACAAGTTCATCAGTATTTTCCGGCATGGTTCCCCCTTGTTAATGGTGCAGTAGTTCCTTGGCAAGGGACGACATATAGTCTTTCAGATGGGACGAAAAACTGAGGTCCTGTGTACACATTGGGGTGCAACTGAAAATTCCTCAGAAAATACATTAATTTGTACCTTGCCTCTTGAATTATTTTGCATCTGATAAAAATGTGATTCTTTTAGCCCCAAACTAATTACTTCACAATTATGTTTTACAACAGGGTATGATATCTATCAATTAAAGATGGTCATTGAAACGTGATTAGATATCGTGGTTGGCAGATTTATATGGACAACCAATCAAAGTAGTTTGCATGCTTAAAATATGTGCATGTATAGTCATTTTCAATATCATTTGCAACCAAGAAACTTTCCCAAATATGTAATGGCTTTTGTTTATAACTTTTAATGTTTTTAAGAACGGTCTATGATTATGAATTGTCCTTATGTATATCAGAGATTAGGATAATGTTTATCTTCATCTGTGATATTTATAATATGACAAATATAGATTATTACACCATGAATTTTATTTGATTTTACATATTTTATAGAGAATTGAGTGGGCTGGACTGTGTTATTTTGGAGTCTGATTCAAGCAAGACAATATGTCAAGGGGAGAAAATTCTGAATTCCATAGAATTCTTCAAATGATTTTATGGGACCAATCATAAACAATTAAATTACATTGCAATAGAAAAATTTGAAAATTATAAATTTGCCTGGAAGACTTTGCTTGCAAGAATAGTGATCCAACACAAGCGATTGAGAATACCTGAAATTAAAGTGGCTAATCTCTAACTCATTATCATCCAAAGTCTTCGACATTGAAAACACGAATTATTTGTCAATTTAAATCAACATTGATGTTGTAATCTTACCTGGAAAAGATGTGCTTCTGATATCCAATATTTAAGACAAAGTAAACATTTTACCATTGGTACCGTACACGAATCCTGTAACATCATGCATTTTGGCGCCATTTATAACAAGGGACTCGAAGAACGAGGCTTCTGTCCACAAGCAAAGTTAATATCCGATTGACTTTAAATTAATACACAGTGTTTATGGTCATGAAACGAAGAAGCCTATTTCCGATAATTACTGCCCTTGATCACTTCAAAACATCTTGTCGACGCTCTATGGTCATGAAACGAAGAAGCCTATTTCCGATAATTACTGCCCTTGATCACTTCAAAACATCTTGTCGACGCTCTAGAGGCTAAAGATAATATCCGATTGACTTTAAATTCATACACAGTGTTTAAGGTCATGAGACAAAGAAGCCTATTGATTTTCAACGATTTCCGATAATTACTGCCCTTGATCACTTCAAAACATCTTGTGGACGCTCTAGAGGCTAAAGATAATATCTGATTGACTTTAAATTCATACACAGTGTTTAAGGTCATGAGACGAAGAAGCCTATTGATTTTCAACGATTTCCGATAATTACTGTCAGTCAAGGCCATTGAATCCTTCAAAATATCTTGTGGATGCTCTAGAGGCTAAAGATAATATCTGATTGACTTTAAATTTATACACAGTGTTTAAGGTCATAAGAAGAAGCCTATTGATTTTAAACGATTTCCGATAATTATGGCCCTTGATTACTTTGAAGAATCTTCAGATTGATCTACAGAGTTTAAGGTTTTAAGACAAACAAGTAAATTGATTTTCAATGAATTTTGAGAACTTGAACAGCTAAATCCATGATATTAAATGTTTCCTATACTAAATGTTAGCATGGGGCAGAACTTTATAAAAACCAAACAAATTCTAATGATTGTCTGATAATTACTTCATGAGTTTTACTCTTAATCAGATTTTAGTATATTATAAATGTTTTATTACTGAAAAAAGTAAAAATATGTGACAACTCTTGCTGACTGCCCGGACTATTTAGCTGCTGTGGGAATATGTTTCATTGCCTGGCAACCTATCTTTGGTGCATGTCTGACCCCCAGGGGGTTATTGTCTACAGGCTGCAATTCTGAATGGATCATCTTGGAACTGCCAAAGGACGACGACTATAGATTTTGGTGCATGCTGACCCCTAGGGACAGTGTCACTTTCCAGGATGATCCATTCAGAATTGAAACCTAGGCAATAAATTTTTTAAACCAGCGGCTGCCAGGCAGGATACGTCCACATTTTGCAAGAGATGGATAAAGAACGATTTGTTGTACAATAATATCGACAGGGACTAAGATTTTTGGAATATAAAGGTATGTTTTAAGTTTCATCAAAATCAGATCATAATTCAGGAAGTTACGATCCGATATGCGCGAATATTGAAAGGAACCAAGACCTTTGTGATATAAGCATAAAATTTAAGGTTGCATCAAAATTGGAAAAAATAGTGACCTCTACAACCTTGATATACCACATATTTACACCATTTGCGTTATACGAGGGGCGGCCATTTTGTACATCAGTTTTGGTCCGATTGTCACAAAATTCGAACTCAACCATCATTACGTTGTAACGGTGAAATATTCACACGTTTTTTTTAAATCGGATAATAATTGTGACCTCTAGAGGGACAAGCTAAAAACGCGATTTTTCGTACAGTCAAGGGCCATAATTCAGGAAGTTGCGATCTGATATGTGCAAATATCGAAAGGAACCAAGATCTTTGGGTTTTAAACATGTTTTTCAAATTTCATCAAAATCGGATCAAATTGTGAGCTCTAGAGGGTCCACAACCTTAATATACGATATTTTTACACGGTTTGCGTTAGTGGGGCGACCATTTTGTCCGGCAGTTTTGGTCCGATTTTCACGAAATTCGAACTCAACCATCATTAAGGTGTAACGGTGATATATTCAAACAGTTTTTTAAATCGAATAAAATTGTGACCTCCATAGGGTCCACAAGCTAAAAAACGTGATTTTTCGTACAATCAGGTGCCCTAATTCAAGAAGTTATGGTCCGATATTTCAACAGAATCAGATAAAAAAATTGACATCTAGAGTGTCCACAAGCAATAAACGTGATTTTTCGTACAATCAGGGGTCGTAATCCATGAAGTTTCGATCTGATACATGCCAATATCTAAAGGAACCGAGAACTGTTGGAGATAATAGTCGGATTCGGTTTGTTACATAATTCCCATCCGTCGGCTTTTCGGGTAGAAATCATGGAATAAGCTTTATTTTGTAGGTTTTGATGTTTGATTACAAAAAAACAATGTTGATATTTTTTCTGAGTAGGTCTTCATAGTATGGGATGCCATTATTTTAGGGTAGCCATTTTGCGATAATATTCCAACTTATTTTATTATTTTCACCTTATTTATAATGTTATCGACATATCAACTGTGATTTCGCAATGTATTAATATTGGCAGGGTTCATGACTATACTTCAGATTGTTTTCCATCATTTCAGTATGATATTTCCAAGATGGCGACCATTTTTGGCGGGAAAATCGGACGATGTGTGGATTTCGATTAAGAAGTAGTGCTTGGCATAGGCATACGAGCTGGGGGGCTGGGAAAATTTGGGCACACAATTGTATTTTGTAAAAGTTGTATAAAAAAAAGATATTGTGTTCTTGAATGTGTCCAATTTAACAGCGAATTTATTATTATTATGTAACATACTAAGAGCCTAACTACATTTTTTGGGCACCAACCACCACCGCCCCCCCCCCCCCCAGTCAAACATTTCCCCGTACGCCTATGGTGCTTGGTGTCAAAATATATGTTTTCGGGCCACAGATTCCACTCCTGACATTTATAACCTTGTAAAATGATCGCATGTTCATATACTTAGCATATTTCCAAGATGGCGGTCATTTTTTGGCGGGAAAATAGGACGATGTGCTGATATTGATTAAGTAGTCGTCGTTGGTGTCAATATATATGTTTTCAAGGGCACAGAATTTATTTCGGTCAGTAACAACTGTGTAAAATGATTATTTTGCACATTTACAATATGGCAGCCATTTTTGGCGGGAAGAACGATGTGCGGATATTGAATAAGTAGTCGTCTATGGACCAGGATATATTTTGGGGGGAGCAGATTCCATTTTTGCCGTTTACAACTGTGTAAAATTATCACATGTTCACATATTTCCAATATGGCTTTCATGTCCGGCGGGAAAATGGGACGATGTGCTGATTTTGATTACGTAGTCGCGTTTTTGTGTCAATATTTGTTTTTCGGGGGGCGCAGATTCGATTTCTGCCATTTACAACTGCGTGAAATGGTGGTATGTTCACACATTCAGCATATTTTTGTTTGTGGCAGGACGTTTTCTAAACACATTACTGTAAAGGTTTCTGAATCCAATTCTGCTATGTATAAGCTTGTAGCATGTTCCTGGAAGCCTGTGCCGAGTTTACCCATTCAGTATAATATCCAACAATGTAGTAGTTGAACTCCAGCGCAATATCATTCCACATGTTTGTTCTACATTCATCTTGGAAGTCAGTTGATAACATAATCTATGCTATATATGAGGGCTTCTTAGCAAGTATTTCATTTACAGCCACGTCCCCACCACTATCATCCACGTTGCTGCCAGGCTGGAACGAAGCTCCTGGCCATATGCTTGCTACGCTGTTACGACCTTTATGTATATATAGGGAAGATACTGAGCCTCGCCCATCAGCTCCAGTCTAGCACCCAAAGAGGAAACTTCAAGACAACTATGAAATGTTCTTGATTGCTTGACTATTGGTTGTTTTCTGCTTTGAAAGTGAATGAGGACGGGTGAGCATGGCACAGTCTCCATAGGCGTGACGAGAGAACGCCTTATGCCTAGTAGGCATGTCACTGGAGTGTGGTGAGAAAGTATCCCGGTCTGACTGGTAACCGTGAGATCATGGTGGGAACACTTTTCGCGCAGCCAGATCTTGGCAATGAGCGTAGAAAGATCTTGTAGTAAGCGCTTGGTGTGGTCGTTGCAGGCGCATGATGGGCACGTGGTGTAAGCACCACGCTGCCGCTATGCTCTTTTTGCCTCCATGCCAGGAATAGGCTTTACTTTCCCAGGAAAATCGATGATAAATAAAACCTAATAATGTGTTTAGAAAACGTTCCACCATCTTGGAAATATGCTAAATTGGTGAACATACGACCATTTTACGTAGTTGTATATGACAGAAATCGAATCTGCCTCCCCGAAAACATATATATATTGTCACCAAAGACAACTACTTAATCGAAATCAACACATCGTCCGATTTTCCCGCCACAAGTGGCAGCAATATTGGAAATATACTAAATATGTGAACATGTGATCATTTTACAAGGTTGTAAATGTCAGAAATTGATTCTGCGCCCCCGTAAACACATATATTGACACCAAACACTACTACTTAATCAAAATCTGCACATCGTCTCATTTTCCCGCCAAAAATGCCCGCCATCTTGGTATTATGTTAAGTATATGAACATGTGATCATTTTTATACGCCCACATGGAAATGTGGTCGTATATTGCCGTCGCCCCTGTCCGTCCATCGTCCACAATTTCTTGTGAACACTCTACAGACTACATTTATCAACCGATTGTTTTGAAGTTGATATATGTTGTTTGCATTAGTGAGATGAAGAAGCCTATTTAATTTCAATAATGCTCTAACGACAAAAGTTATCAAGCGATCTGTATGAAATTTATATGCATTATTTAAATTAGTAAAACAAAGAAGCCTATTGAATTTCAGCAATTTCCGTTAATTACATCTAGAGTTATGGCCCTTGTTTCACTTTGTTGAATCTTGTGAACGCTCTAATGACAACAGTTATCATCGGATCTGTTTGAAATTGATATGCATCATTTAAATTAGTGAAATGAAGAAGTCTATTGAATTTCAGCAATTTCCGTTGATTTCTTCTGGATTTCAGGCCCTTGTTTCACTGTGTTGCACCTTGTGAACACTCCAACGACAAAAGTTATCAACCGATCTGTATGTAATTTATATGCATCATTTAAATTAGTAAAACAAAGAAGCCTATTGAATTTCAGCAATTTCCGTTGATTACATCTAGAGTTATGGCCCTTATTTCACTTTGTTGAATGTTGTGAACGCTCTAATGACAACAGTTATCATCCGATCTGTTTGAAATTGATATGCATCATTTAAATTAGTGAAATGAAGAAGCCTATTGAATTTCAGCAATTTCCGTTAATCACGCCATGAGTTATGGCTCTTGTTTCACTTTGTTGTACCTTGTAAATGCTCTAACGACAAAAGTTATTATCCGATCTGTATGAAATTTATATGTATCATTTAAATTAGTAAAACGAACAAGCCTATTGAGTTTCAGTTATCACCTAAATTAGTGAAATGAAGACGAACAAGCCTATTGAATGTCAGCAATTTCCGTCAATTACGTCTATAGAGTTTTGGCCCTTGATTTACTTTGTTGAACTTTGTGAACTTTCGAACAACAAAAGTTATTAGTAAAACGAAAAAAGCCTGTCGAGTTTGAACAATTTCTGTAGATTGCTTCCAGAGTTACGGCCCTTGTTTTAGTTTTTAGAACCTTGTGAAACTTCAAACAACAAAAATTACAATTAACAGAACACAGTTTTTATGGGATACAATCACTAGTTTATTCTAAAAGCACGACGTTACGACAAGTATCCTCTTATCGTGCTTGATAACGATAAGAGGATACTTGTCGAAACGTCGTGCTTTTAGAATAAACTAGTGATTGTATCCCATAAAAACTGTGTTCTGTTAATTTGTTCCCTGATCGCTAAATGCCACTTAAAGAATAAAAATTACAATGTCATGTGTATGAAATTGTCTATTAAATTCCCCTAATTACCTACAAAAGAATAAATATGTGAAAACCCTTGTCGACTGCTTGGACGATTTAGCTGCTGTGGGCGTATGTTTTGTTGCCTGGCAACCTATCTTACAAGGTTGTAAATGTCAGGAATGGAATTTGTGACCCCGAAAACATATATATTGACACCAAACACTACTACTTAATCGAAATCAGCACATCAACCGATTTTCCCGCTAAAAATGGGTGCCATCTTGGAAATATCATCATGAAATGATGGAAAACAATAGCAATCATTCTTAGGGTATAAGGAATAAGAATGCACAGCTTCAAGACAATCAGTTAAAAACTGTGTCTGTGGTTTGTAGGCGACATGCAAATACAGTCGGGGACGCACCAAAAACAATAGGGAACATCCTTAGGCGATAAGGAATAAGTATGCAAAGTTTCACTACGATGTGTTAAGAATTGTGGTCTGTGGTGTTGTGGCATCTGCAGATAGTGAAACTACATTAGGCCTATTGTACTTCAACTTTCCAAGCACACAAAACAAAGTTTTCACCCCTTTTTTTAAAGCAAAACTAAATTGAAACAATACTTCCTGGAGCACAAAAGAGTCTTTAATCTTATTCTGTATTAAGAGTTGATATAAAATAAGAAATTTTGGGGGTCTAGTCTTTCAGAAGTAATATTAATTTGATGGTCAAAACACAATATTCCAGGTCAAAACACAATATTCCAATTCATGAACCACATTAACCATTTTTTTGTTATTTTGGAAGCAAAATAAAATCTGAACGATAGGATGTACATCCAAAAACATTTCATATTTGTAATATATGCAAAACGTCACTCTATATAGACACGTTGTATAGGTCAATTAGAAATTATTCTAAAATCAACATGAAAAGTCAACAATTTGGATAAAATTGAAGGAGAAAATGGATAAATTGTGTATGTTTTCAGTGTGCATTGGATTTTTAGACTTAATATTTGGAAAAGTATATACAGTGCCGGACAGGTGGGCCTAAGCTCATTAAAAAAAGTGGGCCTAAGCCTATAAAGAAAAAAGAAAATAACCTGAATTACTTTGGCTATCCTTGAAGCTAAAGAAATAATTTGTTACTTCTTTAGAGAACAATTAATTATGAGTTATCATCACAGAAATAAACAAATATCATAAGCTCGTGAGGTTCAGGAGCTTATGATGATATTCGTTTACTTCTGTGAGTTCGAAGATTCTTGCTATAGTCTGTGATGTGCGTCAACATAACTGTCAAATAGTGTACTGTATGTATATTATAATTTGCATTATTTTCATCACGGAGAATAAAAGGTTTTTTGTTTTTGACACTCAAGAGAATTCTCAAATTCATATAATGATAGTGCTCTTAGGTCATTCTGTTATCTTATTGTATATCAGGAAATCAAAAATTTGCCTTCTTCTGCTTTGGTCTGAAATGCTTGGAAAATGGGTTTGCGGTTGTCAATTTTCCTGTGTGGGCCTTGGTTAATGACCTGACAGGTGGGCCGACGGGCCACCAGTCCGGCACTGAGTATATATGCCATGACTCAGAATCTTTTGTAAATTGATAAAAGACAAACTTGGAGGTTGTGTATACAATAGTGATTTTGCCAGAGGCTGTGGAAAAATAGTGAATAGTGGTGTGAAAAGTATGGTATGCATCGGACATTAGGTGTAATGATAAATTTGCAATCTACACCAAAAGTTTAGAGAGTTATACTCTTACGTGTATTAGAAATGTGAGTATAAAGCTCTGACTCCCTCCCCACCCACATTAATTTCAAAAAAGTTGTATGGTTTATGTAGCCACTATTGTGGGCATTTCTTTTACTCTTCTATATTATAACTGGGTTGGCCTTTTTAGTTGCAAATACATTTGTGTAAGGAAGGGGGGGGGGGGGCAAAAGATCACATCTAGAAATTTAAATCAGTAATCATCAGCTGCTTATCCTGTGGGTAGAGAAACAATAGCATGAGAATCTAAATGAAATTTGTGTTTAAAAATGATTTTATTTTATAAGATAGGTATTATTATTGTAATATAGGCAACTGCCACTGATGTGCCTCACAATATCATCAACAAGCTGTAAGAAAAATATATGTACAGAAAATGAATTATGATCTTTATACAACACTGGAAGCAAAATAACAATACAACACTACCATAGCATCACTTCATTCAATAAGTTTATAAGGCATGGTGCTGTGGGTCATATTTTTTTATGTACACTGGTATTTTTATGTGCTCTTCATGTACAGGGAGAAAAGGGCTGTCCCATTTGAAATACCTACAAATGGATACACCACTTCTTTAGATTTTACCCAAGTGTGGGGCTTTTTGGGAACAAAATTGAAATTAATTTCATTAATAGAGGCTATCATAAAATGGTCTGCGCTTTTTTAAAAGCAATTATTGGTAAGGCCAAAGGGGTTCTAAAAAGATAAAAATGGTGTTCCTATCACAGCAGGTATTTCAATGGAATATCCCTGTAAACTAGTACAGAATATAAGTTACACAAGTATATATATCTAGCACATCAATATTTTCTTAACCCTTCAGCACATAACCTCTCAAATCATGGCTCCTGACCTCTTACTGCCAGACGCACAATTCGAGTGATTAATTGTGAGTTATATTTTTAGGGACCATATATTAGTTCTGTGATTCAGATGGTCTGAGGCAGTCTAGGGAGCAGTTGTTTCAAGGGGTTTCGTAAAATTGCTCAATGTAACAAAACATCATCTTTCTCTAATTTTTTTTTTATAAGGAAACTGCCATAGTCATTAATTACTTACATGTACCAAGTGCTAAAGGGTTAAAATAAAACAACAAATGTCCATTGATAGAAGCATCATTTAGCAACTCTCCATTGGTCTTTACAATTTTTGGAGGTTATTTATGGACAAAACATGGTCTGAGTGTAATGTTCACCAAAAAATGGTCCCTATTCTGTACAACCACTAGTTTAGGCCATTTGAATACCTACTAACCTAGTTCTTTTTATGATCCATATTTTTCTACTATTAATTGCTTTTAAGCCATTTGTCACAAGAATTTTGTAATATATTGTACAAATAACATCACATACCTACTCACACAGGAACAATTATAAATTATAAGGACAGAAAAAAAACATATATATTAATTATCAATATTATTGGATATCTTTAACAATGAAATAAATATACTATTTGATGGAATAAGTAGGATATTTATCTACATAAGAATGAATGTGTTCTTAGATATGAAATATTACTGTGAAATGTATCAAAGAATGAAATTGTGTGACTGGTTGATATTTATTTGGATTAAATTAATAAATCAAATCACTCTATACAATAACTTTGTTCCTTGTTATACATAACCAATATTAATCCATATCTATACAGGAGTGCTCACATACATACGACCAACCAAATGAATTTCTAGTTCTTTAGGGTCTTGAGCGATATTTTGTATAAAAATTTCATAACTTGAAACTAAGAACATTTGAGAACGACAATCACTTATTGGAAATAAAATTTTATCAGTATTCCAGAAGAACACAAATTCAAATTGGTGTGGATTAAAATGAAAACTACAACTGTACAAGCTGACTAGTTTTGTTTTTTAAAAAATGGAATAAACCCAAAAATATAGTGGGACTTTCACTACCACGTCTTGATTCTGACCCATACCCTTCAATTATTTGGACAGCATTTATTAATAACACATGTGAACTTTCTACAATTTTGTTCCAATCGATCTTAATGAGGCAATTTTTTTTGTTTAAAACATAAAATTCATATACTGGTACACCTTACTAGTACTTACTCACAGCAGATGGTCCGCCTGTTTCTATTTTTTCTAACAATAGATAGGAAAAAGATGATAGCAACTAGAATCAACTTTTAAACATATTTCTACACACCTCCATTTAAAAACCCAAACAAAATAAAAGAACGGGTTCATTATGTACTGGTTGAACAAGAACTAGTTTTCGAAAGAGTAGAGACATGACTAACAGTTAAATAAACATATTTGACCATTACCATTTTAGGCTGACGGAGCCATATCACAGATTTGGTAGAATTCAGGATGTTAAGAACCTGAGTAGCGCTTGAATGAAGGTACCTCTATAATTATTCTAAAATTTGATTTGAGAAGCTGTCACCATTATCTATCTCTTGTTAGAAGCAATGGACTATTGCATTTAATTATAGTGTGCTTCTAAAATCATCATCGTAAGAAAAATAAATAACAACAATTTCACAAACTAAAGAAAATTAACAAATTAAAAACAAAAATAAAATATTTTTATGATTCAGTTATGTTCTTATCATTAGGTTTATTTAACAATCAATTAAATTGTTTATAAAGATTTTCAATATACTATGGCAAAACGAATCCATATGTTTTATTATAACTTTTCTTTAATCTTTCAACATATTACTAATTTAAAACAATACTGTTTCATCCTGATTAACATAACAGAATTTTTAAAATCAATTTTTATCAAAATATTCAGTACTATACAGATTTAATTAATGTGTATTACCTAAACTACATAATTCTGGTTAATAACAAGTTCCAGTTAGATTCCATACCCATAAAAGTTCTTATACTATTCATGCATTGATACTGTCCAATATTTCCCCTCATAAAATTCTTGTTACATGGATTCATCTCAATCACTTTTATGTGTCATTGGGGGGAATTCATTATCATCATCCAATCGCAGTCTTCCTAAATCAGCATCTTCTCCACCCACTGCTCCTTGTTCTAATTCTTGATATGGCTGAGATTCTGAAAAAGAGATCCCTCTCTGTGTAATGGTTACATAATAACTAGTATTGGCTTACTACAGAAGAGATTAAAGACCAGTTGATCTTATAAACTAGATTATGGTTATCTTATGGAAATATTAACTGGCTACAAGATAAACTTATATGTAAGAATGCTTTTTTTTAACTTTTTCAAATGTATAGATTCCCTGATAACAGACTCTACCAGTAAGATCACAAATCTGACATTGTGTTTTAAAGGCTATTCTGTGTTGTAACCTGAATGATCTGCAATGTTTTTATATGAGAATATGTAAAGAGTTGGATCACTGTAATTTAAAGAATGAATGAATAGGATTGCCCACAATGATTTGTTTACTATATGAAAGAAAGCCCAACATTTAAATTAAACAGTTAACTAAGCCTTTTAACCCTTTAGCACTTAGACAGCCCAAATAGGTCTCCTTAGACTGCCCCCGCCACGTGCATTGATAGCTGTGGCCCATACAAAATGGTCCTATAATAAGGAAAGCTATTCTTATGTCTCAGGTTTTTTGAGGCAGACTAAGGAACAGCAGTTTCAGACTGTTTCAGCCTGTTCAGGGATGTATAAGTATTTTCTATTATTTTCTTCAGGGAACTGGGGTAGCCAATATTTACATGTGCAAAGTGCTAAAGAATTAAGGCAACTATATCTAAGTGGTTACCTGAATAACATTTACAACCATAAAGAAGTATAACATATAGGCCTACATATAAAAGGATTGTATTTATGCAGAATTAGAAAAAATAAAACCTTGTTGAATTTTTAGTAGATTCCCTCAATTGTAATGAAATTACCATGTGAAGAGTATTAATGTATTGCCTGTGATATCAGAACTAACATATGGTTCAATTTTTTTATTTCAATAATTCTGAATGCCTAGGGATCTTTATCAGTGGGAGAAAGCCCACATGGTTGGGCAGGGGACCCAACTCCTTGTCACATACAAGCAAAGAATCAAAACCACCCCACCTGACTCAATGACAGGTCTTATGAAATAAAGCACACAGGTTAACCACTTGGTCACCTCTCACACACACACACACACCCCCCACCCCTACTTCAAATACATTTTAATTCCAACCTTTAGTTTGGCATACACCACACTATGATAATAAATACTAAATTTGAACAGACAATTAAATGGTTCTCATAACATTATGGACGAAAATTAATACCACTAAATTCTTATATTGACCCAAGACACTCCACATTTTGGTTGGAATGGTGTATAAAATGTTATAATCAATAATACTAAATATCTTCAGGCAATATCATCACATTTCATTCTTATAATATTAGAATTTTTAGTACTTAGATTTAGAAAAGCTGTAATATTCAACTATCTATGTAACTAATTATTCATTATGCATTTGTGAATTATTCCAAAAACTAAGAACAGTCATATATATGCAAATTACAAATCTTTTCGATTCAACACATTTACAAAGAAGTGGTTCATAAAATAATTCAAACTCTCTCAACACATATGTCCACAATTATTGATAAATGTGACGGCAAATAAAAGATATCTAAAAAGCTTGCAAGGGAAGATAACAAAAATGAACTATGATGTGAGGACAAGTTGATATAGGAACCTAATATAACAACAGCATGATATAGTTATTGGTGAATTTAATGACAATAACTCTTAACTAAATGACATGGGGTTTAACGTCCTACTTATCTGTACCAATTGACTTAATGAAGACAGACATACACAATTTAGTGTGCTATGGGGCAATTTTGTCTACTCTTCCAACTGTCAATGGTTCTTTCATGTGCACATCAATGTGGACATGGAACCTGTCTTTTTCGTCTCATCTGAACAACTAAGAGCCCTTTATCCTGCAACACTAACAATGGAAACGACGGGAAAATTGTTAGGAACTTCCTGGCCAATACTGGGATGTACTATAAATTATATTTTTCCCGTCTTATATGTCAAAACGTACAAACAAAAAAATCAAAATACATAAAAGCATTGGTATCGATTTAGGTTATTCATGCAAATTTTTATATCCAAAAGAAATTAGATATCAGAAACATTACTGTTATCATTAAATTGTTAAAATTTAATATTAAAATAAAGACACCATGAGAGAAAGAAGTGATAATGCACGATATATGGGAGAATAAAGGTCAAAGGGTGGGTCATCCACAGCGTCTAATCTATGGAAGAAATGTGCAGGCAATTCGTTTCCTCCACCACCGCACATATCAGCCTAGGCTGTGCGGGCGAGAAAACAGATGCCATACTTTACCTTCCCCAGCTAGAAGTTCGTCCATGATGGCCACAGAATCCTGCGGCCCACCACCTTTCCTTGTCAACACTTCTGCGTAACTGATGCTTGCCATGGGATTGTTTGTAGGGAGACCACCAGGGGCCAGTGGCTTACCTGCTGGAGTGCCACCTGTAGAAATGTCTCTACGTGTAGCACCACTGTACGAAAGACCTGGTTGAGCCAATGGACGATCGTGTGCTGTAGAATCTGGTGGGTGACTTTCTCCTGGCTGTCCATCTAACCTGTAATATAACAAAGGCTCATATTAGACAAAACCAACAAGCCAATAGTGAGGCTGATTGATGTCCCCAGCCGAAATCCCAAATAAAGAGATGACTCTTATTACTTACACATTTATCTTTGTTTAAAGGATTGAACATTCAAATGAATAACATGATCATTATCGAACTTAGTCAATAGCCCTGTTTACACTTGGCCGCGATAAGTGTGCCAGTCTCTGCGACGGTACCATGCATTGATAAATTTCAAGAAATTGAACTGTTTACATTACTCTAACAGGTCTCGGAACCGTGCCAGGCACGCCAAATGTGGAACTCTTCACAGAAAAGTTAATTTCAGCCCCTATGCAAATTATCCGGATGAAAACAATTGTGGCGGTTGATTTAGTTTTAGCAGCCATTTTGACAGAAATGATGACAGAACTGTCAAAGTTTGTGGGGAAAAAAGGTCAAGTTTCATTTGTGCTCAGACCAAATAGCGTTGACACTACAAAAATTTAACCGTGCCATGTCGAGACCATCTCACTTCAGTGGGCCAAATTGGCATGGTACTGGGTGGGGCATGCTTATGTTTGACTCATTTACAAGGTTTGTTACATATTTATTCTTTTTTTTCAAACAGATCAGATTATAATTGTCGTCATTTGAGGGTTCACAAGGTTCTAAAAACTTAAACTCTGGAAGTAATTTACAGAAACTGTTGAAAGTCATTTAACTAATTGAAATAACCCGTATAAATTTCATAAAGATCGGATGATAACTTTTGTTGTTTAAACAATCACATGGTTCATAACTCTGGCAGTAATTGACGGAAGTGTCTGAAATTCAATGATGCATATAAAGTATGTCTTTTTAGGTATTAATATTCACCTCTTCTTTTAAATGAAATCAAAGTGAAAATAAACATCCTTACAGTTATAATTATCAGTTTGTTGTTAACATTTGGAGGTAAGGGTCCTAAATATTCCATCTCTTTTGCATTCTCACGATATTCGAGTAAAATGAATAATCAATGGTATATTTACCTATGTTGTCTTATTAAGGTACATTCACCCCCTTCGTTTGGATCTATGTTATATATATAAAGATAACCATCTTGAGACGCCACCAATAATCTGGGGATTTTCTGGATTCTAAAAAATTAGTACACATGTTAATATAATTCATTCATATCATACTTGCCATTGTTCTGCAGTTAAAGAAATTGTACGGGAAATTCATAAAAGAACTTAAAGCTATGAGTAACACATTGAAATCTGACCACCTTTTTGTGGTCAGCTGTTTTGTTCAACCTGCCTTGGATAATCTAAATTAAGATGAACTTAGTAATTTTAAGATAAAATCCAAACATATTGATCAGATAATTTTATTTTGTGGATCATTATTAATATTTTCAACCTTGGCTCAATTTATGAACCAGAAAATGTACAATTTCAAATGTCTTAAATTTAACTGATGTTGGTTTTCAATGAATATTTGGAATATTGTTTCTAATTTGACAGCATCTAAAAACAAATTGTTCATTCTTTTAAGGCCATTATATTTTCTATTTACACTAATACTTACAAAGATAAAGCACAGACATTTCTTAATCCTGAGTTAGGGAGTCTGGCTGTAGCAAATGAGCGACCTTGATTGAACATTTCTGTTACTGGAGTTGGTAAATAATTCGCGGATGTCTTTAAAGCTTGATTAAAATAACCCATCCACCCTTGGCTCTCTTCTTGAGGTTTAGCCATTCTAAAAAAACAAAATAAGTAAAATTCCAATTTTCATACAATAAACAGAGTTATGGATCACCAGTTATATTCTACCCGAACCTCTACCTCCAGGATGGAAATGTTTCTTACCTGGACTTTCTGAGATTTTGTGGTACATACGTACCTGTAGCAAGAGAGGAATGGTGTTTAACTGCTACTCGATACAAGGTTATTATTATGTACCAGCTTGGGATTTTATCTAATATCACAAACATTTTGAACCACAATGTCAATCCAGGTTCTAACCATATAAAATTAATTAATGAAATGAAATTTAACATCCTACTTTTCTGCACTGGCTGGGTTAATGAAGACAGGCTTACACCATACAGTGTGCTATGACGACAATTTTTCCCGGCAGCAGCGCTACGGCCTACTCTTATATCAAATTCCAATTGTCAAGGTTTATTTTACGTACACACCAATATGTGCACAGGACTTCGGTTTTCCATACAATCCGAACAACTAGACACTTTCCTTGCCAGGCCCCAGGCTGCACCAACGACAAGGGGGAACCACACCCAAAATTACTTAAAGATACATTATGTCAGATTTAGATAAAGAACTGGCCATTCTTGCTATAATAGTTTGAAAGTAGATGATGTAAAATGAATAATTTGAAAATTTCATTCAAATTACTCTATTGCAAGCGAAGATATTAGCCTTTGAAGGTTTGACAGACGTGTGCAATAATTTCAACCACCGTACTGGTTGATCGAAGCTAAGTCTCGGCCCTCCATATTTGATTAAATCAAAGTATCGCTGAACCATTCTAATCTATTTAATATCGGAGAAATCTGATGCCATCGAGAGTTGATTAAGGCCTGGATCAGTTAATTAATGTCTAATTAATACTATAGAAAACATTCCAGGCCTAAAGAAAGACCTGCAATAGGCAGATTTAGCTCTTGCATAATGCATGTTTAATTTTTACGTCAAATTAATATTGGTAATTTGGTAGGGTAGCATTACATGTAATAGCTATTTATCAATAGTATGGAGGATTTGTAACAGGTGGACGTAGAGTATGTAGTAGTTGAAGGAAAATGGTTACTTACTTATCTTTCATATTGATATCTAGTTTAAATATATGGACTGTTTCTGTATTACTTGATGCACACAGAAATAAAGCATCTGTACTAAAACCTAATGAATTGATACTAACACACCTGAAAAATAACATTAAAATTCTAAACTTAAAATAATAATTAGGTTGAACTCAAACCAAAGGGCACACTGGAACTAATGATATTCAATTATTCTCATCTTGCAGCTATCTGTAGAAATGATTTTGCCTAGCTATTCATAAATATTATTTCAGTCAACAACAATAAAAACTGATTTTCATAATTACCGTTTTACTCCTCTTCTAAATTCAAACAGTTTTTGACCATCAGGCACAGAAAATACCCTTATTACGGTTCCCTAAAATAAAATACATTCATAATGTAAAATTCAAATATAAAAGGAATTTAAAAAAAAATAAATGTTTAAAAATAGTATGTAAGCCAGTATGGTCATCTAGTCATTCAGATGGGTTGATAAAAACGAGGTCCTGTGGTTATGAATACCACTGGAGGCTTCTATAATGAGGCATTTGGAATTGTGCATCTGTACCAAAATAGCGTCAAAGTGAAAATGACGATCAACGGCTTTAATGTTACCGGTTATCATTTTGTATTGTGCCATTTCATGTCTTAAATATTATTTTCTTTGGTAAATTATATGAATATATTATACCTTTTCTGATGCTGTAGCTAATTTATTACCCTGGTGACTAAAGGCTAATGCTGCTAATGGGTTATCATGAGCTGGTATCATCGTAACAGCTCTCTAAACACAAATATACAAACATTATATACAAAATAAAAAACAAATATTTTATAACAACAAACATTCGCGAGAATATTACATTAATACTTTGAGAAATGTCCTTTGGATACCAATAGGTAGACTGATCATCTTTTTTGTGAGTTCATGTCCCTTGGACTGGGTCAGAGCAATAGAAATAAAATCTTTGTCAGGGCTTTCCAAAATTATTTGAGAAGCTGTACTTGTCACATCTGCGCCAGTATTGTCAATTATGTGACACTCATCCCGTGATTTTCTAATCATTTGACCTACCTGGAAAATAGACTACATAATTTTCCAGATCTTGACATTAAAAACCCACAAATGCTCAAATCTTTAGCATGCTATGGTACCACTGCTCAAATCTTTAGCATGCTATGTTTTGTGTAAAGTTAAAGCAAAATATATTGATTATATACCAAAAGACTGTACACAGGCTACTCAATAGGCACTGAATAATTAACTTGTCTGTGATTGTAACAAACTTATGACTAAATGTAAAAGCCAATTCAAAAGCACTTACCAAATTAATTGTATCAAATATTTGCACTTCACCTATTTGATTACTACCAGGATATGCGAGGTAACAATTATCATTGCTTATTGCTAAAGCACACAAACCATTAGGGTTTGGAGGAGTATCTCTGATAGTGTGAAGTACTTTCATGTCCCGTATATTGTGAATGTATAAACTTTCTTCTAAGCACACAATTAATCTCTATAAATAAAATAATATTGATCACTTCTATTGTTTGAAAAAAAAAACCAATACAAACAGTTTTAATGTATGGTATATAAAGAGTAAAATGTTCAATACAATATTTTGGAAAACAAACTGAATGTTACGTTATTAATTGCAATAAATAACATTTTGTTAGTAATTGACCTAATTCAATCTGCTGTCAGTGCTGATTGTCATTTGACATATTGGACAATAAATGATTTTTACCACTTAATCCACTCTAAAATTCATTCTTTAATCGTACATGGGATGCCAAATGTAAGTACTGGACAGAATTTTACCATTTTTGGACTGTGATATTCCTTTTAGAGATTCAACATTTACCAAATTGAAGTTTGCAAGTGATTCAAAATCCTACAAATGACGAGCAGAGTATTCAATATATTGAAATATGCCAGTGATATTAATATAATAAGTATCTATACCTGTCTGTTTAGCTTGACAGCTAAAATGGAGTTTGAATAACTGTAGTTGCATATTTCTGTTCCTTTTTTAAAATGGCAGACTTCTAGTTTACGCGGTGATGACAGACTAACAATGGCTACTAAACTACTAGAGAATAATCTTTCTACAATAGATATATCTTCACAATCTACAAATCAAAATAAATTAATAAATGATAAAATTTTGCATTAAACAAATGTAGAGATAGAATACCAATGTGTAGGTTGATGATCTTTCACAATCACACAGTTTCAGCAAGCCTATACCGGTACATTTAATAGTATTTAACTGGCTAGATCTCTTTGAATGGGACCGAAAACTTGATTAAATAAATTGGATTTTATATGTTGATTGGTTTTGTGACATAATAATCTGTCTCCACTCAACATTTTATATTCATAGATCAAGTTAAAATGCTAATATAAGCTTAAACATGCATTATGCAAGAGCTAAATCTGATTATTGCAAGTCTTAATTTAGGCTTCAGATGTTATAGAAATTATAAATTAGATCTTTATTTAAACAACAAGACCAAAATCAACTCTGTAGACCCACGGATGGCTCGGCTACAGCTCGGATTTAAATAGGATTTCACTAATTGATTAAATCAAATAAGGGGTAACCTGATGAAAATACGTCAGTTAGATCGAGGCTAAATGATAGAGTGTACTAAGCGAGGCCGCTGTAAAGCGTTTCCGTATGCCATTAAAAGCTTTACTTGATAATCGAGATATGTAGGTGGAGTTAACGCCTGTCAATCAAACGATCCGCGAAGGTGAAGACACATTTCGCTACCATTTCTAGGCAAATATTACAACGATGATAACTATGTTCAGAATAAAGTAATTTGACTGAATTTTTCAATATATTCTTCTTTCATCGTCTACTTTTGAACTGTTATAGCAAGAATGGCCAACTCTCTATAAAAATCTCCCATAATGTATCTTTAATAAAATGTGTATTCTTGTGTCAACACAGCAAACAAAACTTGAAACTGTATCAGTAAACAAATTTACTTCTGATTTGAAACAAAAATTTAATTATATACAGTTTGTCCAATCACTAATCAAAACAACACATCAGAGTAACCTAATTAAGTTACTTGACCAGAATCAAAGAAGTTGGATTCCTTTAAACTAATTTGACATTCCTTACACAATAACAAATATCTATTTATGCATGACTTAAAGCAACGGTCAAAGGGGTCAAATTTGGTCACGGTATTCAAATTTCAGGATGGATGAATTTCAACTGAACATACCTGACAATACAAGGCTATGTACTGTAGATGTATAGTATAAAGAATTCAGTTAAGAGAATTAATATTATTTCAATTGTAAAAGCAGTATTCTGGCACTTGCTAATGTCATTTCAACTAATAAATAAGTTTATAATATTAACTTGAATTCTTATTCTAACAGAATAGCATATCTCCAGTTTTATAGTTTATACTGAAGAATAAGTCTTATGTTATTAGCAATAGGTTTATGTCCCTTGAACTAGATTCTAAAATTGCAATATTTCCATACTAATTACTATGCAACTACTCAATATGTTATCTTAGTTCTTACATCTAAAAGTGTCTTGAAAAATAATTATGTGTAATGTAGCTAGCCTATGTTATTTTAGAAAAAACTAAAATTCCTTTGTTAAAACTGATGACACATATGTTATAAAAATACAGCTGACAGTGTTTACAGCATTCCACAGGTCAAACTCACTCCCACTGATACTTGAGAGTGGTTAGCAAACATTAATGGGAAATGTTTATGGTATTATTGAAAGGGATATTTATCTTTATATCCGAGTCAATCAAACTTAAAATTACATCAATAAGTAAGAAATAATCATAACACTAAATGTGTCCTGGCTCTCCCAAAACTAGAGCAGAGCTGTCATTTTAATTAGGTCAACTTGACATTCATCATCATGTCAGAACAGACTCGACCGATTCTAGCTAGAATTTTGTGTCATACTAACTAACTCACCTTGTTCATAAATAGAATCTAGTTTTTCCACGGAGTTTAATGAAAACAGCTTGTAACCAGTTTTGGTACCAACAGCGAGAGAACTGAAATTACATTATTAAAATAGTAATATTATTGCATTGTTTTGAACTACTTCCGTAAGAGAACGGTTATAGAATCGTCATAATCTGTAAAGTGTAAACAGATCTACTTGCTAGGTAAAATGAAAACAAACGTACGAGCAGTCTTGGTTAAAATTAACAAACAACAGATTGGACTGCTGGTCTCCAGAAAGGCTTGCAAGGTTCATCAGGCCAGTCAAACCTTGAGATACGCCAGAGTAGATGTAATCCGTGTTTATTTTCTACGTCCAAAGCTCAGTGGACTCCATTTACGTTTTCTCGATTATCGAACAAGTTCTGGTTTCGGTCTATTGCGTGTTTTGATTGGTCGATACAAAGGGAAGATAACCCATTAGAAAAGCTTGAAAGTCTTGAACGTTTAGGCGGTTTTTGTATACCCCAAATTATGTTCCCAGATTTTAACCTATTATTATTATATTGTCTGGAAATATAAATGCAGGGTGTGAAAGCTCCAGTAAAAACTTTAGCGTGTCGTTCACCTTAGAATTTCATGACCATTTTGGGATCTTCAGAAATTCAAGAATGTAGTTGCATTGGTAATGAGTCACACTGTACGAATAGGCTTAAAATATTAAATTATGCCTAACTTATCTGTGTTTAAATTATGGTCCCACTACTACTCGCCTAAAGTAGGCTACACCCTCTCTGTTGAGCTTATTTCCACCCGCATACCCTCTCGTTCTGTAAGATCTGCTTCCAATAATTTGCTTGTAACGAACTTTCACTTCGACAGCCCCAATTCTGTGGAACTCTTTAACATACGACACCAAAAAATAGTTTTACAATGGAAATTTTTAAACGTAAACCTAAAACTGAACTTTTAATAAGAACTTTTTAAAATAGCCTAATAATAACTTTTATTATCATTCATAACTTTTATTATTGTTCATAACTTATAATTATTGTTTTATTGCCACATAAAAATTGTGGGACAGTCAATTATCAGAATTTGTATGAAGGAGCTTCCATTCCCTAAATTCAACCTCCGTGATAAAATAGGTAGGGAAAAAAAATACTTAAAAAAAAAAGAAACTAGCTAAAATAATTAAGCTCGCTTATAGGCATTCATGGAGTATTTTCACTTAAAACAAGCGGTTGCCATGCAAGATACGCCCACATTTTGCAAGAGATGGACAGAGAACAAGCTCAAAAAAAGAAGTGATTTTTTGTACAATCAAGGGCCGTAATTCAGGAAGTTACAATCCGATATGCATGAATATTGAAAGGAACCAAGATCTTTGGGTTATAAACATGTATTTCAAGTTACATCAAAATCGGATCAAAATTGTGTCCACTCTCTAGAGGGTCCAAAACCTTGATATACAATATATTTACAATATTTGCGTACGAGGGGCAGCCATTTTGTCCGGCAGTTTTGGTCCGATTTGTACGAAATTCGGACTCAACCATCATAAGGGTTTGGCAGGGATATATTCAAACGTTTTTTAAAATCGGATAAAAATTGTGACATCTAGAGGGATCACATCCTAAAAACGCGACTTTTCGTACAATCAAGGGCCATAATTCAGGAAGTTATGATCCAAAATGTGCGTATATCGACAGGAACCAAGATCTTTGGGTTATAAATATGTATTTCAAGTTTCATCAAAATCGGATCAAAACTGTGACCTCTATAGGGTCCACAACCATATTTTTACGCTATTTGAGAACGAACGGCGGCCATTTTGTCTGTCAATTTTGGGCCAATTTTCACGAAATTCGAACTCAGTCGTCCTTAGGGTGTAACGGTGACATAATAATACGGTTTTTTTTAAATCGGATAAAAATTATTACCTTTATAGGGTCCACAAGCTAAAAACGCGATTTTTCGTACAACCAGGGACCATAATTCAGGAAGTTAAGGTCCGATATGCGCGAATATCGAAAGGAACCGAGAACTTTGGGTTATAAACTTACATTTCAAGTTTCAACAAAATCGGATAAAAATTGTGACCTCTATAGGGTCCACAAGCTAAAAACGTGATTTTTCGTACAAACAGGGGCCATAATCCATGAAGTTTCGATCCGATACATGCCAATATCGAAAGCAGCCGAGATCTTTTGGGAATAAACCTATATTTCAAGTTTCGTAAAAATCGGACAAGAATTGTGACCTGTAGAGTGTCCACAAACAAATTGTGGACGGACGGACAGGGGCGACGACAATATACGTCCACATGAAAATGTGGGCGTATAAAAATTATTATTTATATAGATTCCACCCACCCGACGAGTTGGTGATTAAACAAACTACCAACAATGACAACATGTCGTAACTTTGATTTGTTACTCACTATCGATGTAAACCATAAATTCAATTTATATAATAAAAGTGGTGATTTTAATTTTCCAATTATTATGCTCGCACGTTCCTCATTTAGTTGATACGGTATGCCGTCTTACTTTTTTCTCCAGCTACCGGGCACGAAATGTATATATAGTGTATAGGAAAAATTTCTCCTTTTCACATTTTTAACTGCCAAGCGTTCTTACTTGCACCAGAACACGGGCCTCGGTTTTTCGTGCTACCAATCCTACAACAATGACACGGTGATCCAGACTGGAAAATACCGAGGAAGTTCTTGGCCAACACCGGTACCTCCTACTTGTGAGCCAGTGCATACTCACTTATCCACGGTGATGTCCTTCAAATAGACGCTTCATTATCATTAGTAAAGGTCTTACAGCACCACCGACAAGGAGATAACACAGAAAACCTGAGGAACCTTCTTAGTACTTAGCTTATACTGCGATCAAACACGAGACCCCCGGTAGCCTAGTTCACTGAACCATCGGTACTCCCAAATACCACGTGCTAGTCTTAAAATGACCTAAGAATGGAGTTGACGTTAGCCTATACCCCATTTTATTCCATTCTACCTGCAAATAATGGGGACGCATTAAAGCAACTTCGATGACAGTCTAACCCGAAACAGTAAAGCAAGCCGCCAGACAATAACCTGGGTGCTGTTCTGTCGCGTGAGATGCTCGTGACTGAAATTGACATGCACGTGCTTAGGCTAGCAGGCGGGCAACAGGATGTCGCCGCGTTTGGTGTGGATATCCTCTGTCAGCTAGCACATGCAAAGCCACTTTGAAATGGAAAGGTGTTCCGTATTGATCCACCCGCACAATCTTTTAACGGCACGTGACCATGCGGTGGCACGTGCAATTCTAATCAAATGTCCTTGTTAAGAGTTATTTTGGACATTTTACGTTTGAACGCCAAAGTTAGAGCACGGATAGTGTAGTTGTTAACAGTTACTGACTAGTTTAACGATAAAATCCATTCCCAAGGGAGGTGATCATTTTACATGGATTCAAATATGGAAATGGTAAGTTTGCTATAAATTAATTTTTTGGGAATGGAAATTTTTTATTTTGTAACTTTATTCACCTTATAACGACATCACATTTCTCAAAAATCTAACAAAGACACGAGATAATCAAGCGATTTCATAATCGTATGGAGTCCATGTAAAAATTCGGACAATCCGTGAAATCAAAGGGATCCGCGATGAAAAGGGTTCGTGAAAAAAAGTTTACAGTAGTAAAACACTGTATGAAATTAATCCCAGACTAGGATTTCTCGTTCCATGTCGGATTTCAGGAATATGTTGGATAATGAATTTCAGTAGCTCATATCAGAGTCTGTGGCATTTTTGGTTGTACGTGACAAGGAGTAGATCATAGGCGTACGAGCTGGGGGGGGGGGGGCACCAAATGCTGGGAAAATTTGGGCACACAATTGTATTTTGTAAAAGTTGTATAAAAAAAAGATATTGTGTTCTTGAATGTGTCCAATTTAACAGCGAATTTATTATTATGTAACATACTAAGAACCTAACTACATTTTTTGGGCACCAACCACCACCGCCCCCCCCCCCCCCCCAAGTCAAAAATTTCCCCGTACGCCTATGAGTAGAGTCGCCTGTCCAACCTCGTGGGTTTTCTCCGGGTCCTCCGGTTTCCTCCCCCTGCTAAAGACCCCTACGAATTACTTTTTCTTTCGTCACTCCCGTTTCTTGACATATTCATTACGCATCTATCGTAGCAATGATCTATGTGTTAAAATTATATTTCGAACGTGTTTAACCAGTTCTATATGACAATGACTGACACCAATATTGTCCTTTAACATTGGAAATGAAATGAAATGGGGTTTAACGTCCTACTGTTCTGCTCCAATGCTGGGCTAATGAAGACGGGCATACGCCATACAGTGTGCTATGAGGGAAATATTGCCCGGGCAGCGGCACTATCGCCTACTCTTATATCGAATTCCAACTGCCAAGGGATCTTTAACGTGCATTCCAATGTATACACGGGACCTCGGTTTTTCGTGTCATCCGAAGGACTAGACAGCTGTCCTTGTCAGGCCCTCCGTCCTGCATCACTGACAAGGGGGAACCACGCCGGAAAATCTGGATGAACTTTCTCGGCTAATGCAGGGATCGAACACCCGACCTCCAGGCTAGCGAGCCAGCGTCTTACCCACTTAGCCACGTGATCCCCCTTTAACATTGGATGCATTACAATTCATTGGGGACAAGCACCGCCGCCCCACCCCACCCCACCCCACCCCACCCCACCAACCACCGTCTATTCGGCCTGGTATATATAGTCACTGTGTCTATGGGAACAACCGCCTATTAAAGATGATATTATCGGTTACAATGGACATATTTCGCTAATATGTATAAATAAGCAGTGTTTTTTTTACAGCTGTATTTTTTTTTTATCTCCAGGAAAGATCATCTCATAAAGTGATTGAAAAGAGAAGGCGAGACAGGATTAATAATTGTTTAGCAGAACTTAGTCAAAGTGTGCCTTCAGTTTTTGCCAAACAGGTGGGGTCTTTATGTACACAGTGATTCGAATTATATATTTATCGCCCAATATTTATGGAAACTCTTAAAGGCTCAATACCACTCTTGTTGTAACTGAATAATATGTCCCAATCTTTATTCTGGTCAACAAATTGTACTATTTTACAATATTCCAATTAATTGATGATACAAATTTCATCTTAACACGCCTAATTTAAAAAATTGGAAAAATTCAACTAAATGATTTGAAAAGCCTGACGTAAAGCTTTTCAAATGTGACTTGGATTTAAAAATATTTTTGAACCCTCTGGACAAGTAAAATAGGATTTAATGGATAATTTACACAACAGGTAGGACACTAACACATCTAGTACTTAGAATAAGGCTAATTTTTATTTTCTGGAGCTGTTAAGCCAGCAAGGGTGTTATTGTCCCTTTAAGATATTGAACCTAACCTAAATGAGGAATACCGATGTTAATCGCCATGTTGCCGACAAAAAGTCGCATATGCGCTCAGTGCAACAATATAACACGAAACGAATGACCTACTGAGTCATCCTCCAGATCTTTCTGAAGAAGAAACCTTCTCTCTTGGCGTATGCTCCTTCTTTTTTTCATTCCTCGACTGAGAGTTGGAGCGGTGATTAGAATTATTCCACCATAGCGGTTACAAATTCCACACCGCTTGCATGGTTTTATGGCGATGTGTATTTTTGAGCGTCCACCCGTGCAATGAATATCTCAGTTTTATATTGTAGATTTTCTATCAACTAAATGCCAGAGGGGCGGTGTGCCGGGACTTTAATTTACCGCAGATTAATGACTGATTATTCGTCACAGGTGGCAAAAATCACCAAAAAATAATCATCATTGTGTAGTAACTTAGCTTGCAAAAATGTAAAGACTTAAAATCAAATATGAGTACGCGTAAAGCGTAGGCTTATTTGTTGGGATATCGAAAACTAAAGGTCATACTGTGGAAATAATGCCCAAAGTTGTTTTTTTTCTCTTTCAGACATCGGGGAAACTAGAAAAGGCTGAAATATTGGAAATGACCGTGGAGTATTTGAGAGCAATACAAGCTACTGATATTGGTATTCGTTTTGAGAATGGTAATATTGGAATTTGATATAAAACAATAATGGCTTGCATGTACTGTACCTCCAAATGTTATAAAATAGTCAAATAAAAATTGCTTTGTGTTAGAATTTAAAGATTCATGTGAACTTTAATGAATATATTGAAAATTTTCGTCAAATTTCTCTATTTTGAGCAAAGGACTGCCGTGAGTGGTGTCAATATTATCATTAATTTTTTTATACACCCACATTTCCATGTGGAGTATTATGCCGTCGGCCCTGTCCGTCCACAATTTGTTTGTGAACACAATACAGGTCACAAATTTTATCCGATTTTGAGTTAACTTGAAATTAGATCCAATCTGATTAAAAAACAGATCCAATTTCGTTTCGTTTTTATATTTTAATTATATTGAATTAGATCTTACTTTCGATATTGGCATGTATCGGACCATAACTTCATGGATTATAGCCCCTGATTGTACGAAAAATCACGTTTTTCTGTGGACACTCTTGGGATTACAATTTTCATCTGATTTTGATGAAACTTGAAATGCATGTTTATAACCCAAAGATCCTTGTTCCTTTCGAAATTCGCGCATAACGGATATCGTTCTAAAACATTTTTTTCTATGTATTAGAAAAATAAATAAATACGTTTGAAGTATTTGTAGGTACAAATTATTTCCTATTTAATGTAAATGAGTATTAAAACGAGTACAAGGCACCATTCTGCCCGAACTAGTAACGTCTTAATGTAAAACAGTGCACGCGCCATTGAGCTATTGATTGACGCCGCGTGCTATGTAGCCACGTGTTAAAGGCGGTCATCTTTCTTAATCCTCTATGAAACAGATTGCTACTTCGTACCTAGGCGGATCTAACTATTGACAGTCAAACTGTTTCAATGGCATTTAGTAATTGAACTAGAGTATACAGGTCACAATTCTATGGAATACAATTACTGCTTTTTACCGAGCGACGTTTCGACTAGGCTTCTCTAGTCATTATCAAGCTATGATAAAAACTGAGCATTGTTGTGTACATGTATATATTGTCCTGTCATATTTTCATTTTTGATCATAGCTTGATAATGACTAGAGAAACCTAGTCGAAACGTCGCTCAGTAAAAATCAGTAATTGTATTCCATAGAATTGTGACCTGTATATTGACAGTCAGCCTAAGTTTGGGATGTGTGGATCAGTGTGTGTAAAAGTATGTAAAACCAAGGTTGTAGACACTCTAGACGTCACAACTTTTATCCGATTTTGATGAAACTTGAATGTATGTTTTTAATCCAAACATCGTGGTTCCTATTGATATTTGCGCATATCGGACCGTAACTTCCAGGATTATGGCCCCAGATTGCACAAACAAATCATGTTTTTAGCTTGTGGAACCTCTAGAGGTCACAATTTTTTTTATCCGATTTTAAAAACCGTTTGAATATATCACCATTTCACCATAATGAATGTTGAATTCGAATTTCGGGAAAATCAAAACGAAGCTGCTCGACAAAATGGCGACTCCTTGTACGCAAATAGTGTAAAAGTATATCATACTAAGGTTGTGGACCCTCTAGAGGTCACAATTGTGATCCGATTTTGATGAAATTAAAAATAAATCTTTATATCCCAAAGATCTCAGTCCCTTTCGATATTTGCGCATTTCAGACCATAACTTTCTGGATTGTGGTCCCTGAGTGTACAAAAAATCGCTTTTGTTTTAGCTTGTTCTCTATCCATCTCTTGCAAAGTGTGGGCGTATCTTGCCTGGCAACCGCTGGTTAACCTACGTATTGCGTGCATTGTTTAATCCACTCAATATTACAACCATCCAATGGTATAAAAAGTTGTTGGTGGATCTGTCATTTAAATAAATGTCAAAATAATAACATTTTAAGTCAGAAAAAATAAGCCGATTTAGATTGTTTTGGTTTATTATGTGATGTATATTCTTCAAAAGGTCATTTTATTAGCCGGATGGAGCAGAGAACTAGGACGTTAAACCCCGTTTCATCCCGTCGTTATATTTGCGCGATTTTGTTTCGATAGAAAGTCGCCGAGAAGATGTTGACCACGTCTCATATTTCCCCCATAATTAAGTTTTTTTTAAGATGATTGAAAGAGTAATTTATGTCACGAACAACATATTAAATTGGCTACATGAAACATAAATATTGTATTTGTACATTTCTATGGCACAGAGGAAATTGCAGTGACATTTACTTTTTGATGTGATGCCGTAGCTTAGTCTATAGCGTAATCCTACATGAAAATTCCATCAAATAATTAGTGGGCGTTACACATCGTCACGTGCACAACACAAAAAATAATCACGCGTAGACATCTTTCCGCGTTACGGCGCGTGACGGCTAATGCTACACGCGACCTATCGCGTGCATTACGGTTCATGCACGATATGTGTGTTGGTCAGTCGTGTGTCGTAAACAGATGCGTGTACGTTTATTCGCTGGCGGGTTTACTAATTTTGTAAGAAATCGGGTAAAAGCTGTGTTACACGTGACTATTGTAACAGAAAATGAAATCTGTCTTTCTCGTGAATGTGGGAAACACGCGTCACTGGCAATTAGCCTAGTAACACAAACCGTTATCTTGATTACCGATGTTTAGGAAACTTGCGCGGTATTAAGTACATTCGTTATTTTTTGTCTTCTAGCTAAAGGCGACATCTTGCCATTGCATACGGTTTTAGCCTATTTGGTGTTTTATTTCATACGTGTTGACCGTAATTCGAATATGCACACATGCCTAATTGTAAATATCTCACAAATAATGTCCCTGATAATGTCAACTTTGTCTGGGAATATTAAAAAAAATATTTTTCTTTTGTAGGTGAATGGTTTAGTGGCGATATTTGGTCGGATTTTATACAGCACTACCAGTTAGGATACAATGACTGTATTAGAGAAGTTGTTCGGTATATGACAGACGTCGAAGGGATGGGCCTCAATGATACCCGATGCGTACGAATTTTATCCTATCTTCAAACTAGATTTCGACCAGATTCTTCAATCGGCGGTGCTGGGGCACACAGACCAACAATGCAGCGTCTTTTAATACCGAATAAAAACAGTAATTTATCTGAAGATACAAAAATACATCATAATTTACCAGCGCGTCGTTATTCACCGTATTCAACATCACCAAATATGCAATCCCGGTTAAATGACTCATTTTCTACAGAGAGAAAAACTATTGCCGTATCGCCGTCAAGCGTGTATCCACTTATGGCTTCAACCATACGACCATTGTCAAAAGTGCCACATTCGCTACCTTTAAATATGTTACCATTTCAGTATGAAACGATGTCAGATAGACACATAATTCCAACTTCGGTTCATAATTCTCCTCAGTATAAATAAAGAAATATTATGATTTAGCCATTGTTTAATGTCATGGGTTTCTTGTTTAATTGAACTATCAATCATTTTCATTTAATTTTGAAAATAGTTTGAAGGTGCCTAAAGTAGAGATGTATATCGGCTATTGTGTTCCAGATATTCATATGTACAGTCAATAACATGACAATTTCTCCTGTGAATTGTTAAATATCTTAGATCATTTCCAGAGGAAAATAGAAATGTGGTTTAACTGTACAGTTTTATTCCAATGATTCATTTGTGTGTTGAGTTTTTTTTTTAGCAGTAGGAAGAAACCTACGAGGTCACATACAAGCTTCACAACGCCAGTTAATCCAATAGCAGACCTTGTGATATAAAGCGCACGAACTAGTCCACTTAACTCTCTCCGATCATTCCCATGTTTTAGGAAGCCGCATTGGCTCAGTGAGTAAGGCGCTGGCTCACTAACCTGGAGGTACCAGTGCAGGGGCGGATCCAGGGGGGGGGGGGGGGGCCTGCTCAGCTACATAATTTTTTTTGTAAATCAACACTTTTTATGAGAAAAGTTTCTCGGCCGTGTGCTTTATTCTTTATCGTCAGATGTGGGACAGGATGGACACTCAAAGCACGAGATAATGATATAGACATTATGTGATATCACAATTAATGCTTTGCATCCATGAAATTGAATCACAATGCCATTGTATTAATTCATAATAAAAATTGACGTCAAACGAGGTTTTGAATTTGTCTGTTTAAAAAGCTCAATGTGTATGTATATACACCAAATTGACGATAGAGACCATGCGGGAGGGGGGGGGGTAGATACATTGTCTCAGGAACCTGGCAAACCCCCTCCTGCAAAAATTCCTGGATCCGCCCCTGAGTGTTGGCCGCGAAAGTTGCTATGGATTTTCTGGCGTGGTTTCCCCTTGTCAGTGATGCAGACGAAGGGTCTAGCAAGGAAATGTTGCTGGTCGGACAATATTTACTTCATAGCAAACTGCATGGCGCATGCCTGTCTTTTTTACCCGGTTAGTGATTTCATTTAATTTCATTCCTGTTATCAAAATGTTAAGAGATCGGAGACAATTCAGTAGATTAATAAAAGAGCTTGATAGTTGTGCAAAGAAAAGTGACATAGTTGCAAAACATAAGCGGGGGTTAAATATCTAGGTAACTTCTACGGTTCACCGGCACAGCAAAGTCGTCCGTGCCTATCTTAAATCATTGTCAGCAATGAACAATCGGACAGTCAAAAAATGTCAACGAAAAGATAATTCCACAAAGCGTGTTTGGAGGCAGACTACGCACATTTCCCCATTGACTTCAGTGTTAATTCTGGCCTCTTTGCCCACCCCCAACTTTTTCCCCAATTTTCGTTGGGCTGAATGCTTTTCACTACAGGCAGATGAACAAATGGTCATGTCTTTGCACTAAAATTTGTATGTGGTTGTCCACCAAAATTTTGAGATACACAAACTTGAAGAAGCATACTATTACTAAAAACATGTAACTAGTTGCAGTACATATCACCAACCAACCTGATAACTCTGTTATCCTTCCGCCTCAAAATCCTGAATATTTACCAAAACCTGTCAGGAAATGTTAATTCAAACCCCCTTTGTCCATTCTAGACCAAAAAATCAACAAACATGGACATGCAAAAAGGGACAAAAAAGACACAGAGAGAATTGCTATAAATAGATGAACTACAGTCCTATATGGTTTTAAAAGTTCCTATATCATCAAAATTCTTTTCTTTAAAGCTTCACATTTATTTTTGCAACATTATTAAAAACCAGCGGCTGCCAGGCAGGATACGCCCACATTTTCGAGAGATGGATAGAGAACAAGCTAAAAAGAAAGTGATTTTTCCTTTCCGTCTTCATTAGCCCAGGTTAGGAGCAGAACAGTAGGACGTTAAACTCCATTTCATTTCATTTCATTTCATTTTCTACAATCAAGGGCCATATTTCAGGAAATAACATTTCGATATGCGCAAATATCGAAAGGAACCAAGATCTTTGTGTTATAAACTTACATTTCAAGTTTCAACAAAATCGATTAAAAATTGTGACCTCCATAGGATCCACAACCTTGATATACCATATTTTTACGCTATTTGAGAACGAAGGGCGGCCATTTTGTCTGTCAGTTTTGGGTCGATTTTCACGAAATTCGAACTCAGCCGTCCTTATGGTGTAACAGTGATATAATAATAGTTTTTTTTATAAAAATCGGATAAAAATTATAACATCTATAGGGTCCACAAGCTAAAAACGTGATTTTTTGTACAATCGGGGGCCATAATTCAGGAAGCTACGGTCTGATATGCGCGAATATCGAAAGGAACCGAGATCTTTCGGTTATAAACTTACATTTCAAGTTTCAACAAAATCGGATAAAAATTGTGACCTCTATTGGGTCCACAACCTTGATACACCATATTTTTACGCTATTTGAGAACGAACGGCGGCCATTTTGTCTGTCAATTTTGGGCCGATGTTCACGAAATTCGAACTCGGCTGTCCTTAGGGTGTAACGGTGATATAATAATACGGTTTTTAAAATCGGATAAAAATTATGACCTCTATAGGGTCCACAAGCTAAAAACGCGATTTTTCGTACAATCAGGGGCCATAATTCAGGAAGTTACGGTCCGATATGCGCGAATATCGAAAGGAACCGAGATCTTTGGGTTATAAACTTACCTTTCAAGTTTCAACAAAATCGGATAAAAAGTATGACATCTATAGGGTCCACAACCTTGATATACCATATTTTTACGCTATTTGAGAACGAACGGCGGCTATTTTATCTGTCAATTTTGGGCTAATTTTCACGAAATTCGAACTCAGCTGTCCTTAGGGTGTAACGGTGATATAATAATACGTTTTTTTAAATCGGATAAAAATTATGACCCCTATAGGGTCCACAAGCTAAAAACGCGATTTTGCGTACAATCAGGGGCCATAATTCAGGAAGTTAAGATCCGATATGCGCGAATATCAAAAGGAACTGAGATCTTTGGGTTATAAACTTACATTTCAAGTTTCATCAAAATTGGATAAAAATTGTGACCTCTATAGGGTCCACAACCTTGATATACGGTATTTTTACGCTTTTTGAGAACGAACGGCGGCCATTTTGTCTGTCAATTTTGGGCCGATTATCACGAAATTCGAACTCAGTCGTCCTTAGGGTATAATGGTGACATAATAATACGTTTTTTTAAATCGGATAAAAATTATGACCTCTATAGGGTCCACAAGCTAAAAATGTGATTTTTCGTACAATCAGGGGCTATAATTCAGGAAGTTACGGTCCGATATGCACGAATATCGAAAGGAACCGAGATCTTTGGGTTGTAAACTTACATTTCAAGTTTCAACAAAATCGCACAGACAGACAGACAGACGGACGGACAGGGGCGACGGCATAATACGTCCACATGAAAATGTGGGCGTATAAAAATAATAATAATTACTGCAGAAATGATGATCCTTTAAAGTAATGTACTGTTTCGTATACCGGATAGGGGAGTTGGATAGCCGAATGGTTAGCATGCACTCGCTGTATCATACGGTCTGTCATTGAGTAAACTGGCGGGGTTTCGATTCCCGGTTGTAGGTGACAAGGAGTAGGGTCGCCTGTCCAACCTCGTGGGTTTTCTCCGGGTCCTCCGGTTTCTTCCCACAGCTAAAGACCCCTACGCACAAGCGAATGATTGAAATAAAATTGAACCATGTGTTAGTCCCGAAATGACATAGTTTGTGTCGAGTAGACATTAAACTCCATTTCTCTCTGTCTCGTATACCAGGTTGAAGCTCAGGTCCATGGGCCTTTTGTTCTAGAAATGAAGATTCTTTCTTAATTTTGTCAAAATGGGAGTTCTGCAAAAAGATTTAAAGACTTTCAAACATGTCACATCAAAAATATTCAAAATATTTGAATATTTTTCTAAAATTGACTTTCTTTTACCTTTTTCTACAAAATGGTCCATTTTTTACACTTTGTATGTCTCAAAATGCCAATATTTTACTATTTCTTGGAAAGTCTGAGAATTGCTATAAATAGACGAACTACAATTTGTTGGGTACCGAGATGGTACAAGATCTGAAAATTCTGAAATTTGATAGGGCCACAGTTTGTTCTAACGCTACCAAGTCACCTAATCTTTCGTGGGGTTGGATGTTATTGAGTCAACTGCCGTGGTTTCGATTCCCCGGTTGTACGTGACAAGGAATAGGGTTGCCTGGCCAACCTCGTGGGTTTTCTCTGGGTCCTCCGATTTCCTCCCACTCCTAAGGACCCCTACGCGCAAGCGAATTATTGAAATAAAATAAAACCATATGTTAGTTCTGAAATGACCTAGTTTGTGTCGAGTGGACATTAAACTTCATTTCCTCTCTCTCTCTCACCTAGTCTTTAAGATCGGCCAGTTTTGATCGGGTGCTGAGGTTGACCAAAATGTTGAATATGGCACATAAAACACAAAAAAATCTTGTTAATGGTTTTTCAACATTTGGTAAGAAAGGGTTTACATATTACCTCAACAGCTGTCAAGATGTTCAAATGGGACAAAAAAACGAAGTCCCGTATACACATCGGCATGCATGTAAAAGAACATTATACATTTTCAAAATTAAACATAATTAGGCATGAAAGCTTCACAGTCACCAAAATGCACCCATCAACAGCAAATTCGAACACGCTATCTCTAAAGTTAATGTCAACCACTGGGTGTCAAAAATTCCACAGTGAACACACTTTTAATTAAGTCCAAATTTGAACAAAGTTGCAAAATGTTTGAAACTTTTGGGGTGATAATATAACAAAATTCCATGGAGACCTGTGTCCTATATTGGGTTCACAAGCTTTATAAATCAAACTGGAAATGTGTTCGAAGTTCACAATATAAATGTTTGAAATTCTCTAGAAGTTTTCTATTGGCCAATTAATCTGTGTTTGATCCTAAACAGGGAGATACTTCAACGATTTGCACTTTATAAAAAATCAGAATATCGATAGGGCACTTCAATGGAGCATTATCAAGAAATTTTTGAAAGACGGGGGTGATAACAATGTACATCCACTTTTAATCCATTTCTAATTTAAAAAAATGAGTTTAGCAAATCATCTAGTCAAAAACATATTCTATAACATACCATTGTTCATGACAACCTACGTTTACAGACGATGGTTTTGTCAAGATGGTTGTTATCATTTTCGTGGACAAATGAAGAATTTTTTTTCATAAGAATATTTTAATTTACAGATAACAACAAAGAGTACAGACATATTAGAAATGCCAGTTTTGGGGATATAAATTGACAGACTATTACAAGAAATTAAAGATGGTGGCATAAAATTTTAAGCAATTTTTAACTTGAGCTAGTCTAATATAATTTAAGCTAAGATTGATATATTATAGAAAATTCTGGACCAATACGCTTTTTGTAAACCTACTTTTTTATGTATGGACTGAAAATTTACAATTTCACAATTTTCTCTTACTAATACTAAATTTGATAAATTGTTTCAATGGGTAAGGAATTTAAAAATTGAATTGGAAATACATGGGACACAATTCTATGGAGATTGTTCACAGACAACTTTCCATAGAATTGTGTCCATATTGATTTTCCTAACGTACTACACACAGTTGTGTGTCTATATTGTTGATATAAAGAATATAATTAAAACTCCTATAGTCTGTACAATAATCAAACACCTAAAATAAGAGAATGAATTAGTTTTGTGGAGCTGAAGGAGCACCCATGCGTGTTGGATCTTGTGATGGATAATGGACACCACCTGTTGGAGGTACACCACTCATACCCGGAGGAGGTCTCATAGGCATTACACCAGGAGGAGGTGGGGGCATCATTCTCATATCTGAAGTAAAAGAAAGTCTTATTAATAGAGAATAAATGGAAGCAGCATTTGTATATGTCTACATCAGATTAAAAATTTGGAATGCATTTAACAGATTAATTTTTCTAAGCTACAGAATTCATAATAGATTTTTTTTTTAAAACTTGCAGCAAAGTCTGAAGTTTTACAGACACTGCTTTGGCATATAACTGGTTTGTTAAACTACTGGCTTCAAGTTTATTGAGTCTATTGTATTGGATAATCAAATGACTGTCTTCATTTAGATTTTCCCATCTTTCTGTTTAATCATGCACAGTGATGTGGTTTAGTCAGTCACAGGATTTTATATAATGTTAAGTGGAATTTAATTGGCTACTGAAATGTGATTTAGCCAACTGTAATTTGACAAAGAAAACAATATCTAATCCAGTCAGCTTTGAGTTGGCATTTCTTACAAAAAAAAATCCCAAGAATTGTGAAAACAAATATATTCTTACCTGGAGGGCCAAAATTAGAACGAGGTGGACGCATTCCATAAGGTCCCATGGGTGGTGGTCCTCTTGGTGGACCACCAGGTGGACCTCTCATATGCATCGGCATTCCTCTAGGCATAAAACCAGGTATCATGGGAGGTGGTTGTAGATTAAAATAATTTGTGCCAAGTTCTTCTGGTGGCATTGGTAAAGCTAAAATTTCAAATCAATATTTCATTAAATTTCACTACATTCACAATATTTTAGAGATTTTTTAGAAGATTTAATCATCTATTAAAAACTAAAATAATAACAAGTAACTCTGAATGGGGTTTAAGTCCAGTCAAGTCAATAGGGTTACTTCATGTATCCAGTAATTAATTTACATGCACTCATAACTCTTTATATGGGTAGCCATAGAAAACCTATAATGTTAGTCAGGCATGTAAATGTGAATAAAGCTCAAATATCAAAACTGAACTGGATAAAAAAAAAAGGAAGAGATATTTAATTGCTAAAATTTGTGTAATGAATAAATCATTACCTCCAGGAAGACCTGGAACTGGTTCCATCATTGCTTCAGTGTCTGACCCATCCTTCTTTGGGGCTTGTTGTTGACCTTGAGAACGACCCCACTTAATGTTTAACCGTTGACCATTTAATATCAGTTTATTAAAGGATTGTTCGGCTGCTGATTCCGCAGAAGTTCTGTTTGTGAACTGTACAAAAGCACACTGTTGTTTTGGTACCACATTTATTGATCGAATTTCTCCAAACTGGTAAAAATGATCCCTGTTAGAAAAAGGAATAAAATCAGAATAATAAAGCTAAAGACATTTAATAAGATCCAAATACGGCTACTGTAACATATATATATATATGTATCTCTCCAAGAAATTTAAAAAAGAAGTCAAGTGTTTTGTATTTCTATGGATGTTTGTAATGATAGGAAAGAGAATCTAGCGGGGCCAGCCGCATTTCCCCCTACCCTTCGCCGCAATCAAATAGTTCCAGGTACTTGTACATGCACACATAAGGTTTTATATCTTTTCTGAGCAACAAGGTACTACACACCCATTAAAAAAACTGGAAATTAGGCCTCAACCATCCTAAGATTTAACAAGGTCCATAGCTGGATTATAAATCGGTACATTCTCGTTGAAAGTTATGTTCCCTTATTGCTCGACTACCATGGTCCACAATGTCAAAAAGAATAAATAAGGAAATGAATTAAATTATTTTTTATTCCACTTACTTTAAATCCTTCTCTTCGACCTTATCACCCAGATTTCCAATGTATAATGTTGTAATTGTTGTATCTTCTGGTGGTTCCAATTTGGGCATTTCACTGTATCTCTTCAGTAACTTATCAGCAACAGGATCATTGATGCCATGAAATCGATCTTTGATATTTTGGTCAGCTAAGGGATCATCGGGATCAGTTGGTTTGTCATGTCTAGAAAAACAAATATATTTTAGATTTGTTGTTGGCTCAATCTCTGCCACTGAGTGATTTTCAATCCCTAGGAATATCGGTCCAAAAATTGTTCAGTACATACAGATAAGATAAATTGAAATTTCTTAAATATGTGTGCAAGAGTTAAATCTGCCTATTGTAGATCTTTCTTTAGGCCTGAAATGTTATCTAAATTATTAATTAGACATTAATTAACTTATCCAGACTATAATCAACTTTCAATGCCATCGTTAGCCTGCAATATTTGGTGGATTTGAATACATTTTGTGATGGATAATTTAACATAAAAATGGATAATCAAGACTTTAAGTAATGACAATCAAGACTAGTCTAAAATTGAAGAGCTAATATCTTGGTTCAGAATGAAGCAATTTGATTGAATTTTCAGCATATTCTGTTTTCATTATCTATTTTTTTAACTATTATAGCTATAACTGTCAGCTCTTTATCTAATTTTTAATATTTGGCATCCTCTGCAGATAATATAAACGAGATATGGTCAAAACAAGCCAGGAAAACCTATAATTTATGATGGGTTTCTTTTTAAATCGATTGAATTGAAGCTGGGAGATTATTTACCATGAATAACACCCATGGAGCAAAAGTGTAAGGGTATGAGCCTATGGTAAATGGACAGCGATTAATGTCAAATCTGAGCATAAAATGGACCATCCCCCAATCAAGTCATGTGACAAAGAAGTCTGCTTAAAATAAATTTTGATGGCTTGGGTTGTTTCTTGCAATTAAAATGCATTGAAATAAATTAGTTTCGATATGTTTTTAGTCCAAATATATCACCAGATTACACAGTTTGTACACAGGAAGGCATCTTTAAAAAAATGCAAAGATACTTTTGTATCACACTTAATTCAGATTTGTATTATCTTACCTGTATGGGCATTCCTCTCCTCTTTTACACTCTCCTTTAACCCAAAACGAACAAATATGGGGCCTGTTTCTTTTATAGTAGGGTGTTGTTCTGGCCAGTTTGAGTAACATATCACTATGTGTCTGTGATTTACCAGCCATGGAGCCGATGGGATTTATACTATCACCATCACCGATCTATAATAATTTATATATAAAAAAATATATAGAATAAACCCTGTATATATTTGCCTTAACTAAAGTTAAAGTGATAATTGCATATTTTCTAAGAAAGTCAAAACATAACTATTTCTATATCTATTGCTCAATAGGTTGTCAAATCACTATTAATATTATACAAGTATAAGAATAATTCTACTAATTCTAGCACTTAAAAAACATTCACATAGAAATTTGAAATATTTTCTACTCGCCCACTGTACGATACTTGCAGATTGTATCATTTCGCTTCACTGGAAAACTAAGCCTACAGAATTTGAGTGGGGAAATCCATGGGAGTTGTCTCTATTGTCTATTAGAGCATCTTAGGATGATTAGGCACTATATAAATGTCTTGATTATTATTGTCAAGATCTGTGGTCAATCAGATAAGGATAATGATGCCTGGTTGACCAAGACTTATATTGTTCTAATAATAACACTGCTCCTTGGAATTGGCACTGATGTTTGAACTTGAAAATGATATATTTGCCATTTTTTCAACTAAACAATAGTGAATTATAGGATTAATAGGATAATTCTTTAATAAGGTAGGACTGTATATAGATTACGTGTGTTTTAAGGCTTTATTTTAACATATTTTAAACATGACTTTAAAAAAATACTACAACCGCTTTGTATTCAATTGTCATAATCACATAAGGCTTCTAGAAAAGTCCAATACTAATGAGGCACTTAATTGGTAAGAGTAAGAATAAAGTTCAAGTGATTTTTTTCTGTAAACAAATATGCATAATAACATGATTGCTCGTCTACCATGACCCCAACTTGAGTGGCTGATTTCAAATAATATAAAGATGGTACAGAATATCCTTACCTCGCGTTCAAGATTCTGTGTGTAAAATTCTCTGTTTACTTCAGATTTTGGCATGGTATCAGCAACTTTCAATGCAGCATCACGAACTTGTACAGGCAAACCTAAAACATAAATACTATAGGTCAGACTTAGTGCTACATTACAAAATATTCAGTCGAATTTAATTCAAAGGTGTGAAATAAGCCCAAACTGGTTAAAGAAGACGGGCAGTGAAGGAAATTTTAACCCGACACCAGTACTTCTGTCTACTCTTTGTCCAATTCCACTTGCATGTCAATGCGTACGATGGAGGACCTTATTTTTTTCTGTCCCATCCAAACGACTAGACATTTTTTCCCCACCATTGACACGGTAAGAACCAGATTTGAAAATCCTGTGGAGCTTTCTCGGTCAACACCAGGATAAAGACTGAGACTTTCCGGTTATTTAGTGAGAGCTATACCCTCCAAGCCACTGCAACTCTGAAACAAGCATTTAATCAAATCCCGAGCGTATTCTTAGTGTAGGTTACAGAGACAACTCAAAACTATGCATGGTACTGATATTTGACGTTACTTACCATATTCTAAATCAAGAAGACAAGTCTGACATATATTCTTTACTTTGCTACATGTCTGACAAACTTCAGTTTTCTTAAACCTCATTCGGGCTCCAGGACACCATCTGAACACTGTGAAGGGTCTTGCACATATTTTACACTCTTTCCCATATTTTTCTTTCATCTGTATAATTCATAAAATTTATATTAAAGATACATTATGGGAGATTCGATTAGGAGTTGGCAGTTCTCACTATAATAGTTAAAAACGAGATAATGTAAAGGCAATTTGCTGTAAATTTCATTCAAATTGGTCCTCTATGAACCGAGAACTAAGCGATTGAAATTTTCACCTAGCCTTGATCATCATTACTAAAGTCTGTACGATAAACAGCATAGTCTCGATTATCCATTTAATCATTAAATCATGAAGGAAAGTTATGCAGTAAATCGGCTCATAATCCACTAAAGATCGAAGGCTAGCGATGCCATCTAGAGTTGATTTTGGTCTGGATCGGTTAATTAATGTCTAATTAATAATTTAGATAACATTTCAGGCCTAAAGAAAGATCAGCAATAGACAGATTTAGCTCTTGCATAATGTATGTTTAACTCATTTTCTTTTTTTACTTAAAACACAATATTACACAACATTAGCCCCTAACAGGCATTAATACACTGTATTCACTATGGTACTTCAGTGGCTACTTCTCAAGAATTTCTACACTTTAAAAACTGATTAAGACAAAGAGAGTCAACATATATGAAAACAGTGGTGTCCATATTCAACAGAAGTACAATAGACTTTAGTAAAAATAAAGCAGAAGTTTAATACTTAACATTTTGGGTCTGCTTTATTTTTTAACCAAATTCTGTTGTACTTCTGTTGAGCCGCAATGTAAACCTCAATGTAAAACTAAGTATTATGGCAGTACAAGAACTAAATAATTAGTTCATAAGTTTTATATTTTGTTTGATAAAAATCATCTTACCATTCTGATGTAAGGATTGTCTCCAAGGCATGTTTGACATAATACTGGGAATTCCTGAAGGGAAAAGAAAAGGTTAGCATTTATAATTATTTTACTTTAGCATACTACCGCATACAACTGTTTTCAACCAAAAATCTCAATGGTGCTATAAATAAAAAACAGCGGTTGCCATGCAAATTATGCCCACATTTTGCAAGAGATGGCTTTAAAAAAAAAATGTGATACAATATTTTGACATTTTTGCATTTATGGCACTTTTGAACATAGGGTTTCTCATGGTGATTTCATCTGATCAGATAATGTAATATATCATTATAGAGCCCTGCTACCATTCAAGTGTCCAAACCGGTTGTTAAAACTATCCCGACAATGATCTCCATGACAAAAAAAAGTTTAAAAAATTGGCACTTATGCGAAAAGCTTTATTTCTCCGTCAGATATTAGCGGACCAAATCAACTAAAGTGCCGTTGGATAGTCCCATTAATGGACTATCATATGACATTTAAATGATACACATTTAATGGTTAGGAAATAAATAAATTTCTACTATGGAGCCTTTTGAGACACCTATTTCTCAAAAATGACACCTACGACTTTGCTTAAACTTTTCTCATTCAGAGTCCTAACGGTGGTTTAGGGAGTGAATCCAAAAATGAAAGCATTGAGATAATATAAGTGGTCCAAAAAGGGCCTCAATTTTTAAAAAAAAATCATTAAATCACTAAAATTGCTTTTCTATTTTTCTTTTTTTTTGAAAACAGCTCAATGGATGTTTCTGAAACTTCTGGTACAGAAAGTTAAGTATCCAAACAACTTGTTAAAACTATCCCCCAACAAAGATCCAAAAACCGGAAGTGGTTGAAAAAATATCCGATATTTTGAACAAATAAATTGTAAAAAGAAAAAAAAAATGGTGCTCTTGTGAAAAAAGTGATTACTACACCAGATTTCACTGAATCAAAACAACTAAAGTGTCATTGGATAGCCCAAAAAATGGATGATCTTATGACATCCAAATAATACAAATTCGATGTCTAGGCAACAGATTATGGGACGCTGAAAATCTAGTATTTTCCTTTCTGCTGCTTATTCAGACGCTTTTATTTCGAAAACTACTCTTATTTCTTTTCTTAACTTCAGTTACTCAGAGTCCTATCAGTGGCCTAGGTTGTCAATCCAAATTTAAAAGCCTCAATGTGATATAAAGGGTCCAATAAGGGCCTCAATCTTTGAAAAAAAGTAGAAAAATCATTCAATTACTGAAAATGCTCTTTTAATTTTCTTCTTTTTTTTTAAAAACTGCTCAATGGATGTTTCTGAAACTTAAGGTACAGAACGTTAAGTTCCTATACCACTTGTTAAATCGATCCCGACAATGATCTGTAAACCGGAAGAAGTTGAAAAAATATATGATATTTTGAGAAAAACAGTTAAAAACAGGTACTCTTACGAAAATTGTGATTTCTCCGTCGGGTGTCACCGGACCTTTCTTTAGATGGCTGGGGTCAATAAAAAACATTTTTCATAGAAATTAAAAAGACAACCTTACATGTATTTTTCTGCAATGAAGCGCCTACAATATCAAACTCAATGATAATTCATGATTCACAATAATAGATATTTGTGTATGAATTGTTATTTCTATATATCATAACATCAAGGCAAATTTTCAAGTGACAGGCGGTGGTGACTGGTGACAAAAACTGATGTTTTCACTGTATGACTTGAAAAATGAATTGAAAGTATAGTTAATTAACTGTAAATAAGTAATTTTATAAAATTCTTAATCACTCCAAATAGTTTGACTATAATAATTGTATTACTGATGAATTATTCAGCATGACTCTAAAACAAAATATCTATTTGTTTTATATTATAAGTAACCATAAAATGATGAGATACTTGAAGGCCATTGTTTGGTATGTCACTTGAGACTAAGATTAAAGTGTCGTAAGACTATTGTCTTTTAATCTAACAATCTAACTGATTGATTGACTGAGTGATTGCGTGTAAATTAGCACTAATCTTTGATTACAATATACATCTATTTAGAAATCCACTTTTTACGCTATATGTCTAAAAAAGAAAGGTCTTATGTACATAACAAAATTATATAAGAAAATGTTTAATGACTTCTTATTCTTGTTATAATTTGTTAAAACTGATTTAAATCTTTTTTTTAAAATTATAATGAATCGGATTTGTGTCAGATACACTTAATTTACTTCTTCGGTGCTAGAAAATTTGAGGCTAGTTAACTAGTAGTTATATTGGAAATACTTATATATGCCATAAAATGTAATTTAAAAGTAATTGAAATGTAATTTACGACCTCGTTCCCTCTTGTCAGTGATGCAGAACGGAGGGCTTGACAAGACAGCTGTCTAGTCGTTCGATTGGGACGAAAAACCGAGGTCCCGTGTAAACATTGGTGGTGGTGTGTTCACATAAAAGATCCCACAGTTGGAATTTGATATAAGAGTAGGCCGTAGTGCCGCTGTTCATGCAAAATTTCTCTCATAGCACATTGTATGGTGTATGCCCGTCTTCATTAGTCCAGTTCGGAGCAGAACAGTAGGACGTTAAACCCCATTTCATTTTATTTCATTTCACAACTGAAACAAACGAAAGGGAAATGATTTGTTCAGATAGGCCTACTGAATTTTGTGGTACATGTACTGTAGATCAGTCACTTGTATATATAAGGTTGTTCTTTAATAAAAAAAGACAATCATAAATACATGTTAAAACATATAAATGTAAAATAAAACAAACCGAGTCCTCCCAATTTTGTCGATTATAAGTATTTGCACCTTTGGACGTCGCCATTTCTTACAAATATGAGCGTAGATTAATAAGACGGAAATGGATATTGTGAATTTCCAATTGCCCCTAAGTACGCGTTTGCTGTTTAATCAAGACTATAATGACGTCAAGGGGGAAACCCCAAAATACGGATTCGGCGAAATAAAATATAGACAACTTTCTAAACGAAATAAAGTAATCAATGGATATTAATACCGATATAAAAATGATTATTTCTAAGTAATTTATATTTTGTTAATTATATTTATCTTTTCTATTCCGCTTTGGGCATATTTAGTGTCATCAAGTCATTACTTCGTTTCGTGTAATTATTTGATATGAAGTCATTTCGGTCCGTCATTTCGGAGAACGCTAGATCGGAGACGGTTCCGTTCATGACGTCATATGTGGATTGTGGTTAGGGTGAGGGTTTGGCTTGGTCCAGGGTTAGGGTTAGGGTCGGTGCTAGCTCTGTTTACATCTAGAGACTTTGACGAAATCTGCAGGTCCTAACCCACAATCCACGAATGACGTCCTATGTGCTGAAATGTACAGGACCGTTTCCGATCTAGCGTTCTTCGGTGATTTCGTACAAATAACAAAAATAACTTTCCTCACTTCTCTGGCTCAAAGAATAGTTATCTCAGAATTAGTATAAATAATATTTCTTTAACGCTATTATAAACAATAAAAAAATCCTTCATTTTCCTAGTCAGATTAATTGAAATCAATTACCTACCTCGACAGACACAGAACGAAATGTCTCTGTACCGAATCGACTGATTTAAAAATAGAATTGACCTCACGGAAGTAAACAAACCTTCGCAGTCTTGTTTTTGTTTTGAAAAATATTGCTGTAAATCAGACCTAGGCTAAGAAGAAAAAGCAAAACCAAGAAGCTTTTACATCACTTTCTTTTGGTAGGTTTATGTAAAGATCACGGTTTTGTGTAATTATTTTTGCTAGACTACTTGTATGATAATAATTTTTAACATTACAAATAAAATTCGCCAACATCTCCGGGAGGAAGGAAAGTTTAAAAAAAAAGAAAACAAATCAAGTAGATAGGCTTATAGTCAAAATACAGTTTATTTTAATATATTGTATTTGATGTTGACAATATTGTTTGGCAGTTTCCACACTTGAGTTCATTGGCTATTAGCTATGTTGAGATTGATGTGCTTGTTTTTAGTTACGATTGGATGCCTTTAGTTTCACCTGGCAAGGGGGGTTGGATGGCCGAATGGTTAGCACGTGCGCACTGTATCATAAAGCCTGTCATTGAGTCAACTGGCGTGGTTTCCAATCCCTGGTTGTATGTGACAAGGAGTAGGGTCGCCTGTCCAACCTTGTGGGTTTTCTCCTGGTCCTCCGGTTTCCTCCCACTGCTAAAGACCCCTACGCGCAAGCGAATTATTGAAATAAAATTAACCATATGTTAGTCCCGAAATGACCTAGTTTGTGTCGAGTGGACGTTAAACCCCATTTCTCTTTCTCTCTCTCTCTCTTCACCTTGGCTAACTTAATTTCTGTATAATGTAACATCTTAAAAATATGTTAATTTTATACTATTAGTATTAGGACTTGTTAAACATACCCAGCCCTGAAACAACTTTCGTTTATCTGTAAATATTGTCAGAAAAGTTATCAAGCGGTGTTTCTAACAGAAATGACAAGGCCATTCTTGCGACCTATAAAGGTTATCCTACTTTTCGCGTATTTTGATTGGCTGTTGAACATGACATATTTTTAGCCCCGCCTCCATGACGTATTGTTTTGAAGAAAAAATTGACAGTTTTGCTTTTTAAAGCCCGATGTGATTCGCATTGGGGTTTTGCCAGGTAAAACTATATAGTAACATCTCTTACCTCAAAACACGGAGGGTTGAGAGATGAGGTTTCTTATCTAATTATCAAGTCAACGCAATTGATTATTGAACCCAAGCCTGTTACCGGTAACGATGTTGCTGTAAAGCCTTAAATAATAGAAACAACATGAATAAAACTTTTAAAGTAAAAGGAATGATTAAATAGACTGTAGTAGTATACAAATAAGCTGTCAACAGATGTCCTGTTTGAGCCTAACATCAAATGATAGGACCTAACGGACATGGGACACTGGAAACAACAATGTGCCCCGGTGATACTTGTGTACGTACAAACCCTAACATAAAGGTCTCATTAAAAAAAGTTTGTTTGTAAAATAGTAAAGATGACGACAGTTTAATTTATTATCATATTTTTTCTAGACTGGAAGATGATGTGTTGATTATTGAAGATTTGATGCAAAATAATATCTATTCTTAATTAAGGATGTCTTCAGACCGAGGGGTCCTTGGTATATGTTTCAACCAAGATTATAGTAAGTTTTTATACTCCAACATTTTCATGTGATATACAATATTGTATTCTATTAATTATTGTATATATCTACTTATCTTAATATCAAATGCATCATTTTGATTTAGTCAAATTGATCCCATCAAACCGTCTGTGGTTTGTGTTACCTGTTTCTATTGATTGGAAGTTTTTCACATTGTCATGTGGACGTATTTTGTCATCGCCCTTGTCCATTGATCTGTGTGTCCGGGTGGCCACCTGTCCATTCACTTTTTGTTTGTGAACACTCTACAGGCCACAATTTTTATCCAATTTTGACAAAAATTAAAATATAGGTCTATCTATCTAAGATCTCGGTTCTTTTTTGATATTGGCATGTATCAGACCATAACTTCATGGATTATGGCCCATGATTGTATGAAAAATCATGTTTTTAGTATGTGGACACTCTAGAGGTCACAATTTCTATCAGATTTTGATGAAACTGAAAATATATGTTTTTATCCCAAAGGTTTTGGTTCCTTTCAATATTAGTGTTTTTAGCTTTTTGACCTTCTAAAGGTCACAATTTTCATTCGATTTTCAAAACATTCATATATATTACCGTTGCACCATAATTATGATTGAGTTCCAACATCGTGAAAATCTGTCTGAAACTTCCCGTCCAAATGGTGTAAAAGCATGTAATACTAAGGTTGTGGACCCTCTAGGGGTCACAATTTGTATCCGGTTTTGAGGAAACTTGAAATATATCCCAAAGATCTTGGTTCCTTTTGTTATTGGCAAGTATTGGACCGTAACTTCATGGATTATGGCTCCGGATTGTTAAAAAAAATCATGTTTTTATCTTGTGGAATGTGGATACTCTAGAGGTTACAAATTTTATCTGATTTTGACAAAACTTAAAAATTATGTTTATAACCCAAAGATTTTGGTTCTGTTCTATATTGGTGCATATCGGACTGTAACTCCCCGGATTATGGCCCCTGATTGTATGAAAAATCACATTTTTAGCTTGTGGACACTCTAAAGGTCACAAATTTTATCCAAATATATCACTGTTACACCATAATGATTAATGGTAGAGCTATAATTTCTTGAAAATCAGACTGAAACTGTCTGACAAAATAGCCACTCCCCTTTATACAAATAGTATAGTAAGAATGTAATTACCAAGGTCGTGGACCCTAGAGAGGTCACAATTTTGATGAAACTTAAAATATATGTGTATATCCTTTTGATATTGACACATCCTGGATTACGGTTTCTTATTGTACAAAAAATCGCTTTTTGTCCCCCGCCTTTTGAAGAAAGCAGGGGACTATTAAAGTCTGTCTGTCCGTCCGTCCGTCCGTCCGTCCGTCCGTCCGTTGATGCTTTGGGACACGATAACTTTAGTTCTAATTAAATGAAAGTGATGAAACTTGGTGTATAGTTTCATTACATCAATACCTTGACTAAGTTCGATAATGAGCATTTTCTGCTCAGGGTAAGCAGAGTGATAAGCAATTTGATTGGCCGAGACTTTGGAACACAATAAATCTCCTTCTAATTGAGCTAAAATGTTCAAACTTGGTGTAGATGTTTATTAGGTCAATGCCTTGATGGAGTGTGAAGATGAGCATTTTCTGCTTAGGGTAAGTAGAGATAAGCAATTTGATTGGTTGATGCTTTGGGATAACTTTAGTTCCAATTAAGTGAGAGTGATGAAACTTGGTGTATAGTTTCATTGGAACATAACAACTCTGCTTCTAATTGAGGTAGAATATTTAAACTTGATGTAGATGTTCGCCTTGACTGAGTTCAATGATTAACATATCGAGCTAAAGCTAAGCAGAGATAAGCAATTTCCTTGGTCGATGCTTTGGGATAACTTTGATTCTATCTGATAGAGAGTGATGAAACTTAGTGTAAAGTTGATTATCAGTTTGATTGCTCGATACTTTTGAAAAAAATAGATGTGCGATTAATTAATATGTGTCATCTATTTATTTGGGGATTTCGGCGGGGGACATCAGCCTCACTGTTGGCTTGTTTATCTTGTTTTCTGTCCATCTCTTGCAAAATGTGGGCGTATCTTGCATGGAAACTGCTAGTTGTTTTTGGAAATAATTTAGATAAAATGTAGTCTAATGAAGAATATAGCAGACAAGAATACTGGTTTTCTTGAAGATAAAGTAGGTAACAGTTGGGTGGGAAGAACAATGGTGACTGCTGAGAATGGCACCTGTTAATTGCGAGACTGGTTTCCAGTTGTTTTGATATTGATTATAATTCATGAATAATTAGCCAATTTATTGCTGTTTCTAATGACTGGTGATTCAGAAATCATTTTGTACAAACAACACGTTTCCATATATTGGAGTGGATCAAGCTTGTCCTCCTCTTGAGTGACATGTGACCGCATGTGGTCAGACCCGCTTTAAAAGTACTACAGACCAGTCCATTTCAGACACACCTCCATTCATGTCCATTCTCAGATTTTTTTCTAGTAAGGCTTTCCTAAGGTTGACTGAAATTTCGGAACATAAAACGAAACTAAGTATAAAAAAAAGGTAAAATTAATCTGAGTAGATTTAGTCAAACTTATTCCTTAAGTATTGATGACATACATTTAATCTATTTGTGAGCTTAAATGAAAATAACAGGAGACAATAGTGTATATTGACAAATTTTAATAGTGCTATTAATTTTAATCATAAACATCAGTGCAGAAGTTTACCATAGAGTTTTGGTCACAAAATATTAGTAGCTGTGAAATGATTTAGATAATACTTTTAAATTTGTTTTAGGTTGTTTTTCTTGTGCTACAGAATCAGGCATTAGAATCTATAATGCAGATCCCTTAACACATAAATTATGTATTGGTAAGCTTTTAATCTAATTTTTCTTGCTTAATCCATGCTAAAGTACTCAAACTGATTATTCAACATTCCATTATTGGATGCAATCAGATTAAAAATAGGCCCATCAAAAGATTTTAAATAACACAAATAGGTAGTGCTGACTTGTTTATATCAGAGGATGATGTCAATTGATCATATGTTTGTAAATACTGAACGGAATATGGATCATTTTTTTTATTCTACTTTCAAAATTCCTAAAATGACAATCAGTAGCTTAAAGTTTTAAATGGTAATTAAAAGTAGAAATTGGACTACAGAGCCATTACAATGACTTCTATTGTTAAGTTGATGACAGTATATGTAATAACGTAATAGTAGTTTTGAATTTATAACTTAACTTGAGGTGTTTGTTTTGATTGAGCAGGTTATGCAATTAATTGATTGTTTTGATTTTAGCACCAGATCAAGTTGGCAGTGTCTCCTCAGCTGAAATGCTGTTCAGATCAAATATTTTGGTGCTTGTTGGCGGTGGAACAATGCCAAAATATGATGAAAAAGCAGGTGAATTATATACTTATATTTATAACATGACTATTACACATACAGTAATTATTTTTGTCACTTCAGCAAATTACACTAAATTGTGATTATTTTGTTGTATTACAGATTTCTCATATTTAAAGGCTCAATACCACTCTTGTTGTAACTGAATAATATGTCCCAATCTAAATTCTGGTCAACAAATTGCACTATTTTACAATATTCCAATTAATTGATGATACAAATTTCATCTTAACACACCTAATTTAAAAAATTGGAAAATTTCAACTAAATGATTTGAAAAGCCTGACGTAAAGCTTTTCACATGTGACTTGGATTTAAAAATTTTTTTGTACCCTCTGGACAAGTAAAATAGGATTTAATGGATAATTTACACAACAGGTAGGACACTAACACATCTAGTACTAAGAATAAGGCTATTTTTTATTTTCTGGAGCTGTCAAGCCAGCAAGAGTGTTATTGTCCCTTTAATATCTCTGTTTATTGATAAAAACTAACCGATTGTAGGGGATCATTTTCAGATTTTAAAAGAGACAGATATGTAAAAATAAAATGCACATATACCAACCCCTTTATTTAATCTAAGTTTTCTAGAAATTTGGTTTCCTGTATTATAGTTTTAGTGTGGGATATGAGTGCCAAGAAGGAAAGTGATAGTGCTCTAATCGATATAACATTTGCTCAACCAGTTGTTGGTGTAAAGTTATTAAAAAATAGGTTTGTATTAGATTATACAGCTATTAAATTAAAATACATATAATATCAACTATGATTTTATAGAAGTCATACCAGTCTGGAAAACAATCACTTTGCTTCTAGAGTATAGTTTTGATATATATGAATACATTGACGAAGTTTGATAAAGAGCATTTCCTGCTTAGGTCATACAAAGTAATAAGTAATTTGGTTATTTGGTTGTGGAATTAATAATGCTATTTGTATTTTACAGGTTAATTGTTATATTAAGAAACCAGGTCCATGTCTTTTCCTTTCCCAATGATGTTGAAAAACTCTATACATTTTCTACAAGAGATAATCCAAAAGGTTTGTTCAGCCAACACTGCCATTATAATTTTTATACGCCCACATTTTCATGTGGACGTATTATGCCGTCGCCCCTGTCCGTCCGGATGTCCGTCCGTCCACAATTGTTTGTGGTCTCTCTACAGGTCACAATTTTTATCCGATTTTGACGAAACTTGAAATATAGGTTTATCCTCAAAAGATCTTGGCTGTTTTCGATATTGGCATGTATCGGATCGAAACTTCATGGATTATGGCCCCTGATTGTATGAAAAATCACGTTTTTAGCTTGTGGACCCTATAGAGGTCACAATTTTTATCCGATTTTTTTAAAACTTGAAATGTAAGTTTATAACCCAAAGATCTCAGTTCCTTTCGATATTGGCGCATATCGGACCGTAACTTCCTGAATTATGGCCCCTGATTGTACGAAAAATCGGGTTTTTAGCTTGTGGACCCTATAGAGGTCATAATTTTTATCCGATTTAAAAAAACGTATTATTATATCACCGTTACACCCTAAGGAAGGTTGAGTTTGAATTTCGTGGAAATCGGCTCAAAATTGATAGCAAAATGGCCGCCGTTCGTTCTCAAATAGCGTAAAAATATGGTATATCAAGGTTGTGGACCCTGTAGAGGTCACAATTTTTATCCGATTTTGTTGAAAATTGAAATGTAAGTTTATAACCCAAAGATCTCGGTTCCTTTCGATATTCGCGCATATCGGACCGTAACTTCCTGAATTATGGCCCCTGATTTTACGGAAAATCGCGTTTTTAGCTTGTGGACCCTATAGAGGTCATAATTTTTATCCGATTTAAAAAATCGTATTATTATATCACCGTTACACCCTAAGGACGACTGAGTTCGAATTTCGTGAAAATCGGCCCAAAATTGACAGACAAAATGGCTGCCGTTCGTTCTCAAATAGCGTAAAAATATGGTATATCAAGGTTGTGGACCCTATAGAGGTCACAATTTTTATCCGATTTTGTTGAAACTTGAAATGTAAGTTTATAACACAAAGATCTCAGTTCCTTTCGATATTTGCGCATATCGAATTGTAATTCCCTGAATTATGGCCCTTGATTGTAGGAAAAATCACTTTCTTGTTAGCTTGTTCTCTATCCATCTCTCGAAAATGTGGACGTATCCTGCCTGGCAGCCGCTGGTTTATAAATAAACCCACATCTGTGAATTATTTACATTTTTCGGAAAATTCCTACAGCTGAATCCATGTTAAAATGTACTCAGATTATTTAACATTTTAACATTAAAAAGAGGCCCATAACTAAAACTTAAAATTAGCACTAGCTTATATAAAAGGGTTATAGACAAAACGGCCTTAAACCGCAACGCTCCGAAAAATTTGGCGAAACGACCCTAGATTGGTTGTATTAAAACATATCAGATCGATTAAATATTTATTACTTAGTAAGAATGCAGAGATATATATTAACTTAAATTTTAACCACATTTTTGATGGTTTTGACTGTTTTGTTTCACGTTCATTTTGACCATATCCAGTTTTTATTGTCTACAGAGGATGCCGAATGTTGCAAACTTTTCAACTGATCATATCTTTGTAAATACTGAACAGAATTATAAAATGTTTGTACTTATAGCTCAAATGATGTTCAGAGGCTTTAATTTGGCATGATTAAACCAATCACTTAACAAAATTGTTAGAGAAATATCATGCTTTATAATTTATCTCTTTAATTGATATTTATATAAGTGATAAATTATCTTTAACTTATGAAATGACTAGTTATATTTTATTTATATTTAGGTTTATGTGCTGTCAGTTGTTATGGTAACATTCTTGTTTTCCCTGGTATTAAATGTGGCAGTGTTCAGATTGTTGTAAGTCTTTAACTTTAACAGATTTATTGATGATTTTTGTCTTTCCTTGTTATATGGGGGGTGGGTGGCAGAGTGGATCATAAGGTCTGTCAGTGACAAAGAGTAGGGTTGCCTGTCTAACCTCAAGGGTTTTCTCCAGATTATCTGGTTTCCTCTCACTCCTAAAGACCCCTACATGCAAGCGAATTATTGGAATAAAATTAAACCATATGTTAGTTCCGAAATGTCCTCGTTTGTGTCGAGTGGACATTAAACCCCATTTCTCTTTCTTTTTATTTTCTCCTTTTTATATGGCCAATTCCAGTTGTGTGGGGAGCCAATGTAGCACTGTGAGTAAGGTGCTGGCTTGCTAAACTGGGGGTCCCAGGTTTGATCCTGTGTTTGAAAAGACAGTTCCTCTCGATTTTCTGGCATGGTTTCTTCTTTTCAGGGTGAAGGACAAGCGTCTAGTTGTTCATATCGGATAAAAAAAAAACCAAGGTCCCATGTGCACAAAAAAGAACCCTTGACAGTTGGAATTCAATTTCCCTCATATCACACTGTATGGCGATAGATGCATGGAACGTGTAGAAAAGTAGGACATTAAATAAAATTTTGTTTATTCCTTAGTAGTAGAATTGATTTGTTTTTTTCAAGACATTCAATTTATTTTATTATTTTATTTTTAGGATCTGGAAACAACTCAACCAAGTCAAACTGTATCACCTGTAAATATTAATGCACATCAGAATGATTTAGCTTGTTTAGCTGTGGATCAAAAAGGTTCCATGATAGCTACAGCATCAAGAAAGGTTAGTAAGGCATCGAACATTAAAGTTTGGAAATACATCAAACAAAAATAAAAAACAAATCAGACAAGAAGGAATCATACAACTAAACAAACAGTAATATTGAATACAATCGCTGGTTGTTGTGTCGACTAGCATTATCTTATAATTTTTAAGCACAAATGTTGCACTATATACCAAAACTGTATTCCATATAAATGTTGGTTGTGTTTTATGAGGCTGATATCTCCTGCCAACATTGCATTGCATATTTATCTTTTTATAAAGCATCAATCATTTTAGCTAAGTTTCACCATTCTCACTGAATTAGAATTGCTCATCATCGAACTAAGTCAAGGTATTCAAACTTGGTCATGGTATTGATGTAATAGAGGGATCACGTGGCTAAGTGGGTAAGATGCTGGCTCGCTAGCCTGGGGGTCGGGTGTTCGATCCCTGCATTGGCCGAGAAAGTTCATCCAGAATTTCCGGCGTGGTTTTCCCTTGTCAGTGATGCAGGACGGAGGACCTGACAAGGACAGCTGTCTAGTCGTTCGGATGGGACTAAAATCCGAGGTCCCGTGTACATATTGGTGTGCACGTAAAAGATGCCTTGGCAGTTGGAATTCGATATAAGAGTAGGCCGTAGCGCGGCTGCCCAGGCAAAATTTCCCTTATAGCACACTGTATGCCCGTCTTCATTAGCCCAGTTTAGGAGTAGAACAGTAGGACGTTAAACCCCATTTCATTTCATTTATTGATGTAATGATATAGATGCCAAATTTCACCATTCCCACTCATCATCTAACTTAGTCAAGGTATTGATGTACTGAAACTTCACTCTGAGTTTGATGGAATGAAACTATACACCAAGTTTCACCACTCTCACTCAATTGGAATTAAAGTTATCATGTCCCAAAACATTGATGCAGAAAAAGTTCATTATTGAACTTAGTGAAGGTACTGATGTAATGAAAGTTAATGAAACTATAGGAAATGTGCATTATCGAACTTAGTTGAGGCATTGTTGTAATGATATACACCATTCACACTCAATTAGAATCAAAAGTTCTCGAGCTCCAAAGTCTAACCAGACAAATTGCTTATCACTCTGCTGTTAGTATAATAAATTTGTATTGATATATTACAGGCAATATGAGTATAATATAAATGTACTTGTGTTGATATATTACAGGTAATGTGAGTATAATATAAATGTACTTGTGTTGATATATTACAGGTAATGTTAGTATGATATAAATGTATCAATATATTACAGGGAACGTTAATAAGAGTATTTGATATTCAGAGTAAAAAGTTGGTAGTTGAATTAAGAAGAGGTGCTGATCCGGCCATGTTATATTGGTTTGTATTATTGTTATAAAAGAGCATTTCATGTATTAACCAATTGTGTATTCAATTGTTAGCATCACCCTAAATGTTAGCTGCCATGTATAATATGAAAGCTCTATGATTAAATGATTTGGTTATGTAAGAGTAAATAAATATTGAGTGTATGAATGAGTTGAGGTGACATTTGAATTGAAAAAAGCTGGTAATGTTCTGTGAAAGGTTCTTCAGAAAACTCTGCCGATGTCCAATGCAACTATCAAAAACATACAGCCAATTTTACTGCGTGATTAGTATGTTTTCTAACTTGCTGCCTTATTTGTTTGTTGTTGGATAACCAAACATTGCCAAAGTGAAAAGGTGGAAAATTGTCTGTCTGGCAAAATTTTGAAGTGAGAGCCCAGGTATGAAGAGTTATGCGAAATCTGGAACTATGGTAGTTGTTAATTTTAATCAATGATTATTCTTAATTACAGTTTATCCTTCAGTCCAGATTCATCATTTCTATGTGCTTCGAGTGATAAGGGAACCGTTCATATATTTGCTATTAAAAATACCAGTCTCAATCGCACATCATCGTAAGTATTTTAAACAAATCATGTTAACAAATATTAATGATCATTTTTATATGCCCACATTGAAATGTGGTCGTATATTGTTGTCGCCCCTGTCCGTCCGATGTCAACAATTGCTTGTGGACGCTCTATAGGCTAAAGTTAATATCCGATTGACTTTTATACACAGTGTTTAAGGTCATGAGACGAAGAAGCCTATTGATTTTCAGCGATTTTCGATAATTTTCGAGTTATGGCCCTTGTATAATTTAGTAAAGACCCACATTTAATAATGGTGTTTAAAGAGAAAAGAAAATGTTGTATTCTTTATTTCAAGGTTTGACTTATTCAATGTTAAAATTTAATTTTAGATTTAAAAAGATGGGATTTCTGGGGCCCTATGTTGAATCTCAATGGGGTTTAGCAAATTTTACCGTGCCTGCAGAAAGAGCATGTGTATGTGCCTTTAGCTCTAATCAAGCTGTTATTGGTGAGTATTGTTTTTATTTGTTTTTCAACATACATTGTATTGATTAACCCTGAAAATGACATGAGGTTTTCCAATTCTCAGGGGATTTTTAACATGTTGTCAGTTTTAATCCCATCCAAATTACTATACATTTTTTCTCTACCACCAACAATGTGAACCTGAGCTCGAAAATCCTGAGGAACCTTCGCAAACCCGGTGTCTCCAGTGCAGTACTTTGCCCATTTTCAAATTCCTAGATATCTAACATTGAAGACCACATGTAGTAGAGCTTTTGATATCTTCTTCTGAGAGAGCCACGGAGGCTCACTGGGTAAGACATTGGCGCGCTAACCTGGAGTAGCTGGAGGTCTCGTGTTCGATCCCTGCATTGGCCGTGAAAGTTCATCAGGATTTTCTGGGACAACATATAGTCGTTCGGATGGGACAGAAAACCGAGGCCGATGTACACATTGATGTGCACATAAAAGATCCCTTGGCAGTTGGAATTTGATAAGAGTAGGCTGTAACGCCGCTGTCTGGGTAAAATTTTCCTCATAGCACACTGTATGTCATGTGTCTGTCTTCATTAGCCCTGTTGGAGCAGAACAGTAGGACGTTAAACCCCATTTCATTTCATATGTCTTCTGATCAGAACAGATTCCAACTGTTTTGTTACAGTCTGTAATATTTTCTTGCCATCAGTTAGTGTTGATGGAATAGATACCTTGCAGAGGTTGTTTTGTTATTACCACAGAACCATCTTTGCTTCCTCCCAAGGTATGAAAATACATGTAAATATAGTAAAGCCCACATCAAATATACCTTTACCAGTGAAAATTGATTTTTAAAGACATTGATAAGAATTAGTTTGTTTTATTCAGTGGTTTATAAGTAAGTTCACAACTGATGCTAGTATTTGTATATTTACAGCTGTGTGTGTTGATGGTACATTTCATAAATATGTGTTTACTACAGACGGTAACTGTAATAGGGAAGCCTATGATGTTTATTTAGATATGGGAGATGTAGACTAAGTGGGACCCACATACCTCACAGAAATTGAAAAGAACATAAGTCAACCACCCAGCAATATTCAGAAAAAAAAAATTCCTTTCTGTTTCTTGTGTAAATATTACTGAATTTATTGACATAACTTATTTAACTACCATGAGCTTTAATAACAAACTAAGCTGGTTACAATTCCAGGATGAAATGAAATGGGGTTTAATGTCCTACTGGTCTGCACTGACAGGGCTAATGGTGAAGTCGTACGAGGATGTCTGTACTGCGATGTGTAATCTTTTCATTTAAACCATAAGTAAGGTTCCTGTTCTTTGTGTTAAGGGAGCTGCCACGCCTAAGTGACAAAGACGTTGGCTTGCTAACCTGAAGGTCCCGGGTTCATTGGCATGCACATAAAAGAATCCTTGACAGTTGGAATTTGAGATAATAGGCTGTAGGCAAAATTTCCCTCATAGCACACTCTATGGCAGATGCCTGTCTTCATTAGCCAAGTCGGAGCAGAACAGTGTAGGACGTTAAACCCCATATTATTTCTTATTTTTTTCTGTTAAATTTTGTTTATAAATAAAACAACATCACTATTTCTCTGATTGTTTTGCATATCTAAAGTAGAGATTAAAGTTAGGACAGATGCTATGGAACACTGTTTGTTACTCAGCAACCTTGACTAAATAACATTGAATCAATTTATAAAATAAATAGAAGTACATTTATCTTTTTTTAGTTATGGGAGTATGGGCTTATGATTTTATGATTTATGTACTATAGATGTTTATTTGACTGATGATTACACCATTCTAGCTTTATTATTAATTTGTTACCAGATAGTAGTTATAGAATATTTTTGTTGATATTTTATGTATATAGATTATAAAATAATGTAAATATAATAGGATTGTTTATAAAGATGGAATATAGAAATAATACTGTGATTAGAGAATAATGTATTAATGTAAATTATGATTTGGAGTTTATCACCTATTATTAATGTACACAAGCCAAAGGTGAGGCTGATATCCCCCAACGCAATCCAAAAATAAATAGATGACACATACTAATTCATTGCACATTATCTTTTTGATAAGTTTCAAGCAATCAAACTGATTATCTATACTTAGTCTAAGCAGACAATGTTCACAATCTAACTCAGTCAAGGTTTTGAATTACCTGGTAGTGAAACTAAACACAAAGTTAGAATCATAGTTATCTTGTCCCAATGCACGGGCCAATGAAATTGCTGGGCTCTACCTAGCTTTAGCGGAAAATGGTAATCATTGAACTCAGTCAAGACATTCACCTAATGAACACCTACACCAAGTTTAAACTTTCTATCGCAATTAAAAGCAGAAATGTTATGTTTCAAGATCTTGACCAACCAAACCTGCTTATCGATACCTAGCCTAAGCAGAAAATTCTCATCATCAATGATATAATGAATCTATACTCTTGAGTTTCATCACTCTCACCAAATTAGAGCCGAAGTTATCGTATCCTAAAGTCTCAACCAATCAAATTGCTTATTTCTTCTTATCCTTAGTGGAAAATGTGCACGATCGAACACTGTCAAGGCATTCACCTAATAAACACCTACACTAAGTTTAAACATTCTACCTCAATCAGGATGAAGTATCTACTTAGCCTAAGCAGAAAAGGTATTGATGTAATGAAACAATACACAAAGTTTTACCACTCTCACTCAATTAGAATCAAAGTTATTGAGCTCCAAAGTCTCGACTGATCAAATTGCTTATCTCTCTGCCTCAATGCCAATATAAATCGATGATACTCATTAATACTTGCTCATTTATCTATTTATAAAATATTGTTATCACTCTCCATAACCTAAGCAGAAAATGCTCATTATCGAACTCAGTCACGGTATTGAAATAATGAAACTATACACTAAGTTTCATCACTCTCTCTTCATTACAACCAAAGTTATCATGTCCCAAGGCATCAATTAATCAAATTGCTTGTCTCAGCTTAGCCTAAGCAGAAAATGCTTATCTTCAAAATCCATTCAATTAATAAAGACCTACACAAAGTATGAACATTCTAGTTCAATTAGATGGAAAGTTATTGCGTCCCAAAAAGTGTGATGGACGGACCCATTTTAATAGTCTTCAAAAGGCAGGGGACAATAATTTGAATCAAGTGTAATATATAAGCTTTGTTCATTTTGAAAGTTTTTGTAACTGAATACTACTGTTAATACAAAATTAAAGGTGTATTCCATTTAGAACTGTTAAAATGAGTCCATCTGTTTGCACATCTTTTGGAACACAATAACTAGTCGAATATCTTGTTTAATGATAATCATTTTCTGCTTATGCTAAGCAGAGATAAGTTTTTTGATTTGTAAGTGCTTTGGAACATGATAACTTTGATTCCGATTGAGCAACAGTGATGAAACTTGGTGTATAGTTTCATTACATCAATACCTTAAAGGGACTATCCCGATTAGAAAAGAGCCTCAAAAATTAAAGTCTGAGTACGTATGAAATTTAAGCACCAAAATATATAGGAATGGTGTATTGACCTTGTCTCAAAATTTCAGCTCAAAATATTGAGTTGTTTGGACGTGAACGTCAAAACTGCTTATCCGGACACGTAACCCTTTTAAGATTTTGGGTCAATTTTTTCGTTGGGTGACCTGATAATCGATTCCCGTTTCTTAAGAGGTCTATACAGTGAATGACCCATGTGCTGTACTTGATAGCGGACGGTAAATTTCACCCACACATTATTTTTATAAACAAAAGGTATGGTTTTATCCAGACACCATATAATACAGTTTGGGACACCGGTCTCCATTTCCAGATGAAGACTGACGGGTTTAAGTTGTTTGCAAACGTATCACAAATATTGAGTTAGTTGCTCGGCTCGTAGGTAGAGGGTTTTAAGGCATTTTAACACAAAATTAAGCGGTTTTATTCTCCAAAAAATTATCGGGATTGGCCCTTTAACTAACTTCTAAAATTAGCATATTCTGCTTAGGTTATGGTAAATGTTTTATAAACAGATAAATGAGCAAGTATTAAAGTAGCTTAGTCTCTAACTCAATATCATCAAAAGTCTTCAACATTGAAAACACGAATTATTTGTCAATTTAAATCAACATTGATGTTGTGATCTTACCGGGAAAAGATGGGCTTCTGATATCCAATATTTAAGACAAAGTAAACATTTTACCATTGGTACACGAATCGTGTACCATAATGCGTTTCAGCTCTATTTGTAACAAGGGACTCCAAGAACGAAGCTAGACATATATGCCAGAGAGAGAGAGAGAGAAATGGGGTTTAACGTCCAATTGACACAAACTAGGTCATTTCGGGACTAACATGGTTTCATTTTTTTTTTTCAATAATTCGCTTGCGCGTAGGGGTCTTTAGCAGTGGGAGGAAACCGGAGGACCCGGAGAAAACCCACGAGGTTGGACAGGCGACCCTACTCCTTGTCACGTACAACTGGGGAATCGAAACCCCGCCAATTGACTCAATGACAGACCGCAAGATACAGCGCGCGCGTGCTAACCATTCGGCCATCAAACCCCCCACTAGACATATGCTACAACACATGTCAATTGGTGACATCACATTCTTATCTGGTGAGCATTCGCAATAAATACTGGAATAACCAGACGCCAGAGATTGCCATTCGATTGAGACTTCTGGCATATTTCGCCGAACATAACAGATTTGAAATTAGATTAAAAACGGAAACGATTGAATGCAAATCAGTTTATATACATTCATATCACATTATTATATTGAGGCAGGCTTGGGTTTTTTTTTTTTCATGGGTAGTCTGCGAGAGCTATTTGATAAGGTAAAGTAAGGCAGTTATTTAATAAAGAGAGAGAAATGGGGTTTAACGCCCACTCGACACAAACTAGGTCATTTCGGGACTAACATATGGTTCAACTTTATTCCATAATTTGCTAATGCGTAGAAGTCAATAGCAGTGGTAGGAAACCAGAGGACCCAGAGAAAACCCACACCACTTGACTCGACGACAGACTTTATAACCACTCATAGACAGACTAGAAAGCCCCCCCCCCCCCCACCTCTCCGGACCAGTTATCCTGCTGGCAAACAGGACAAGCTTTTAGATGATCAGACAGGAATAAAATTGAGGATTACTCACTGACATGTTTACCTATGGAAAGCTCTTAAATTATGTAACTCTGAATCAGTTGTTTTTAGCTGCCTGCAGCAATTTGAAGTTTAAAATTGTATTTTCAACATATGAGAACTTCACTACTAAGTTGTTGGAATTTGGCATCGAAAATGACAGTCCATCAGGTCTGTTGGGGAATCTTAACTTGACCCCCGTTTTTTCTCTTTTTGCAAAATCACAGGTTTTTGAACTGACCTCAGAGTGCAGAAACCTTCCAGTCAAGCTGAAAACAGTCACTCGGTCATTATCTCAAAGAGAACATCATAATTTGTTTGATATGGACAAATGACAGATAAGTTTGAAGTCCCAATTGGATAATAAATATAGTCTTCGGCTATCAGAAATAAACAAAAGTAGGCAGACAGACCAATGAACAACATACGATATAAAGGACAAATTGTAATAATATACAGGGTTTTTTTCTTCTAAAAAGTCATCAATAATGAAACTGGATTTCCACCATATGCAAATTACAATGATTATAACAATAAAATCAAAAGAATTTCTATTAGTTATCTGGGTGAACAGAGATTTTAATTAGATTTAAATTTCAGAATAATAATAAACAATTAAATAGCTACTAATCCGTGGGATTAACATAATTTGATTGATTCATTTATCATCTGTACACAAAACACAAAATTTCATTTAAAAATATAGCCTCTACAAATCCAATTGCACTCAATAAAATTCCACATGAGATTGTTATAGTTAAATTTTGTAGATTTAATGTGGGATGAATAGAACATGAGTCATCTTTTGAAAGTAATAAGTTATTTATTTCTTTAATTAAAAAAAAATCAACATCACAATCCAAAAGTTTGAAAGTACAGGTACACATAAAACAATATAATATAATGATTAAAATGAATACAGGAAATATTATTCTAACCTAGCATCTTTACCCTCAAATCTATTGAGCTGCAATTCCAGATATTCTTTCAACATTATTTCCAAGGAAACATTCTATTAACTGCAAATGGTTTATTTGATTTCATAACAAATTTATGTACAGACCAAATTCTACCAAGATCAATCACCATGTGTGAGAGAGAGAGAGAGAGAAATTGGGTTTAACGGCCACTCGACACAAACTAGGTCATTTCGGGACTAATGCATGGTTCAATTTTATTTTAATAATTCGCTTGCTCGTAGGGATCTTTAACAGTGGGAGGAAACCGGAGGACCTGGGAAAAACCCACGAGGTTGGACAGGCGACCCTACTCCTTGTCACATACAACCGGGGAATCGAAACCCCGCCAGTTGACTCAATGACAGACCGTATGATACAGCACGCGCGTGCTAACCATTCGCCCCCCCCCCCCCCCAATCACCATGTGACTGACCATAACTGAAACATTTGTTTACATCACAATTCTTCTCCTATTTCTGGGACTAGCAGAACTATTACATGACACAATTCTCTCTCACTTGATTGTAATTACATAAATTTTAACCATTCTGCACAAACAAGAATTGAGCACCCCGCTTATATACAACCATGGTCCTCATCACTGATTCTTGTGGATTTTCTATTATCTGAAAATTTCTTCAACTTTTATCATCCATATGCTTAAAGCATGTAACATGCAGATTAATAGTTCTATGCTATTTAATTTTCTGTGCATACTAAGAAATTGATATCTTATAAAAAGTTGTATCATTACACATGTTTTTTTTACAAAATTCCAAGACACTTTTTCAAAATTCATTTATTTTACTTAAACTAGCAGAGGTAGTACAGGAACTGAAAAAGACTGGCTTACTTGAGAATGTGTTAGCACAATTTCTTAACCAAAATTTTAATTTAAATATTCAATGCTTTTATTGTACAACAATAGAAATATTTCATCTACCAATGAAATCTTATGTAACTTATGAATATAATGGCTAAGCAAATGAAATGTAAATAACTTAAACTGCGGATGAATAAGATATACAAAATTCCACATCTAGAGCTTACACTCGTACATTATGCTCATTATCACATCTGTGGGTCTCTTCCAATGTTCCCTCTAACTTTTAGTACAGTATGCGCAAAAATCTTATGGTATGCAAATTTTATTTCTGTTACAATAGTATGTGCGCAAAATTTTTGTACAAATGTCAACTTGAAACTGTTTCAACATAAATTTGGCACAGCCTATCTCTCATGCCTAATAAAACTGTATTGGCATTTAGTGTGGCTTATACAAACAAGTAAGACTGCATTAAGCAGCAATGTATTAAGAACATGAGATTTATTCTATACATTAAACTACTCTGTTCTGTGCATTTAAAACATCAATGAGGTTTCTTGTTTTCATGTCTAAATAATTGACAACAACATTGCCATCAGGTTGTTTTTATTATCAAAGTTGCTGTAAATGGTTAAATAAAAACCTGTTCAATTACACAGCTAGTTGACAAACTAAGTTCATGTGAAAATCTTAGGTATCTAACAGATCACTTTCAATGAATTACTGCATTTTTTGAGCGATAACATTTGAGCTCACATTACTTTCCTTTGTTCGCTTGTAGAAAAATGTGTGCGCATGTGCATGCACAAAGCTTATAAGAAAACAGTGGTCACTTCATTATTCTTTTAAAATCTCTTAAATTATTTACATAATAAAGGATACAAAGTGACATGTTTAATGAAAACAGTCCTCATAAATTTCATTAACATCTCATTCATTAGACTCCCTCAATCATACAATTGTTATGCAGAAAAGAATTTCTAATATCCTAAGAACTCTTTTCTAAAGCTCAATCAAACCTTCCCTTTTTTAAAAACATTCCTATATTTTCTTGATTCCTATACATTTGTAAAAAGTACAAATGAAATATTGTTTTGATACAAATATTTCATCATTTTGAAGTATGTATTTTTCACAAAAACTGCCCCTTTTATGCAAAGAAATCAGAAAAGGAGATCTTGAGTTTTGGAAAAGAGCTTTACATATTCTACAATGTACATACTTGTCAACCTTTCAAAGAACCCTATACAGACAAATAGGCAAGTTGAAAAACTGAATAAAATATTTATTCATTTAACACAATGATCTATAATTATAAAATGAATCTGTTATAAAATAAATAACAACAGAATGATAAATACATGGCAGTTAGCCTACAATTAAATATACAATATATACTCCTTCCTTATCACACACACACACCAATTATATTATTATATTATAAAATTTCAGAGATCGTTTTTACAAGTACATACATATTGACAACTTACAACACAAATATAAGACTCTGGAAATACATTCAATCAAAACTTTCATTCATTCATACATTTTAAATCTTTTTCTCCACATGAATAGTTTTCCTAATTAATTACAGAAAATGTACAAAATATTTTTTTCCACCAATTATTCAAATGCACAATTCACCTAATTTCAACAAAACAGACAGTGCAGGCGGTATTAAAACAATTAGTGTGCACTGTCATCTTTACAATTAAATGTATTATAATTTTCTTAAAAATTGTGTTTTACTATTTACAAAATTGCTTTATGCTAGCCATGATAAGTGTGAGGTTTCTTCTAAAACATACAAGACCCTCATGTAGATTTTTTTCCAGGAATGGTTTTTGTTTTCTAAGCCGGTTCTTCATTTGAGTGTTGGTGAACTCACACTTGAACAAGTTTTCTCACACATAATCAGAGGCTTGACTTTGTATTATAATAAACACAATAGTAACTTGGATGATGTCCATCTTGATAACTAAGTTTATGTAATTGTTCAAGGTCACATCAGTTGATACAGTAATCTGGCTATTTCATAAACAAGATAAATATTTACATTATTTACAAGTCATCTTTAAAATCAGGAATACATACTTTGTAACTGATCACAGTTAGGTGTTTTGAGTTCTTGTGCCCGTTGATATAATTTGGGATCTCCCGAACTTCTTGCTGTCCATAACATATTTTCTTCTGCAAAAAAATAAAAACATTTGAGCATTTACAACAGTAACAGGAGGGGGCAGAGTGTTGGATTACGATCCACTTAACACAAACTAAGTCAGAAAAGTATTTATCGGTTGGTTATTTCCAATAATAGTATGGTAATTTTGGTATACATGGAAAGTAGAGATATCCAATCTTACTAGAAAAATACTGGATTCCCTGAAAAACACTCATGGAGCGTATACAGGACAGAAATGTAAGGGTTCCCCTAATCAACAGCCCGACGATTAGGAATTTCTGCACGCGTGATGTCAAAGGTCACACGCGAACATTGAGCGCTTGATGTACAAGTTGATAAACTTTATGAAGAGTTAGACGTACAACACTTTCTCAGATAAAAATGGCGGAAAAAGGAGCGGGTAGTGGATAATCCTAGAATTTAATTAGGATTCGATATTTGTAATAAATAGTAAGCGACTAAAGACAACATCGTCTTACGTATGCAATGAATTCTCCTCTGACTTGCAAGAGAGGTAAGTCACGTGAAGTAAACATGACCTGGTTTGATCGAATTTTTATAGCAGGACATTCCTTCCCAATAGGAATGTTTGAGAAGGATTTGAAGCAAAGTTATGACAAATTAATTAGTTTGAATATGTTTTTAGTCCATATATACCATTAAATCACCCAGTTTGTACGCGGGAACCCATCTATAACTCTTAAGGAAATGAAATGAAATGGGGTTGCATATCCTACTGTTCTGCACCGACTGGGATAAAACTCTAAAGGAAATCCCACAACAGGTTGTTATAAATTATCATAAATCTCATCAAAGGCATTCATAGCAGAATACGGTTTTACGACCTACTATCCCAGATATCTGCTTATACTCCTTTAATTGTAAAGGTAACCACCAAACAGTGGATTGTGCAATAGTTTTATTAGGTATTCTATTTAACTGTAACTTACTATAACTTCTTTCTCTCCAACAATTTGACCGTAACTGACTTATATATTCTTCTTCTACTTGTCTCTCAATACGTCTTAAATCACCTTTATATTCAGGCCGAAAATCTTCTTTTACAAAATACGGAACTCGTAAATTGTAAGTTTTTCTTTCTACTGAATATTTACTGTAATGAAAATCATAAGTCACAACTATTACAAATATCTTGAAAGAAAGTAAACAGTATTCAGCGTAATACCCAAACTAGAATCTCTTATTATGATAATCCTAACAAGTACCTAAATGTAGCACTCGTATTAAAACAACTACATCAACTTTTTCTTTAAAGTTACTGGTAAAAGAAAATTGTCTGTTTCTCTCTGATTCTTGAAAAGATCAGTTTTAAAAACAACAATAACTTTCTTATGTCTAGATATTTTTATAAAGAATATAATCAGCTATTTCCAAATAGTTAAAATCAATTAAGTTCTATAACTGACCTTGTTCTATGCATACTGAATACTGGATCACTAACAAAGAAACTACTTAATAATGATAGTAATACAAGTAGTAATATAGGTGCCAGTTGTAAGAATAATGTATATCCACTCTGAAAAAAAAAACAAAAACAAAATTGTGTTATTATTTAAGGTCACTGATCTCAACCATCTTATTTGTTTAAAGCTTAATCCAAGCTAAAATGTTCTCTAATTGATTGTTTATCATGTAATATAGAAAACAGTCTAATGTCGACAAGTAGCTTTAAATCATACATTTTAACATATCCAGAGTTACATGTACTAAGAACTTTAACAATCTTGACAAAACATTAATAAAATTGGGATAAAAATTCCACTAAGTGTAAAATCAGGCTTCTGTTCACATAAAATATCTACGACTTAAAGAGAATATTTCCAATAAAGTTCAATTTTGTAAACAGTAAAAATTGATTGTCACATTAACATTAAAGCCACTAATCGCCATTTGAGTAATTTTGAATCACTTGTAAACTACAATATTATTGGTTAAAAAAAAGATCAATTTCATTCGGTAAAGATATGATGAATTGAAAAATTCACAACATTATCTACTCACAACATTTTGTTTTTTTTTCCTTAATTAAATGTCTAACAACCAATTTTAGCATGGATTAAGCATGAAAACTGCAATCTTGTCCAAAAACAAAATGCAAATGGCAATCATTGGCTTTAACATAACTGATACACTAGGTATCCTAATATTTTTGTGAGAATATCATGCATGAAAATCAAGGAAACATCATGCAAATAGTAGTAATATGGGTGAAAATATTGAGAAGATCCATGTTAGTTCAAGTCACAAGACTCCCTAATATAAATCCTACCCGTGTGAGTCCGAGTAGAATTATGTAGATAATGGAGGGAGACTGTGAACTAGCAGGAGTTTTCTTATATTTACGTCTTGATTTATATTTAAACTGTAACAAATAATTTCAGTGCTGTTAGTCACACAAAATCGCACCAATAGCTACCGCATGGAATGCAGGTGATGCTTGGGATCATCATGCTGTTAGTCACACAAAATCATCAATATTTTTAAACAGAGCCTTTGTAGATTTATTCAATTGATTTTTCACATTTCTGGGTCTCGGAATGTTATATACTATTCAAAAAAAGTAGGGGATATTTGATTTTGGGGGCATAATACTAAAATATGCAAATGACTACGAAAAAAGTCACTATAGAACCTAACAGAAGAAACATTTCCAGTTACATGTGACGCCCAAACGCACCAATAGCTACCGCATGGAATGCAGGTGATGCTTGGGATCATCATGGGGGTCCAACCCAAGATTTGCATGACTCTGACTTTGAATGTTACAGTCATTGTGGCATTGAATTCCAGGGTGGAAACATCAGTTTAATTGTTTTAGTGACCAGAAAACAAATTTTGATATGCGTCGGCTTACCCAAAATGAAAGGTTACGTGCCCTTGGCATGCTACAGATCGGCACAACACAGGCGGTTGTGGCGCGGACGATGAATGTTTCTCAGTCTGTCATAAGCAGGCTATGGTCCAGATACCGTGATACACAATCTGTACAGGACAGACCACGCTCAGGTCGACCAAGGGCGACAACTCAAGCCCAGGATCGATTTATCCGTACCTTGGCCTTGAGAAATCGTGTCATCACAGCAAATCAGATCAGCGCTCGTCTTCAAACAGACACTGGTGTGAGAGTGAGTGGCCAGACGATTCGGAATCAACTGCATAGGGGTCACCTTCGCGCCCGACGTCCTCGCGTGATCCCTTGTTTGAGAGATCATCACATTCAGGCAAGACGTCTTTGGTGTAGGGATCGTCAACACTGGGATAATCGACGCTGGAGCAATGTGATGTTTTCAGATGAGTCAAGGTTCACTGTTGATTTTTTGGACAGACATAGGAGGGTGTGGTGTCGTCGAAACGAGCGCTTCCAAGACGTTAACGTCATCAGACATGATCGATTTGGGGGTGGTTCTGTTATGGTGTGGGGAGGCATCACTGTTGCTGGAAGAACAGCTTTACATGTTGTTGCAGGGCGTGTTACAGGCCAGTACTACCGGGACAACATCTTGGCAGTCCATGTTGTGCCGTTCGCACGACGTCATGGCCGCCGTTTCATCTTCCAGGATGACAACGCAAGATGTCACAGGGCCAGGATCGTTACAGGTTTCCTCCAACAACAGAACATCACCACATTACCTTGGCCAGCACTGAGTCCCGACCTCTCCCCCATCGAGCATGTCTGGGACATGCTTGGACAGAGGTTACGTCAACATCAACAACGTCCTGCCAATGTCCAAGAACTTGCTGCTGCGTTGCAACAGGAATGGGACAATCTGGACCAAAATGACCTTAGACGTCTCATTAGGAGTATGCCACGTCGGATCAATGCTTGTTTGGCAAACAGAGGAGGATTTACCCGTTACTGACTTGGTTGTGATGCTGTGGTAACTTTGCTGTTTGACCCCGGGTATCATTTTACCCTTATAATGGTCAGTCTGTGCCTTACTTAGTCTAACGATCATTTGGAATAAATCGATGAATGTGAACTTCATTTCATTTTGTCATTTGTTTCTTCGTCAGTTTCATTAGGTGACTTTAATAACACTTAAAAATCAAATATCCCCTACTTTTTTTGAATAGTATACATTTCAACTACTTACAACAATATCATCAAAAATATTCATTGGGAGGTAATTGAACACATGATTAACATTAGGTTGAAATATGCATGGTTAAGAAGTAGAATCCTATTTCTTGTCCTGTATAGTCAAGGAATCAACTAAAGTTTGCATAGAGAATAGACCTGTAACCCATAGCAACAAGCACCTTTCGAAAGAAAACTAATGATATTTGATCAAATACACGGAATATCCAAACATATTACAAGCTTACTTCAGTTTGATTCTGGTTCTGTTGGTAATAATACGTTCTATGATTATGCGTGTGTCGATGTCTGGAACGTGCTGTAGCTGTAAAAAAAAAAAACATATCTAAAGAAATTGATCATTTCTAACATAAGATATCAGCTGTTTTAGCTATTATTCGGTGTAAGGTATGGGCTACACGACGGTTATATATTTCTATTTTTTATGGTTTTGAAAGAATAAAATGATTTTGAGAGCAGCGGAGTACACTAAGTAAATATTTACTTTTCACATACAAATTGTTTTAATTTAAAATGTGTTGTATCACAAAATCTTGTTTTAAGGTACATAATGAACAAAGATTTTAAAGTACTTTGAGTAGATATTTTTTAACATTTTTGGTGTCAAAATGTCGCTTATTAACTTCTACTTTCGATATAAGGAATGGATTATCAATATCTCTTTTTAGCATGAACTTATAGAATTTCCAAGAAAACTCATCATGTTTTGGCATTTCCATGGATACTAGACAAACCACAGAATATAGCCCAAAAGTGTCCCTTAGATGTTTTGGACTTGCATTTAGCATTCTTCACATGCTGAATAATGATGAATAATACATGTAAGGCCGCGGTTAATTGTTTGTTTCTCATGACCCGCCCGCATGTCCGTTTTCATCCATAATAATCTGCACTTCCATAATTATTTGGTCAAATTTAGTGAGGTCCAAAATTTGTCTGTTAAAACTATATTTGTTTGCCTTTAAATATGAACAATGAATTGACGCATTAAAATCCACTATTTATCGATGAACATGACACCGTAGGTGATAAGTAAAATAGGCTAGAACGTGAAAATATATACGGAGTCCATCCGCAAAACGGAAGTGATAAAGCCGTATCATACACTACAGTGCTGGAGTTTGGGACTATAATCGCCGAACACCGCGGAAAAACACTCCATTTCACGGTGGAATCTTGGAGAATCGCTAGCGAAACGGCAGCTAGCCAAATCACCGCAAAATAGGGTGTTTCGCGGTGAATTATGGTGTTTCGCGGTGAAACACGGCGAATCGCTTGAGTGCCGATATCATCCCGATGTAAGCATGTTGACGAAAAATGTAATTTATTTAAGTTGAATACAAGATATGTAAACCGTTGGCGAGGCAGCTACGGTCGTATTTCTAACACACTGTACATGTATAACGTGGTGCCACAATGTACGTGTATGCAAACAATGAATAACTTCATTACTCGCAGCTTCAGTTAATCTAAATCAACCATTCATAAATCACAGTGCCATACATGTAAATCACTCTGCAATGCGGTTAACAGTACGTCACGTGGTCAGAAACGCGCGAAAACATGAGATGTTGGGTTCGACACGGGGACTATATATTCTTACGCTGTGTTACTTGGCGAAAAGTATTTAGCAAATCTTGACTGTCACCGGTATATGATAATAATGTATTATGACATATTAAAATAATATGGGTGGGAGGGGGTACACTGCGAAAGTCACAAAAGTGACAAATAGAACTTGCAACGGGAGTCGAAAGCGCTTTCAAATCAGACATAAGAAGCTAGTACTTACCGCAAAAATGAAATGAACGCGACACAAGTCTCCGATGTCAGAGAATATTAGTAAAGTATAACCGCTATCAAATCCACGCAAAAATCCAAGGCACTCATTTTATTTTAGAAAAGAATAACTGTAGGCTCGATAGAAGAGCCTATTCTTCATGAACCCCAAACCAATGGTAACTGTCAACTTGTATGTTGTTATTCTCGTGCAGATTTGTTTGAATAACAGAAATGTCCCGCGTATCAAGATCAAAGAATAAAATGCACGTAGCCACTCTTTGTTGTTTTTATGTGAATTCAATTAATCTAAAAGGGGCTCCGGCACAATTTAAGGAATTATTTTTGAGCCAATATTAACCATCGCCAATTTTTTAAATCATGGGATAAAGTCAATTAACAAACAATACGGGTCTACTTTATTACAAAAACATTGGTGAACTTACCATTTTGTCTAAAATCATAACGCTAATCAACAAACAATACTATTGATCTTTATTACAAAAACATCGGTGAACTATATTGTTTTTGTACATTTTGTATTTATTTGTCTGTAGTATATGTTATACCTGATGAGTCTTTGGCTTAAAGGAATAAAGAATTTGAACTCGAACTAATCGCTGTCGGGATGGCGAGCCAAGCTAGTTGATTATTAGGTAAATAAAACAATATAAACAACCAATGAGTAAAAGTGATCTATTCTAATCAATTAAATAATATACAAGTCAAGTACCGGTATTACCTTAACCGTGGACGGGTTTGCTTGTGGACGGGTTAACGGACACTCAACTTACAAATATTAAATCATCACCGTATTGGTACTGACTGAGGGCACTTCGTGCACGGACTGTTGAATTCTCGTTTAATTTATTGTGTTAATTTCACTATTGTTTAAAATGTAAACAAAATCTTATCTCGAGTACGTAGTACCGTATATCGAGCTAGTCTCGTAAGTAGTAGGCTATGTTAATCCAGACTAAAACGAAAGTCCTTTTATTGTATTAAAAACATTGGCTTCTGGTAGACTCGATTGTCATCTATTATATTTTCTTTACGCGGTCTATTTATAGAACAGTAAAACGATTGTAAATATTGGCGCGATAAAAATTTAATTATAAGTCCAAGCTATATTGTTGATAGAAAATAATAATGATTTACGTGTATCATAGATAATATTAAGTAACAATAGAATGAAAATACTGTTTGTTGTTTTTCGAGTTTTAGGCCATTATTACTTATTTTATGCATATTTTTGGTATGAACATTTTTGGACCAGTAAAATCTCATTCGGTCCAGCAATAGTTGGAATAATACCTGCCTAAATGTCCAGTAAAAAAAATATCATTTCGCATGGACTGCAGGGTACATGTATATGCAGTAGGAAATCAATAAATTGGACGTACAAAAGAATGGAATCATTCAGAAAGTGTACTCAAAATAAGTAAATCATAACGGGGTGAAGACGAGAATTAACACACTCGTGGATATTGTATAAATATATGAGGCGCATGTAATGTACGTATGTGTGTGTGAAATGGCTTTATTCAATATCTGCTCCCACCGAAATGAATTGGGTGACATAAAGTAGATGTATATTGTCACAGCGGATATTATTCGCCGAGTAAAACAGCGTAAGAATATACATGTAGTCCCAATCTTTTAGCGCGTTTCTGACCACGTAACATACCATTAAGCGACCCGCGGAGTGATTTACTGTACGTGCTGTATGAATGATTGATTTAGATTAACCGAAGCTGCGAGTAATGAAGTAATGTGTAAAAGCTCATCGTATATAATTTAAAGTTTGGATTTGATAGCAGCCCCAAATTGACGGATTACATCTAAGTTATAAACGAAGATGAATTGATATGTTTAAAAAATTGTAAGTTGTTCATAGTTTGCATACATTTTGGCCGGCGTTATGTATGTATAAAGTGCGTTGGAGAAAAAATCCTAACCGATACAGAATGCCGGTAAATGTCTTCCCGAGATTACCTTACTCATTTGTTATTCAAACCTGCCTGTACATTATACATGTACACGTTTCCCGGGAGCATTACTATATTACAACTCCTTTAATTTATTATAGACAATATTAGTTCGACCCTAGCTTAAGGTAGGCTCGCGAATTCCTTGCGGGAAGCACGGCAAAACACGATGTATTCTTATCGAAACACAGCGAATTCCTAGAGAAACACGGTGAATTCCTAGCGAATCTTAGAGAAAAATCGCCGCGGAATCAAGCGAAATTTCACCGTGAAATATAAGAGAATTCTGATTTCGGTCCAAAAAATTTAGGAGGAACTGTATCTGTCATCCATATCAAGGAATGGTAGCTACAAGTACAACATTCTCCAAAGACCACATATACTCTATAAGGCACTTGTCATTTGTAATAAAATTCACAGAAAGATATAAATGTCTTAATTCCTGCTAAATTATTTTTTTTACTGACTAGAAATGCTCCCATAACTGCCGCTATAAGATAGCCTTGATCATGAGACACCGACTGGTTGACACTGCTTCACGTCTTTCACGGTATTTTATTAACAACACTATATAAACAGTCTCAAAAGGACACAGAGATACAAATAAATGTAAACAGCTTGATTAAGATAGACAAAATAATAAAAGTATTTATATTATCATGATGCCACGTGCCAATGATGGGTTGAAAGTTGACGACAATTAACATACAGGCTATTGCCTTGGCATTGGTACTATCTCGCCTCACTGCTAGAGAAACGACCATGTGTGTAGTAAATTCTTTGTCTGACCTGTTAAATAATCTAATTAATCTAACTTATTTTGCATTTAAATTTCCAAGGGTATGCTTTTAATTATTTATGTCAGAACAAATCATCAACCAGTTTGGAACAGGTCATTTCGTAACCTGTCAAAGTAGGGAAGGATAAAGAAATGAAATGCCAAGAATGAATGAATTAAAGAACGGTTAACTTAGAAGCATATCACTAATAATTTAAACTTATTTATTATGATCAAGTCTTCCGATGCCCAGCTATATTGTGCAACAGATATTTTAATCTATAAATATTTAATAAATGTGAATAAATCGCGGACACTGGTTACCGATGGGTTTTCAACGACCAAGTAACTGACATTAGTTATTGCTGAAATAGAAACAGCATTAAACTAAAAATATTAAATTTCATCTCGATAATTAATAATTACCGCATGTAGCATGTATATTTCACAAACTCAGGTCATGAGAAACTGACAATTAATTAACCGCGGCCTAATCATTATCAAAACATAATAACATAATTAATTCTTATTGACATTATTTTAATAATAAATCAGTTCTTACCTGAACTGGGAAATCCTCCACCGAAAAACATATTAAACAATTCCTCTGGCGATATATCCCCTGAAATTAAATATGATAATCATTACCTGAATAAGCATGACAAAAACCTAGACAAAAAACTTGCACAAAACTTTCTACTCAATTTATCAATGGAGAGTAGAAATGTCTTCTCAATTAATATTAAGCTAGATATTTAAACTCATTTAAACACATGTGCAGACTAGCAAGGAAATTTCTTAACTTTGGTTGATAACTCACCTTCAAAACCATGAGAATAATCATATTCCTGGGAACGACCTCGACTTGACGATACTTCTTGCTCAGGCCCATATAAATCATATTTACGTCTTTTATCCGGGTCATTTAAAACAGAAAAGGCATTTCCAATAGCTGTAATAGAGAAAGAGGTAAATTTAAAACAAAATTTTCAAATTGAATGGTATTAAAAATATCTGAAAGTTTCCAATTATAATGATGTGAAAAGGGATATAACTTCCCATTTTTCTGCACCAACCAGGCTAATCAAGACAAGCTTTGAAAATAATTTTGCCTGGACAACAGCCGACTATTATTTGAATTCCATGTGTCTGAGGTTCTATTTCGTAGACGCAAATGTGTAGATGGGGTTTTGTTTTGTTGTCCCATCTGAATAACTAGACAATGTTCATGTTCCTTGTTAAGCCTACACTACTGTCAAGGAGAAACCATGCTGGGAACTTTTTCATCCAACGCCAGGATCGAACAAAGACCTCCTGGTTTGTGAGCCAGCACTTTCTAAGTCACACTTACAAATAATAATATCAATAATAAATTACTTGTGAACAGTGTTAGAATATGAAATTCTGATAGTATGGATTTTTACCACCTACCCACAGTTAATGATGTCAATTATCTGACCATTAATAGATAAAATAGTATACCTTTAAATGCTTCTGTGGCACCAGGAGCTTTGTTCTTATCAGGGTGCATCTGTAAGGCCAGTTTTCTATAAGCTTTTTTCAAATCACTTTCATCTGCTTCTTTAGATACAGTTAATATTTCATAATAATCCTTACATTTAGATATTCTGAAAATAACAAAAATAAAAAAAATTCAACAGCAGGCCTTGGAAATAATGATTTAAGTTGTACATTTGTATCTGGGAAAATGTCAGGCAAATTGACATTTTGAATGTGTATTAAAATATTTGAATAAGACAAATCTGCCATACAAAATAACATGGAACCCGAGGGATTGGATCTGAAAAAGGCTGAATTTGTGCTGCCTGACAATGTCTGTCACAGGTGTTCTTTTCCAGGCCTTGTGTAGCAGTACCTTTTTCGAGCGGTCTTAAACATTAGTAGTGGGTATTCACTAAAATCTTAATTTACATATGTTACAGATAATCTACATCTTTCAAAGAACTTGAAGGAGTAATAAATATTCTTGTTACAATACTGTTATGAACCCTTATCTTAAAATCATTATATTAAAATGATTCATTGAATCATAAGGAGCACCTTTTAACAGATATCAACTGTTCATCTGTATAATCTTTTGCTGCATTCTCCTTATTACTCTCACTTTTCTCTTTGCTATGACTGTGTTTACGTTGCCTAACTCCTTCATGTTCTGTTTTAGATTCTGTATTGGCATGTCCATTCATTTCTGTTAAAGATGCTATTAATTCTGAAATATATAATTTTTGTATTTTTAAGACATAACTAAAGTAGCTAAGTCTCTAACTCAATATCATCCAAAATCTTCAACATTGAAAACAAGAATTATTTGTCTAATTAAATCAACATTCATGTTGTGATCTTACCGGAAAAAGATGGGTTTTTGATATTCAATATTTAAGACAAAATAAACATTTTACCATTGGTACACGAATCGTGTACCATAATGCGCTTCAGCCCCAGATGTATCAAGAGACTCGAGGGACGAGGCTAGACACATTGCACCAAATGAAACGGCGTATGTAGACTGGAATAACCAGACGCTAGAAATTTGCACTCGCTTGAGACTGCTGGCTTATTTCGCTGAACATAACTGATTTGAAATTGGAGTAAAAACGGAAACCATTGAATGTAAATCAGTTTATATACATTCATATTACAGTATTATATATATGGGCAATTCCAGCGTTACTCACGTTACATTTAAAGAACCCCACCGATATTGAGATTAAGCCTACAAACAACAATCTACATTGATATGTTAAATATTGTGTATGGGCATCCACCAATGATGGAAGAAAATAATAAGATAGAATTTGAACCAAAATGAAATAAATTTTTTGGGTGACATCTGTTAAACATGGTGTTACTCACGTTACATGAAATGGACACCAAAATTTCGATGTTTTGTTTGCATATAAATATTACCTTTCAGTCTAATCTCTTATTTATAATAAGTATTTATTGCAATAGGTATGGATGTTATTAAGTTATTTCTTTGCAATAAAGTATAAATATATGGAAAGGGTCTGTATTTTTTTAGGAAGAGTGTAGAAAATCTTGTTACTCACGTTACGTTACTCACGTTACATTCAATTTATAAAACCAAAACTAAAGAATACTTAATTAGCGATGACATGTTACATGGTAATAGTAAAAATACATACTTATGTCATTTATTCAATGAACTGTTTATTTGGCAGGTGCACAGTTATCTAAAATTTTAGAAATATAAGCTTGTAAAAATTTTATTTTCAATTTATTACAGTAAATGTCAAGTTCATTTAGAATTATAATAATACAGTGAACTCAGGTTCATAATACATTTAATAATTTATATTTCAACATTTTCAAATCTGTAATGGCCTCTGCTGTTGACAGGTATGGGTTTTTTAAGCTTGCGTAATAATTGTGTTCTTTTATAATATATAACATCTTTTTTCTCTGGCCACTTCCAGTTTTTCCCCGCAGCAACCATCACAGATACCTTTAAATCTGTTCCATTAATTTCTAGTACTTCACCTGGATATAAATCATTTTCATATTCTACTAAAACCCATTCATGTGCAAATACTTCTATAAAGGTTGAAGTTCCCACAGACTTATTCTTAAAGGAGCTGTTTAGTAGATAATCTTTTGTTAAAAGATGAGGCATTGATAAATCATCTTGAACTGTTACACAATGAAATCTACTAATACCAGGAATAGCCTTACATTGTGCAAATATATTTTCCAGACAAAATGAATTATTTATGGCATTGATACAAAATGAAGTCATTTCTAATACATGGACATTAGGTATTTCCCTAGCAGCTTCAACAAATGACTTTGCATTTGTTACAATACATTTTCTTTGTTTAACTTTTTCCCAAACAAACCGCTTCACACTGCCCCCAATACCATCTACTGGGCCTTTTCCATGGGAAGTAGCAAAATAATTCCAGCTTAAGGATATTTCATGTTTTTTTTCAAGTAGTGGAAGACAAGCAAATATATAACGGTTTTTGAACTGGGAAGCAGGTCCATCTGACCAAAAAGAAACAGAAGTTATATTAGAGGGAAGCTCTTGAAGAACTCGGTCTATATATGCAATAACTGTATCTTTGCTGTGAATCAAATTATCAGAAACAATAACTTTAGAATTATTACTACCAGAATAAAAGAGAGCAACTGTAAAAAGAGAAACTTGGTTTTGATTCCAGTGGGCACTTTGAATTTCATCTTGTGCCATGCAAGTATAATTTTCTGAGAAGTCAATTTGTATTGTGGCTTTTGAAGGGTCATACACTTCACAATCATGTAACATGGTTTGTCTCTCATTATTATATGACTTTGATTGTTCTCGTTTGAAAAAACAATGCTCTAAAAACTGAGGCAAGATATCAACAATGTGGTTCACCAGTTCTTCTACACAGCCTTCTTCAATTACTTTTATAATTTTGCTATTATCCAATTTCCAGTAATACCAGGATGCGTCCAGCTGAACTAATGGTTGCAATATATCATTATACTTGATTTTGAATAGTTGACCATCTCTACAATCTTCACAACTGTTGAGCCAACATTCACGTGTGGCTGTTTCACAAACTAATGATTCGGGTAGACTGGAAATATAGGCAGGAACTTCAGGACAAGCATTATGTAAGGAATTTATAGCATTTATAAAGTTCTCATGATATCTACAAAGACACACATTATGGGGCAACTTGTTACTCAGTTGGACATATTTTGGCCGCAATTCAGCAAACTTACTTTTTCCCACTTTTAAAGTAGGATATTCTTCACAAAAAAGAGAATATGTTTCTTTAATAGATGATGTAAGGTGTCTTGTTTGAATCTTAGATTTCACTCCATCACTATCACGTACTATTGTTACATCCTTTCTTCCTGGTGCTTGTCTACTTATATCAGTACGATGATAGAAATCTATTATTGTATTTTTGGCATTAGCAGAGATTGCAGACTTTCTTTGAATTTTTTCATCAGTTGCTGATATACCAGTAATTGATTCTGAATTTCCGGCACATTCTGATAGGAACAGTCTTTTACAAACAGCCTTCCTGCGCCTCGGAGTAGATGGCAGTGTCCGTTTCACTCTTGCTGTAGCCTTTGCATAAGCAAGACTACTACTAAACGCTGCATCAGTTTTACTATTATTTGTGGCTTTTGCTTTCATTCGATGACGATGTTCAGCAACCCTTTTTCTAACCCCCTCCCCCATTGTTTGACGTAATCTGTTCCTTTCAACTTCAGGAAATAACTCTTCTCTGGCCTTTTGTTTAGCCCTCCATTTTCTTACTTCGTTAGCATGTTTACATTTATAATCATCATGTGCTCCACTGTTTCTTTTTCTTTCACGAAAACGTCTTTGTCGTTCTGCATTTGAGAAAGCCATTTCAAAATATAATTTAGGATGTAAACAAACTTTCTTTACCTCTGGGGGGAGCCTCTAGCTATGGAGCAGACGACAATAGTGTGACATCATAAGTCTACCTTGTGAGGTCATAGTAAAATGACATCATAAATATTAGAAACATTGTTTCAAATTTTCAAAAAAATCAATAATTCATTTTTGTAAAAAACATTAATTTAATTCCTTTAATGATATCAATGTAAAATAAATATTCAAACAATTAAATTAAAACCAGATTATAAAAAAATAATAATAACTGAAATATATAAAGGTAATGTGCGTTACTCGCGTCACATATTGCGTTACTCACGTTACATGTTATGATACTGTTACTCACGTTACAAATTTGTAGGTGCCATTATATGGAGAATTAATGACATTTAGTATTGAATCAAATTTTTTTAAGTGCATGGTCATTAGTAGAGATTCTATAGAAAATATGGCTGACATAACCATAATCAAATTTCAAACATCATTTTTTTCCGTTTTTTTGTGTTACTCACGTTACGAGTGCAATGTACTTTGTATAATATACTTTAAAACTGACTCATTTGAATATCAACATTTGTTGTTATTATTTTCCGTAAGGAGAAGATTTATAGTTTCTGATTTCAGAAAAAAATTATTTAAGTTAGTAATTAGGAACTTTTAAATCATAAATATTATATGGCTACAAATCAGTTAATTATAGTACTATATTTGTCAAGGTAAATGATAATGGTGCTATATAAAAAGTTCACTAGAATTTTTACAATTTCTTTACAATTACAAACCCTTAATAATATATGAATCAGACAAACATAAAAAAATGGTTCTAATTGCGGTTTCAATTTTTACTACCCATGTCCATATTTGCATGGAATTGCCCGCGTTGCGACCCACTTTTGTCAATTTCTAGGTCCCAAATGTTAGCGATTTAGCTCCTTTAAATTACCAATTAGTTACCTATACTCATCACCACATGCTCTTCTTTCAATAGGCCTACATAGTACATGCATATGTCCTCTAAAAGACTGATGACAATAGATGCCAAGTTGATGTATCTGTGTATTGACCGACACAGTGAGAGGAAGTAATTTTATAAAACAACTTGGGGTTATGATTTTCTAAATGGATATGAACTTTGTATTATTTATAATCTTCACAGAATGTTATCACAGGGCTTACTTCAAAGACCATTCATCTTATAGGAATGGATACAGTACCGACTTGAAAATCTGACATTCACTGAACGGGAAAAAAAAAAGAATGATGACCGTCGTTCAGGTAATTTTGAGTCCTATAAAAATCATCAAATATTCCCTCTTTTTGCTTACTTTTCGCTTTTTCTGACGGATAAAGTCTATTGGCTTTATTAAGAAACTTTAAAGCTTTATCTTCGTCGCCTACTTCAATACATTTTAAGGCAATCTTCATACACCGTTCGCTTTCATCCTTATTACCCTCCATCTTTATTTTATTCTGTCCTAAGTCAGCTGTTATCTCGTCGATGATTGGCTTACGAATAGTACCACGTAATCAACGGGGAAATAATCCTTCTTATTAACTATTCACAAAAATCATTTTCCCGTTTTTTAACATTTGATAAAATTCCAAGATGTTTTTTTCGTATTGTGAAAAATCGATATTTAAATTTTTGCAGTGGTTTTTTTTGGATTAAAAAAAAAACATGATAGAGAGCAAGAGTTTTGACTTGTATTGCAGCCAATGAGAAAAATCGTTACAATTAAAGGGGAGATAAATCATTTATGAAACAGGGTTAAGGACTAAACCTTTGCACTTTGACCAGTGTTGTGTTTTTCAATGTTAAAGTCCTAGATCATAATAGTAATAGTAAAATAATTATGACTTGTGTTCAGTGTCTGACATTTACGAAATATTAAATCTGTGAACCATCTTGAAATATAGATCTTCAAATCTATTTTAAAAAATGGATCGGTCTGGTAGTGGTACAAAAGTGCAGTTATTGCCAGAGCATAATGGATGTTCTGCAATACAAGAAGCAAGCCCAGATGCATCATTTATTTACACACTAGATAATAACAGATTAAGCATGAAACAGAGACAGTTTTACGAGGACAATGGCTATATCGTTATCAAAAATCTTGTTTCTAATGAAAAATTGGGCATTTACAAAGATAGATTTAAAAGGATTTGTAAAAAAGAAGTGAGTGTGCCAGGAATGCTGATCATGAAAGATGTTGCTGTAACGTCATCAGAGTATGTTCCAGGAGAAAAGGCTGTAGCAAAGATCCAGGACATTGTATTGGATGAGATTTTGTTTGGTTATTGCTGTTTACCAGAGTTAATAGATTATGTTGAATGTTTTACTGGACCTGACATTGATGCTAGACACACCATGCTGATTAACAAACCTCCAGATACAGGGAGTAAATCATCAAGACATCCTATGCACCAAGATTTACACTACTTTCCTTTCCGACCTGCTAACAGAATCGTTTGTGCTTGGACAGCAATGGTGAACGTTACCAAAGAAAATGGCTGTTTGGTAGTCGTACCAGGAACACATAAAGAAAAGTTGTTACCCCATTGTTTTCCAGACTGGGAAAATGGTGTCAACAAAATGTACCATGGGATACAGAACTATGACTTAAACCAACCAAGAGTTCATCTAGAAATGGAGCCAGGCGATACAGTATTCTTTCATCCAATTTTAATACATGGATCGGGTGTAAATAGAACACAGGAATTTCGAAAGGCAATATCCTGTCATTTTGCAAGTAGTACCTGTGCTTACATTGATGTTGCAGGCTCAACACAAGAAAATATTGCTGATGAGGTGATTGAAATAGCCAAAAAACGTCTTGGAAGGAAAGTTGATATTTCATATGAAGACATATGGGAATTCAGGAATCGTGCAGTAAGAAGAAAAGCTCCTATATCTCCCATAAGTCGTTTATGAGACAAATAGTAATAGTATATACATGAACTTAAAGGTTTTTGAGAAATAATTTTAAGCATTGTTCAAATATGCAAGCTTATATCTCAAAAGTCAAAAATATTTACTGTTTTAATGAAAAGACTTTATTCCCATGTACGGAACATCCAAATGTAAAACCTTCATGAAAGGAAAATCAAACTTTGTTTGTTTGAATACTCTATATTTAAAATGACTAAAACTATTTGATTTACAGGGAAAAAAATTGTCAACTTCAACAGATTTAATATGTTGCTTACTTTTGTTGGGTTATTATCTGTCTTCATGGAAAAGCCAGTGCTGTGATAACTGATTCTGTGTTCCATTGTCAACACTGTTAAAAAAGTACTGGTAAACAAGACAGCATCTGTGTTATCTTTCCAATTGTATATCAACCCCATTCAAGTGAAAGATTTACCTTTAAGACATAGTCTGGGATGTTTGGGCTTTAATTTGAAAATGATTTTCAGTCATAAATTATTTATTTATGTATTTAGAATAATGAAATTAATGTGTATATATATTTATTTATTTAATAAAACAAGCTTACAATATTCAAATGAATGAATGAATAAATGAATAACAGAATTTTGAATATTTATAAATGTTAGCCCATATTTCTGGAAATACAAAAAAATTAATTAATACTGGCAAATATTTTCCAGTAGTAAATACTGGGGATAGAGAAATAACATATGCAAAAATCATTATATCAATCCTGTTATTGAAAACAACTAAAATTCATACCAGTAGTGAAAAGGGAAGACGGCCCGTGAATAAAATTGAGATGTATTCTAGTGAATACACATATTCTAGTGAATACACATATCTTATCAGTGTTGTTTAACTCGCGGACGTTCCAGGAACATGCGGTAATTACAGAACAGTGCATGTAGGACCGGGAATTGACGGCACCAGTAGTTATGAAATACACACATATTCACCATTAAATATGGGTCATCAGGAGGCGAGGGAATACATACAGGGGAATAAACATTATATTTACATATTGGTTAATATACACCAGTATATGTGGGTCAGTGGGCGAGGGAATACACATTATTACTATTAGTTCATACAATACACGCTGGTTAATATGTATACACCATTATACGTGGGTTAGTCGTACAGATATCTCACAGAAGAAGATTGAACAGTAAATTTTGCAAAAGTAAACAATTCTGCTATGAAACGTTCGCCATTGTAAACGTCATGAACAGAGTATTGTTTTTTTTTAATTATCTATTTTTGCTTCGTACGTGTTTGGCGATAACGTGAATTTTAGCGAGTGCAACTAAATCGATAGTCTGAAAACGATTGGTTCATTTTTGTCCACCCTTATCACAAGCGACTGGTACAGAAGGGGGCGTTTTTAAACTTAGAACACGTGCCTTGCAAAATTGTCAACATCATACCTGATTTGCCGTTTAAGTGACCCCTCACGTGCTATCACCTTGTAGAGTTGTAAATAAGAATCGATTTCTTGTGTACGTGGGAAGAGAACTGTGAGAACAATTCCTTACATAAGTTTACAAAGGGAAATAATGTCGTCTGAAAGTGATCCACTATTAATCCAGGGTGATGATGGTCGTCCCGGTAATTTCTATGAGGAATTTATCCAACCATGCCTAGCCGAGTTAGTAGCAGTAACATTGTTTGTGTTTGTTGGAACCATGGCGGTCTATGATACCGTATCACCGACACCAGACACCCCTGCATCAGCAGTGGCAGTGGCTCTTGCACACGGACTGACCATAGCTATTTTGGTAGCCGTAACCGGCCCGATCAGGTTGGGTTTTTACATACTTCTTTTATTAATTGAATATATTAATACAATGTACACATTTTATGGATGATATGAATTGCTTGATAAAAGACGATATTATCCACGTCGAAACGTTGCATAATAATAAATTCAGTAACTGTAGCCATAAAAGTTGTACCGTGTGATTATAGATACGTTAGTTTTCTTCTTTTTATATCGGATATGGTTGTGATTTTGAACAAATTGAAACACGGTCGCCATATAATAATTTTATTTAAAAATGGATAATCGAGACATTTTTAATTATCGTAACAACGGCATAGCATTGAAAATCGATACGCTATTCTTCATTCAAACCGCCACAATTTCGCTCAGAATGAATAAGTAATTCGACTGAAATTGTCAATATATCCCCTTTTTACTATATATTTTACTATTATAGCGAGAGCTGCCAGCTCTTTGGTCCAAATCTTACATAATGCATCTAATTACGGCTTTTGGGTTGGTATTTTATGAATAGACCAAATAGGCTATATAATAATACTGCCTGCGATGTGGTGTATTAGTAAACGGAAAGTTAAAGTGCACGGTATGATTGTAACGTTGTAAAGGCCGAGGAGTCATTTGATATTAAAAATGAGTGTTATATAAGTCCGTGACCCGCATTTTTATGAAATTATGTTTCGCATGCAATCACATTATTTTTCTACGCACGCGTTATAACCATTGATGAAATAAGGTTTAACATCTTGCTTTCTATAATTGAGATAGTTAGAAGATATTGCTATAAATCATTGAAATAAGGGGCTGCAGACAACCTTGTATATAAAAAAAACTGAAAGAGATAATTATATTTGGGACAAGTCATGTGATAAAATCTCAAAGGCACCAGACTCTCAATGATAAGTTAAAATTATGAACCAAATAGCCTTTTCTATTATAACTATAAAGTATGATTTGTCATAATGATTTATTTAGTGCACCATGCAGTTTGATATTCACTGGATTTTTCGTTTATTATCTTTCAAATCATTTAATTATCAATCCAAGTCGTCACTTTCTTTTGATCAAAATGAAAGCGGTTTAGTCCCTTTAAGTTCTAGTCTGTCATGTATGTAAGGGGCTTTTACACACTGACATGAAGTACATGTATTAGAAAAATAAAGTATATCTGGATAAAACATATTTCATAATTAGTGTGAATGAATATATAAAATGATTAAAAGGCACCATTCTGCCCGGACCTGTTCACACGTTGTGTAAACATTGCACGAGGTATATAATAAGAAGAAGCCTTCGCAATTCCTATGTGAAATAGATTGGGACTTTTACTTACAATTTCTTTATAAGATAACATTTCGGTCATAAATTAATTATTTGTGTATTCAGAATATTGAATTACTGTATATACCAAAACTTTATTTATTTATTTAAAATAACTATTCTGCTTTGTTTTTGTTTTAAGTAGCTATAAAGTCTCTTACTCAATATCATCCAAAATCTTCGACATTGAAAACACGATTTATTTGTCGGTTTAAATCAACATTGATGTTGTGATCTTACCGGGAAAAGATGGCCTTCTGATATCCAATATTTAAGACAAAATAAACATTTTACAATTGGTACACGAATCGTGTACCATAATGCGTTTCAGTGCTATTTGTAATAAGGGGCTCGAAAAACGAGGCTAGGCGTATTCCACAAGTCTTGTCAAACGGTGACGCTATATTCTTATCTGGAGAGCAAGCCCAATAAATAATATTGGCGTAGACGGGGATAACCAGACGCTAGAGATTGAAATTCGATGGATAATACTGGCGTATTTCGCCGAACCTAACTGATTAAAAATTACAGTAAAAACAGAAACGTTTGAATGTAAATCAATTTATATACATTCATATTGCATGCGTTGCGACCCATTTGTGTCAATTTCTAGGTCCCAAATATAAATATTAGCGACTTAGCTCCTTTAATCTAGAATGAATGAATGAATAATGAATATGAAAGTAAATAGTGCATTTGCCAATTAATGCATATATATCTGGCATTTAAAACAAAATAGGATTTCAATATTATTGTTAATCCTAGTGTATATTCCTGGAAACAAAAAAAAAACCAACAAAAAACAGACTATATTGTTTAATAAAAATACACACACATTGCACCAGTTTAATCAATACTGGCAAATGTTTTTCAATAGTTCGTATAGGGGTATAGAAATTATATTATATTATTATTAAACATTATATTTTATAGGCCTACAAGCAAATATTCACTTTAGCAAGGAAAAGGGGAGGGGGGATACGGGACCGTGAAGAACATTTAGAGGCACTGCAGTTATACTATAATACATACGGGTCAGCTTGCATGTGGAATCGGGAATCGACACACGTGAATAACCATTATGTAAGTCATTATAGGCTAGTGAATTGGCCTATAAACATTATATTATATACTATAAGTAGTTATACCAGTATATGTGGGTCAGTAGTACAGTTATCACACAGCCAAATATCGAACTGTAAACACGAAACTTTCACCATTTAAATTCAATGTCATGGACAAGGTATTTTTTTTTTTTTTATCTATTTAGCGTAAACGTTTAACTTTTTTTTAGCGAGTGAACATATTGTTCCGTCTCGTGCAACTAAATCGATAGTATCAGGAAACAATTGTTCATTTTTACCGGCTTACTGGTAAAGAAGGGGCGTTATTAAAGTAAGCACATGGCCCTGTAAACATGTCAACATCATATTGGATTTGACGTTTGTGATGGCTCACGTGCTATCGCCCCGTAGGAGGGTTATATAAAGAAGAACCGCTGACGACACATAACGCGGTAAGAACTGTGAGAACAATTCGTTACAGGAGTTTGCAAAGGGAAATAATGTCGTCTGAAAGAGATCCACTAGTACTTCAGGGCGATTCTGGTAAAAACCGTCCCGGTAATTTCTATGAGGAATTCATCCAACCATGCCTAGCTGAGTTAGTAGCAGTAACATTGTTTGTGTTTGTTGGAACCATGTCGGTCTATGATACCGTATCACCGACACCAGACACCCCTGCATCAGCAGTGGCAGTGGCTCTTGCACACGGACTAGCCATAGCTGCTTTGGTAGTCGTAATTGGCCCTATCAGGTAGGGATTATAAAGACTTCTTTGATAGGCATTTAGTTTAAATTGAACAAATTAACACAAGGTACAGTTTTTATGGATGATATCATTTGCTTGATAAAATACGAGATTATCCTCCTCGAAACGTTGCATATATAGCATGCACATTATAATAATTAAGCTATATAGTAACAAATGCTGTGTATCCATAAAATTGTACCGTGTGATTATGAACATTTTTTTTTTGTATAATTTTTCATGTTAAACCTTAATACATTTTTAACAAGAGTTTACGTAGTAGAACTGATACAGTAATAAACAGTTAACCACACCATACGTGACCTCAGTCGTGGGGGAACAGTCATGTGATATAAATAATATTCTTATATAAGTCCATGACCCGCATTATATATGGTAATTGTTGCATATGCAGCCTGCATTAATCAATGATGAAACACTTTTGATATTGTTAATCATATTAGATATTGCTAAATTTTTGAATTAGCAGGCCAAGACAACCTTCTATTATATACATAAACCATGGAAGAGATAATTATATTAGGGACAAGTCATGTGATAAAATCTCACGTTATCCTCTTAAATAACAATCCCCCCCCCCCCCGATGATGGGATTAAGTTATAAACCAAATAACCTTTTCTATTATAACTAGGATATAAAATATATAGTTTGTCATAACTAGTTATATTCATTGGATTCTTTTATTTTACAATAAGGTCTATGCTTTAATAAACAAACTAAATTGAATCTTGAGTATATCAGAAGCACGGCAACAGCGCGTATGGGTGGGTGGGACTCCTCCAGAATGATTTTTAATTTAGACGCCAACAATTAGGTTTTTCTTTTGCCATTCCAACCCGCAATTAACTAGGAAGGTCCAATAAAGTCTTATTATGATATGTGGCTGCCAAAGGGTGTCAAAGGGTATGCCCCCCCCCCCCACAAAATCTTTGAAAATTAGAAAACTGCAATCGAATTTTCCTGGCATTCTACTTCTACAGAAACTAGAAAATGAGGTCAAAAGGGAAACCCGTAAAAGCTCCTATAGCCTTAGCCTTATTCATGTGGCTTTACAACCGAGATCTCACTCTGTGCCCATCTGAATTCGAGATTTTGTGGGTAATAAATTAAATGGCCGAAAAGATTCCCTATTAGATCCCTTGGAACCATGGCTGGGGATGTTGGTCAAAGGGTAGAAAATCTATGAAAATTAGAATGCTGCAATGTGCAAACCCATTTTCCTGCTATTTCAGCCTTTCACTATAACATGGCCGTCTGCTGGAAAAAATCTGATTGTCCGAATGTTAGAGGCCAATTGCCTCCCCCTGCCACCCCCACCCCCCTCAGAATCAGAATGTATGCCTAAGAGTGTTCTTGTTTGGGATATTGTCCACCTTTTGAGTTCGCAGGGGGTTCTCTATTTATGATTCTGTCAAAAAAAGTCAATTAAAGATGCCTTATTTAATAGCTAAATCTGCCTACTGCAGGTGTTTATGTTGGCTTCAAATATTATAATATCAACTATTATTTAGACAATTATTCACATGACAAGCCTATAATCAACTCTCTAGACTATAGGATGGGCCGAGATTTAAATGGAATCTCCATTTAATAATTTAATTTAAAAATAGACAATCTAGACTTAGTCTCAATTGTCAAGTACCGTTGCTACAATAATAATAAACAATCTATGCCACATTATCAAAGACTGATAACTTCACTCATTATAAAGTAGTTTGAATGAAATTTCTATTTTTTGAACTACTATAGCAGGAACTGCTAGCTCTTGATATAAATCTTAAATAATGCACCTTTAACGTAAATCTAAACTGGTATATACATTTATTACATGGGGATCACGTGGCTAAGTGGGTAAGATGCTGGCTCGCTAGCCAGGAGGTCGGGTGTTCGATCCCTGCATTGGCCGAGAAAGTTCATCCAGATTTTCCGGCGTGGTTCCTCCTTGTCAGTGATGCCGGACGGAGGGCCTGACAAGGACATCTGTCTAGTCCTTCGGAGGATACGGAAAACCGAGGTCCTGTGTATACATTGGAATGCACGTAAAAGATCCCTTGGCAGTTGGAAATCGTAGTGCCGCTGCCCGGGCAAAATTTCCCTCATAGCACACTGTATGACGTATGCCCGTCTTCATTAGCCCAGCATAGGAGCAGAACAGTAGGACGTTAAACCCCATTTCATTTCATTTCATTTACATTTATTACATCATAAGGTAGTGTCTTGTGACTTTAATATCTGACATCTATACATTATTCATTTTGATGGATAGTCTTGTGATGCATTTCAAAGAGAAAAAAAATTTATATGAAGATATATTTTGGTATTAGTTTCTCAAAGGGGAAACAGATATCTCAACTTCAAATTAAAAGAAATAATAGATGCTATTTTACTTATATAATATGACTGGATAGTCTTGTGATGCATTTCAAAGAGAAAAAAAATTTATATGAAGATATATTTTGGTATTAGTTTCTCAAAGGGGAAACAGATATCTCAACTTCAAATTAAAAGAAATAATAGACGCTATTTTACTTATATAATATGACTGTTATTATAATCTAATGAAGCAAATCTTGGTACAAAGAAACACCTATATATACTATTCAAAAAAAGTAGGGGATATTTGATTTTTAAGTGTTATTAAAGTCACCTAATGAAACTGACGAAGAAACAAATGACAAAATGAAATGAAGTTCACATTCATCGATTTATTCCAAATGATCGTTAGACTAAGTAAGGCACAGACTGACCATTATAAGGGTAAAATGATACCCGGGGTCTAACAGCAAAGTTACCACAGCATCACAACCAAGTCAGTAACGGGTAAATCCTCCTCTGTTTGCCAAACAAGCATTGATCCGACGTGGCATACTCCTAATAAGACATCTAAGGTCATTTTGGTCCAGATTGTCCCATTCCTGTTGCAACGCAGCAGCAAGTTCTTGGACATTGGCAGGACGTTGTTGACGTTGACGTAACCTCTGTCCAAGCATGTCCCAGACATGCTCGATGGGGGAGAGGTCGGGACTCAGTGCTGGCCAAGGTAATGTGGTGATGTTCTGTTGTTGGAGGTAACCTGTAACGATCCTGGCCCATTGACATCTTGCGTTGTCATCCTGGAAGATGAAACGGCGGCCATGACGTCGTGCGAACGGCACAACATGGACTGCCAAGATGTTGTCCCGGTAGTACTGGCCTGTAACACGTCCTGCAACAACATGTAAAGCCGTTCTTCCAGCAACAGTGATGCCTCCCCACACCATAACAGAACCACCCCCAAATCGATCATGTCTGATGATGTTAACGTCTTGGAAGCGCTCGTTTCGACGACGCCCACCCTCCTACGTCTGTCCAAAAAATCAACAGTGAACCTTGACTCATCTGAAAACATCACATTGCTCCAGCGTCGATTATCCCAGTGTTGACGATCCGTACACCAACGACGTCTTGCCTGAATGTGATGATCTCTCAAACAAGGGATCACCCGAGGACGTCGGGCGCGAAGGTGACCCCTATGCAGTCGATTCCGAATCGTCTGGCCACTCACTCTCACACCAGTGTCTGTTTGAAGACGAGCGCTGATCTGATTTGCTGTGATGACACGATTTCTCAAGGCCAAGGTACGATAAATCCATCCTGGGCTTGAGTTGTCGCCCTTGGTCGACCTGAGCGTGGTCTGTCCTGTACAGATTGTGTATCACGGTATCTGGACCATAGCCTGCTTATGACAGACTGAGAAACATTCATCATCCCCGCAACAACCGCCTGTGTTGTGCCGATCTGTAGCATGCCAAGGGCACGTAACCTTTCATTTTGGGTAAGCCGACGCATATCAAAATTTGTTTTCTGGTCACTAAAACAATTAAACTGATGTTTCCACCCTGGAATTCAATGCCACAATGACTGTAACATTCAAAGTCAGAGTCGTGCAAATCTTGGGTTGGACCCCCATGATGATCCCAAGCATCACCTGCATTCCATGCGGTAGCTATTGGTGCGTTTGGGCGTCACATGTAACTGGAAATGTTTCTTCTGTTAGGTTCTATAGTGACTTTTTTCGTAGTCATTTGCATATTTTAGTATTATGCCCCCAAAATCAAATATCCCCTACTTTTTTTGAATAGTATATGTTTATAAGACCACAGCTTTAACAGTTTCAATTCCTTGGCAAAAATGATTTTGAAAACAAAATGTACTTACCGCAGTTGCTCTTCTTAAATATACATTCCCATGAAAGTCTTTATAGGGCAGTCATTTCCAATGACATTATGGCATATATGTGGTATCATGGAAAGTAGAGACACTCAATCTTACTAGAAAAATACTGAATTCCCTGAAAAACAGACATGAGGCGTGCACAGGACAAAAATGAGAGGGTGTCACTAACTGGCAGCCTGACGTAGCCAGCACTTCTTATGTATTAATCTAATGGCTAACGGCTGTGAGAACATTGACAGACTTAAACATCCAGTAGACTCTGCAATTAAATGGCAGAAAAAGAAGAAGTTGGCAGAGGATAATCCAAGGACACTTAGTTTTCAATATTTATTGACAGTCACTAATGACAAATACTAGCTAAAAAATCAATAACGATTAATGCCATGTCACAAAAAAAAGGCTTCTTAAAATGGATTCTTGCAGCATAGAGTAGCTTTCTTTGGATTAAAACATTTTTAGAGGGATTTGAAGTATACTTTTGATAGATAGATAACCGCTGGGTTTGAATATGTTTTTAGTTCAAATATATCACCAAATCACACAGTTTGTACACAAGACGTCATACTTAAAATTTCTTTACTCAAAATATTTGAACATTTCAAATTTAAAAAGAAACATTGCTTGTGCAAGACATTTTATCAAGAATAGGATGAACTTACTTATTTTAGTTTGGTTTGGTTTAGTTTAAAAAATTTGTTTACTGATGTAGTAGAATTATTAATACTTTATTTATCTTGGATGCATAAAGATGGATGTATTAAATCCAGGAACCGCTTTTTAGGCACTTTATCATATCCAGGGTAAGTTTCTCAGCCAACACTGGGATTGGCCCTCCTGGTTGTTGAGCTAAAACCAGAGTTACCAAACTGCCATGGCTTCCCTTAGTATTGAATTTTGCAACTGGAAATGAATGTATGTCTTCATATTAATGGAATGTAATAGGGTTTAACATCCTACAATCCGGCCTAATAAAGATGGGATCTTAATATAAGAATAAAAGAGTGTCTTGATTTCAGTGAGGGTCACATTAATAAAGATGGGATCTTAATATAAGGAATGTCTTGATTTCAGTGGCGGTCACATTAATCCAGCTGTAACTTTTGCAATGGTTTTATTAAGAGAAATGAAACCAGTTTTAGCAGCAGGTTATTTTGTATGCCAAATAATTGGAGCATTACTTGGAGCTGCTTTCACTCGGGTAAGCATTCATTATGGTAACAGAGCACTGATCTGCTTCCAATTTTTCATAAGTGATCTTGTAATGTGTAACATGGTTGTATATTGCTAATGTTCATGTGTATTAGTCGGTTGACCTGCTTTTATAATTGCATTGTTTACATTATTGGGATGAAGAATTCTATTGCATTTCAGTTATTCTCATAAATACTTTTTATCTGCTTAAAGGATTTCAATGAAATGTGTAAGGTACTTTGCCAGGGTGGCATTTATTGAGATTTTTCCGTGTGTAGTGTCTGGGCAGGTGCACTTTTAAGGAGAAAATGTAATAATATTTTTATTCTGGATATCTGAATGGGATTGGGAAAAAGACTTAGCCTATGTAACAACCCTTTACATAAAACTAGAGTTGTTTTTGACTTCTTATAAATTTCAACTAAATTTAGTAGGTTTTTTGATTGGGTGATGATTTAAATAAAGTTAATTGGTCACAAAGGGGAACCCTGAAGGCACAGATTTTTTTTCTCCAAATCTGCTCTATAGATTACATCCAACAATATTCAACCAAATTTTGTTTAAACTATAATATTCATTTTTATGGTTTTTTTTTAAGTATTTGATTGTTTAGACTATAATATTCATTTTTATTGTATTTTTATTGGTTATTTTATTGTCTCTTTGATTTAACCAAGGATATAACATTGATAACAAGAAGATTGTCATCATCATGAAAGTTAAATTTGATTCTATGGAAACACAAAAATTATTAACTCTGAGAAATATCTGATTAGCTAAAAGCACAGGAACTATAATTGATTGATGTATGTACAAAATTTCATTAATATTTTATGAGATATGGGACACCAACATTTATTTCAAATTTGTTTCCAAGGAAAGGTAAAATCTCAATTAGCTAAAGGTACAGCTACTATGGTCTGTTGATGTGTCTTCAAAGTTTGATTAATATAGTTTAAATAGTTTATGAGATAAATCAGGAAGGACAGGCTGAACCCGTTTCAATATCCATCCATCCCTTCCTCCAGTCGTTCACATACTCTTAACTGATTGACAATTAGGGCTTTGAAGTTTGAACCACTTGTTAGATTTAAAGCTTGGGACTTGTTGACAATGGTTTGTATGCTATTTGTGATACTAAATGTGATGTATGTAATTGTATGCTGCTCCCATGGGCATTTTTATGCAATGAAATTTATCTTATCTTATCTGATCTTATCTTATCTTATAGGCTGTAATAGGAGATGTAAAATATAAGCAAATCGGTGGAGGAGCTCACACTTTAGGGGAAGGTGTTGAGCCTGGTCAAGGTATTCTGTGTGAAATCTTACTGACCACTGTACTTATACTCGTCATTCTGCATGTTGCTGTTGATCCAAAAACCCAAAATCCCCTTGCACCTTTGGCTATTGGTTTTGCAGTCACAGTTGACATATTAGCTGGGTAAGTATTTATAATTAGTATTGTAAAATTATTTTTGAAAACTTCATATAAAGATTCCAGGTACAACAATATAATTATTTGTTGTGTTTTTTGGGATGGTGTTGTTATTTAATGTTGGATGAGGTGATGGGATATTGTTGTGACTAATGGGTTTAAAAAGGAGATGGCATACACCATGCTGTGCTATGCTCTACTCTTGTTGTGATTTCCAAATGTCTGGGAACCTTTAACATGCTACCACATGGAAAACACAGCACCTCAGAATTTCGGCCAATTGAAAGACTGGTAAATGCTTTTCCTTCGCAGACTCGATCGCATAAGTCACTTCATCCGTGTATTTTTAGTCCACTCAGTTGTAAATGGATATCAGTAGGATGGTGTATGTAGTTACTAAAAAAAACTGTTGCGCTCTTTGAGCATCATAGATTGGGGCTCTATCTAAGACTAAAGATTTAAGAGGAAATGGGTTAGATTTATCCAAGGGACCATGATTGAAATTTTATCGCGATTTGTGCACAACCGTTGTGGATACACCACATCATAGATACCGGGTATACACGTTATTATATTATTATAATTGAGCAAATGGTCATTGTTTTTAATTTTTCAGTATAAGTGTCACTGGTGCTTCCATGAATCCAGCAAGAAGCTTTGGACCAGCTGTAGTTATCTCTGTGTTAAAATCATTCTGGGATTACCATTATATTTATTGGGTTGGACCATTCCTTGGTTCTGTTTTGGCAGCTTTCATCTACAAGTAAGTATATTATTTGTTGTAATTGTTAGTATGTGTCGTATTCACATTCATCATATGTCCATCCGAGTCCATATCTTATATTAGCTATTGTAGATCCAAATCCATATATTATGATCAACCACTCATCGACACACTTCCGCTGTACAAATGTCTGTCACTGAATAAATGGATTGTCACTCACTCTCTAGTTTCAACTCAATATCGAACTCAAGACTATGATAATGGCGACGAGGATGGGATAAGTTTCATTAACAGCTCTATGAATCTGTTGTTAAACTTTATACGGTAAAAATATGGTCTCAAAAGCAGTATTTTGTGTGTGAAGTCGACGCTCGCTTCGAAGAAATTTCCCGCTCATCCTCAACACTTCTACGTCACAGGTAGATCTACTCTTTGAATATTTAGACACACAAAATGGCCACTGCTTTGCCGCATTTTCCGAATTTTCCTGTCCGCTCCAATGAACAAACTGCTGGTATTAGATGGAAGAAATGGGTAACAAGGTTTGAAAATGTAATGGTGGCAATGGGTATTAAAGATACCAAACGTAAAAGAGCTTTAATGTTATATTATGCAGGCGAAGAAGTAAATACAATATTTGACACTTTACCTGATAGCGGAGATGATTATAAACATTGTAAAGACAGTCTCACAGACTATTTCAACCCACAGAAATATGTTGAATATGATGTTTTCAATTTTCGTCAAGCAAGGCAAGAAAAAGATGAGACAATTGACAGTTTTCACACACGCCTACGTGAATTAGCAGTCAACTGTGATTTTGCCAATGTCGACAGAGAAATCAAGTCTCAATTAATTGCCAAATGTTCATCACAGAAACTCAGACGAACAGCCCTACGAGATCCTGAACTTACACTCTCGAAACTCCTCACGCAAGGTAGAACTGCTGAACAGGCTGAACAACAAATAAGCCGGATGGAAGAAGAGATACGCCCACCCACTCTTTCAAAATTAAATGTCAATAAAATTGGTGATTTTACTCGAAAAAAGCCAAGCTTTCAGAAATTTCGTCAAAAGAAACCAGATGAAGAAAAAAGATCTGGTAGACAGAGAACTCAATCCTGCAATCACTGTGGAGGAAAGTGGCCTCATGATGGTGGCATGCAAAACTGCCCAGCCCGAGGTAAAGAATGTTTAAACTGTGGAATAAGCAATCACTTTGCTAAATGTTGCCGATCTAAAACTGGTATTGGATACAAGTTTCGCAAGCATCAAGGACTGAGACAAAATGGCTACCACAAATCTCAAAGACATCAAGTCAATACCATGCCAAAAAGACATTCCGAAGAAGAAACATCGAGTGAGGATAGTTACCGTATTTTTCGGTGTATAAGGCGCACTTTTTTTACCAGGTATTTTATTTTCTAGAGGGGGTGCGCCTTATACATAGTATTAAGCAAATCTTGGCTTTTCTGTGTGTCAACATCGAGGTCTGAAGTTGATCATATCGACAACAGCAATAAAGATGGCGGCCATTTCCCATACCGATATCCCGTATACCGTTAGTCATAGACGACAGTGGCAACAATATGGGTCAATAGCGGTTTAGTGTTATTAAAATATCTGCAAAGATATCGTAAATAATTAGATGACATATTTTTCTGCTATTCCGACATTCCGATGTCGTCTTTTCTCGTGCAATAAATATGGCGGCCATTTAAGATACGGTATCGGCTTTTCCGTATACCGTTAGTCATATTTCTATTATTCCGGCTTTTCCGTATACCGTTAGTCATAAACGACAGTGCTAACAATATCTGCAAAAATCTCGTTAATATTTCTATTATTCCTGCGTATTTGATGACATATATTTCTGCTAATCCGTTTACCGGTACAGTTAGCCACTGTCGGCAATCCAAACAGTGTGTCGTCAACGGTGATATCAGTCAAGTTGACGAAAAGGCGGGGCTTTCGACAGACAAAGAGTTTTCATTGGCTATTAGAAGGGTAATTTCCATTGAGCACACGCTCATTATACCATAGGCTATGGGTATTGTCTGTTACAATGACAGCGTGTTTTCTTTGAGCAAGACTGTCTTTTAGTAACCGTTTTAAGTTACCGACGGTTTTCATTCAACATGGATTCAGTGATTGGCCCATTGTTATAATTTACCGGTATAGTTAATTATCTACCAGTGAGTTGTTATCGTTTTCTTTATGAAGTCGTTTGTAGTTGACAAAATCATTGTTTCTTTGATTGGTATTAAAAATGCTATTGTATTATTTTACCGGTATAGTTAATTATCTACCAGTGAGTTGTTACCGTTTTCTTTATGAAGTTGTTTGTAGTTGACAAAATCATTGTTTTTTTGATTGGTATTAAAAATGCTATTGTATTATTTTACTGATAGATCTAAATGACTACAATCTGGGTATTGTCATGACGCGTGGAGTGGGCGGGGCAACAGACGCTATCGTTTGATTGTCAGTTGTTTGCATAACTTGGAGTAAACTGGAATTGTTGTTTCTCTTTTACCGGTAGTCTGGATTTAAGTTGTGAGTAACTGATCATGATATATTATTTCTACAGGTATTATTTAATTTGTTTATCATCAAAACCGATTCATTTATCACAGACAATTACTCACGAATTTAACACGATGTAATAGACGGCCATGTTTGTTGTGTTGCGGGACTTGAATGACAATTTCACTACCGTACGAGCAACAGAATTACAGCTGAAAGTTATGCAATAATGCAATTGCGTGTTATAATTAATATAAACAAATGTAACAAAAGCAATTTATTTCATAAAGAAATATAATTATATAAAGCTTGATACGGCTAAATATCGGTAATTATTATAACTGTAAACAATAGAGTTTGACCTAGTTACTGGAGATCGCAGGTGGATTTGAGTCACATATGCTATGGCACGAGTTTCACACGCGCTGGGAAAGGGTGCGCCTAAACCACGCATATTTTTTTTTTCCTGAAACACCTCTGCCAAAGTCTGCCTTATCTACGCATGCGCCTTATACACCGAAAAATACGGTATGTCTATTCTCTCCAGAAGAATCGCTCACAACTCCCAACAACTAGAATCAAAGTTGGAAAGTACCACATTCCAATTAGTTTTATCATAGATACTGGCACTAGTATTGACATCATGGGTAAAAACAGTTATGACAAAATACCTATAGCCCTCCAACCAACAAGTATGAAGATTTTTCCATACGCATCAAAGAAAACAGTTAGTTTACTTGGGAAGTTTGAAACTACTTTGAGAAACCCTGTGAACAACAGAACAACAGACACTACCTTTTATGTTTCTGAATATAGTAATGAATCACTCTTGAGTTTCAAGACTGCACAAAATCTAGGATTGATACAACTACCGGTACCGTCAATCAACAATATCAACTCGATTCCCTTTATTGACAAACTGGTTGATGAATATAGTGACATATTCCAAGGACTTGGAAAACTTAGAGATTATAAAGTTCATCTACACATAGATAATTCTGTTCCTCCAGTCATTCAACCACATCGACGAGTTCCATTTCATCTGCGAACTAGAGTTGAAGATGAAATAAAGAAGTTATTGGATCAAGATATCATTGAGCCAGCTAAAGGTCCTACGCCTTGGATTTCTCCAATCGTGGCTTCACCAAAACCGAAAAATCCATCAGAGTTACGTCTATGTATTGATATGAGAGCACCCAACACAGCTATAGAACGTGAACGACATATCACCCCGACAGTAGATGATTTAATAAATGATCTCCACAATGCCAAAATCTTCTCAAAACTAGATCTCAATCAAGGTTATCATCAACTAGAACTCGATGAGGACTCTAGATATATCACAACCTTCTCGACACACATAGGATTGTTTCGTTATAAACGGTTAAATTTTGGAACAACATCAGCTGCAGAAGTGTTTCAGAATGTCATACGTCAAACTCTAGCGGATATTAAAGGTGCTCGTAATATAAGTGATGACATTATTATATTTGGTGCTACACAAGCTGAACACGATGAAGCTCTACAAGCAACATTCAAACGTCTTCGGGACAAGAACCTGACCCTAAACATCAGAAAATGTGTGTTTAATAAGACCTCACTTGATTTTTATGGTTACCAATTCTCTGCTAATGGTGTTGGTCCTGATCCAAAGAAGATAGCAGAAATCTATAAATTTGATGTTCCTAGAACTATGTCAGAACTCCGAAGTTTTCTTGGTATGGTTAGTTATTGTTCCCGTTTTATACCTGACTACTCAACCATATCTGCTCCACTCAGGAAACTCACTTGCAAGAAAACTAAATGGTGTTGGACTGATGAATGTCAACATGCATTCATATCTCTAAAGGAAATGCTACTTGATGCCAAGACTATTGCTTACTTCAATCCCAAACATATCACTGAAGTAATTGCTGATGCTAGCCCAGTCGGTCTTGCTGCTATACTAACTCAACGAGAAACACTTGATAGTCCTCCTAAAGTTGTTGCTTATGCTTCTCGAGCTCTTACCTCAGTTGAACAAAGATATTCACAAACAGAACGCGAAGCATTAAGTCTAGTATGGGCCTGTGAACACTATCACGTTTTTCTATATGGCTCCAGCTTTAATCTAATTACGGATCATAAGCCATTAGAGTGTATCTTTAGTAACCCTCTCTCAAAACCCCCTGCACGAATTCAGAGATGGGCTCTGCGTCTCCAAGATTATGACTTTCAAGTCATTTACATGAAAGGTGAAGATAATCCTGCTGATTTCCTCTCACGTCACCCCAATCCGTCTCAAAATTCACTTCGTGAATCGTCAAAGTGTGAGAAGTACATAAACTATGTTATTTCATCTGCTCTTCCCACTGCTATGACAACACAAGAAGTGATTGATGAAACACAAAAAGACCCAACTTTAAAACTCATCTCACAAACAATCCAGGATAATAGATGGTATAACATTACAGAGTGTGCTACAGAATTAGGGGCTGATATAGACTCTATCAGATCATTCAAGAAAATTCACC